CTCTTTAATTCCTCATCAAATTAACATATCCTCTTTTCAATTAAAATCAAAAGTTTATTTAAATTTGAAATTAAAAAATTAGGTGACAGTGTTGATGATGATAAGTTTTCAAGATCATTGAGTGTGTTCGAAAGTGATGATTGATCATTAAGTTCATACAAACATATTTCTTGGATCCCATCAATTAAGCTTTTAATAGATTTTCCAAGTTGGTTTAATTTGACAGACGAAAGACAAACCAAAAGAGTAGAAGGATTAAGTTGGTTAGGGTTCCTTGAAAGCTTGGTAGGTTCGTATGAATTGATGATCGTCAGATTGATGATTCCAATTAGATATGATGTTGATGAGTTTGGATGGCATGGTATGTATAATTCTAGATGATGGATCTTTAAGATGGTAGAAATGATTCGATGATCAAGTAATTGAGCTTCAAGTTCTCTATATAAGTAGTGTACACACATTCAAATTCATTGAAAGTCATTAGTGATTTGTTCTTTTTTTGATTTGGTTTGATGGTGATTGGAATGAGAAAGTGACTTACATGTTTTGGATTAACCTTGAATCTAATCCTAAACCTGACCATGATGAAGAAGTTAAAGTGTTGATGGATTTGTGGGTGAGTTGATAATCATCTAATAAACATTTGGATGGTTTATAATTCATATCGTTCATTTGGAAAACTCGTGAACTTGAAATCGAAAGTGGTGAACAAAAACTTGGAAAATCGAGAGTTCTTTCAACCCGGCACGTTGTATGTACTGAGATGGGTTCATTTCAAACCCGGCCCTGAGTCTGAAACCGATACGACACGGTCCACTTTTTTGAAAAACTGTTGTAAATTGGCAAACGTGAACCAGGATTTGATGATCAAATCACAATGTAGTTCTATAGAAAAATGTAGAAACCAACATCACTATCTGGAAGGAATTTCAGTCGCGGAGAAAACCTTGATGTGATCCAAAAGAAAAACAAGATGAGATGTGCACCAGTGAAATTTGCAATATGTTGAGGTGATTTGAAGTGGTAGACTAGCACACCTAGAAAATCATCATGCTACATTCAATTGAATTGAAATTGATCTGGTTTGTTTCGTTTCATTCGAGTGAAAGAGAGTATGAAGGACGACCAGTTTGGTTCAAACAAGAGTTGAAGTTTTCAAAGTTGTCTTAGGGAAAAGGGTATGAGAATGATGAATTACTCTTTCATCATTGGGAATCGGAATCGGTATTGTACCAAGTTAATCCACTGTCGCCACCATCCTGGCAAGATAAATTGAATGGTCATGTAATGTGCTGATGCCATGGCATGTTGAGTGGGTGACGCGTATGGGGCTATATATATGCACATGAGATGTAGCTTTCTTTCTTTCTTTATAACCGATTGGGTTTCTGGTTATCTTGATTTCTTTAGATTCTCGTACTTTACTCGTTTCATAAGACTGAAGCTTGATCAGACTCAACACTTGTTTTTCTTTGGTTATCAGTCCAGTGTTCTACTAGTCAACAGTCATATCATTTGGTTTTTGAAGATCTTCGACGAATACTTCCAATCGGATTCTCTTCGCCAAGCTCATCGTATTGACTCCATCTCTAAAGACTCTCTGATCGAATAATTAGAAGCTAAAAACCTTTGTCATCATCAGAAGATATTCAACCCAGAGATCAGAGTACATTTAAATTTCAAAGATCTTGCCTTTTCTTCTGATCTCCACACTTAACATTACCGGCAAGGCACGAAACATATACGACTAGACATGTTGGATATTGATGGTATCGAGTAGGTTTCACAATTTTTACCTATCTTCATCGAATTACAAACTTCAATGAACATCACATAAACTTTGTTAAGAAAAGAATCGAGTTATCATCAAGATGAACTATGTAGTTACCATGAAAGATAAAGAAGATCATTTTTAAGACTTGAATGGGTAAAGTCTCTTTTTTTACTCTGGTGATCAGGACTTTAATTTCGATCTGGATGGCAATTTTTGTTGCATGGAGAAAGAGACCACGATTTGATTAAACAAGAATAACGATGCTAGAAAAAAAACGCTTTGATTAATGAAATGAAAAGAATTGATAATTTTACAGAAGAAAGAAATCGAAATCGAATGGATGAGTGATAAGAAACGCTTTAAATGAATAAATGAAGAAAAACAATCAATCAAAAAAATGGTAAAGGACTTTTCTAAGAAAAATGATACAAAAATAATATAACATGGTTCTAGAGTGATGAAGAAAAGTAAGTTAACAAGTTGTTTTAAGATAATCTTGAATTGATGGATCTCGAACACCAAACCAGATCTATATCGATAAAAGTACATATCCACCACCGATTTCCTAATTTCTTAAACTTTTGGTTCGTAATGCGGAAAATCCGAATTCGAAAGATCACTAGAAGAAACCTATGGGATTGGAAAGAAGGTGTCAGGATCATTTCATCATTAAGCATTGGATTAGAAGTCGATTTACTTTATGGTCCGAATACCATGGTATAAGCTTCTTGCACCCATGAGGTTAAGATCTGATGCGCCAAAGCATCCGAAGCAGCATCGTCCGAAAGGATATCGGGCGAAGCGACAGCGGACGGAAGGACATCGGTCGAAGCGGCATCGCTTGCAGCGACGACGGTCGAGGTGCCAGCCGTCAAAGTGACGGCGGTCGAAGCGGCGTCTTCACGAGTTTTGCTCTAATACCTCAGTGAACACAAAAAGTCAGTAAAAAGAACCAAACCCGAGAGGAAACCAAACTCTAATTCACCTTTTGTTTCACTTTGTCTTTGAGCACTTTGACTTTCGTAAATGACACACGAGAAGTTGAAGGAATCGGTTTTGGAAGATTCGATAGATCGGTGACAAGCACGATCCGTCCTTTGATCGTAGGTCGGTATGTATGTTTACACGAAGCCGTACGAGCAAGGTTAGGTTTACCGAATTTTGTAAACAGTTGGATGGACTTCTTGGATCGAGACTTGAAAGCCGACGATTTTCGAATCAGTGGTACGGATACAGGTACTTTTCTGTACCGATCAAGAGAGTTGATGGGGTTTGGCATCGATGGGAGTGGAGCGGGTGGCGGGATGGATGAACGGGTGGGTTCACGAAGGTGCTGGGGTACAAGAGGCTTTCCTTGTCGATACATGATTTGAGGATATAACAGCAGCTCACGTGGTGAATAACTACTACGATCGGGTAGGGGAATGATGTTACGATTGATTTGAGTTGGACGTGCTTGTGAAGAGATGATGAAGAGAAGTAAAGTAAAGTAAAAATAAAGTGGATGATTTGGTGTTTTTAAAACTTAGAATGAAGTTGTTGGTAAGAAAGTTGAATGGGTTAAAGAAAATTCAAAATCGGTTGAGAGGCCGCTTTATATATAGCTAGCAAGAGTGGTGCTTTAGTTCCCAAATAAAATCCGATGGGACTGAGCTTCATAATCAGCCATTTGGATTTCTCAGTGCCATTATCATAGATGGCTAATTGATATCATTTTACCGTTGTAAATAGAGTAGAAAACATATTCTTTATAGAACACGATCCATACTTTGATCGGAATCCATTTCCAGTGCGGATCGAAATGTACGTCTCTTCATCTATCCAACCTACTGGTCTTTCAAGTCAAATTGCCAACCGGACTATGATTCAGTTAGTCTGGTTGACAATTTGATTTGGAAGACCAGTATGTTGGATAGAAAAAGAAGATACAGGTAAAGATCATTGCAGCTTAGATATACGGATCATGGCGATTTGGTCGCAGAAGAAACTCCTCACTCATGTTGGAGTCATGGAAAGAAAAAATCGCGGGTTGAAATGGTCGATTAGTTTTTCGGAGCAGTGCTTCAAGGTGACCGTGAAGTGACCTAGGGTGACCTGTCGTGAGTCGTGATAGATTTTTCAGTACATCGAGTAGATATGAAGACTTTAAAGAACAGCCACAAAATCCATGGATCGTACCAGAAAACCAGTTGCGATACAAGCACGTTACTGAGGCTGGTAGCGTAGCTATGTCCAATGCTGGTGTGGGTCCAAGATCCCCGTGTCTCTGTCATCTTACTTCCGAAGTTCCTTTCTTAAATTCGATCGATGATGTATTCTTCCAGTGCGTACATTTCCTACATTCTGTGTCAAAGACAGGGCTCATCAGGCTCCTAACCACACATCTGACACCAGTATATACACTTCCCTCTTGCACAAAGACCTCTTTTGAAGACTCACTTGAGTTTCTATAAAATGACTGTGTTGTGTGTACAAATGTGCTATAAGAAAACGGTTGTGGTGTTACAATCTGTTCAGTTGCAGTGATCATTATGACTTACTTGATCCTATTCGTAGGCAACCAAATCAAGACAACAAGCACCAAAGCTAAATCACAGATTTTTATCTAGTCTAAAACTACAGCAGTCACCAGGATATCCACAATCGTCAACTCAAGTATGACTCTTTGATCTGTGCGAGTATGTGTGTGGAAAGATGATTATTGAATATATGACAATATAGTGAAGAGGAATGTGGATCTGAAATCGCTACAGCATAGGGACTTCGAATCTTGCAAAACCTGACAATCAGCCATAACTTGGTTATCGCCCACCGTCCACATCCATGTAGATGGCCGGAGTGAAGATGTGAGGCAAGGGTTTTTGTATCTGAACAGGAAGGACGAGATGTAATATGACAACTTTTTTGACAAGGACGATCGATGAGGCACCAAAACATTTCCGTTTCCGAGATCTAAATGTCAGAATGGGCACGAGACTTTCGTAGACAAACCAAGAGATGCAACAATTGATGTAGAGCCTGCTACAAGATCTCAAGGACAAAACTTTAGTTTGATTTGAAGTTTGGTAAACTATTAGTGGGATCATTCAAACCTCCTAATTCACTTCCAATGTTTCTTATTTCTTGAGCTTTTGGTCCTATATTCCCTCTGCATGATGCTCACCAGTCAAATCCCCGATCAAAAGGTCTAATTACACTAGAAGCTTTTTTAAGTATAAAACTTACGATCGCTTTGCTTGCTGGATTGAATTTCGACTTACGAATCCTCTTAGCTTCAAAGGAGATTAAATGGTATTGCTATTCAATTCTTTGCAAGAAGTTTGCACCAGATCAAACTCACTAGAATACGCTTACAAGCTTAACAAAGCCCGCGCGACAGAATATGCAGTCGGTTTGTCAGAGGAAAAAACCCTACAAGCGAGATACATACATGCATTTGACCTTTGTTGTGCATGTAAGATGAACATGTTGTGAATGATCGCAAGGGGTCTAAAATGAAGCTGTCAAACTATCACCTGAGTACAATCACTTGAGGATGTGCCAGATTTCTTGAAGTTTTGGATCTAAAAGTTATGTAGCGAATGATTCATCTGGATTTCCATTCAATCTGTGCAGTTTCACCACACACACACACCTGATGATTCCACCAAATATGTAAACATTTTTTTCGATGAGTCAGAGGTTTGTAAACAAGTGAAAAAACGTTTGGTTGCCTGTCCATCTTTATGCAGCTTTGTGGACCGCAAGACTGTCATTTTTCAAAAAAACTTCTTCATCTAAAACCTACATCTTTAAATATATCTTCGTTCAACTTGCAACTTGCTCAATCCTACAACTAATTCAAGTCCTCCTATCCTCATCAATTCCTATCTAATCTGACTTGAGAATCATATCTTACACTTGAATAACATGAATCATTTTATAACTATTTTGATTTCATTTTTTTTATTTCAAGTAGTTAAAAGTGATTTTAAATGTGGTAAGATTAACAAAAGCAAACCACAAATTGAGCCATCTGATTGTCAATCGTTAGTATCAAATCATCCATCATTTTGCCGTGTTTTTCTTTAGAATTATTCCTTATGTTTGATTTGTTGGTTTTTGATGATTTAGAGCATTGATGGGGTTAGATAGATTTTCTACAGGTACAATTCATTATAATCAAGCTAGTAATTCTAAGTCATGTGGTGCATGTCACGTTGAGTATTCCTAGTTCTTTTCCATTTTATACTTCATCTCCAACGATGACGACAATTTCGTCTCAATTATTAATTTCTTTTTGGTTTTGTCTTTGCAGATTAGAATCAGATCAAGTGATGGTACACCTCTACACGCGTAAGTTGGGTTTATGAAGAAACCCATCATTGATCTCTTAATTTTTAATTCCTTTCACTATCACTTATACTATGTCATTGATTTATTCATCAGTTCATCGGATGCGGCTTTCAAAGCATTAAATGGTTTCATGAAAGCCTGTCCATACGCAGTTAAGCTCTTTAATTCTTCAATCATCAACTCGAATACTTTTCCATAACATTTATTCTGATTCTTGATTAATCAAAATACTTAATCTTTAGCCTGGACAATTTTCAATTCATTCACCTGGCATTAGAGCTTCTTTAATCATGGAGGTTCATCCAGCTGCTGCTCTGCAATGTTGATCATCTAATAGTAACAATGCGAACTTATTCTAGAATGTTGCATCTCTTTTTATCCCAAAGTTTCAAATTCCATAGTCTTGTAGTTTTTTATCTCTTTTCTTCTACAGTTTGGAAGCACTTTTTCTATTTCCGTCATCCTTTGAAAGGCAAAAATTATATGGGTAGGGGGGATTTTACACCCCCTTTACATCCGATTATGCGATGTGAAAAAAAATCGTGTGTAAAAATCACTTTAGGTGGGTTAATCTCGAATTTTACACTTTAATTTGTTCTTGTGAGGCGGTGTAAAATAATTGAGTGTAAAAAAGTGCAGTGTAAAAATCTTTCAGCCGGACGCAGTTTTTAATTTCACACCCAGATTGTTTTACACCCTGATGGAGTTGTGCACCTGATTGGATCAGATTAAACCAAAAAAGTACATAATAATCAAACATAAATATGAACACTGAATCCACACCAGAAGATAAACACCAAAGATAAGGATGAGTAATAAGATAATAAGAGAGAATCTTCAAACAAAAGCAAAGTTGAGCAATAAAAGATGAAAATGATACATTGAGATAACAGAGATATACAAAAACAGAGAGTCCCACACCAATATCACACGCATCAGAGGAAAAAAACAAAAATAGAGCCAAAATCCACAACAGAAAAATGTATGAAAAAATTCAAGTTTTGACCTTTTTGACAGCTTTGTGCTTCTCAGCTGTGACCTTGCACTTCTCCTCCTTCTCCTCAGCAGAACAAGCCATTGGTTTTTTTCTTCCTCTGATTATTTCATGAAGGAGAACATTTGAAAAAATCAGAAAAATGTGAATTGAGGAACAGCATCATTAGAGAGTATGTTAGGTGTATGTGTTTGCCATTAAGTTTCTGCTGTGGCTTTGGGAACAGCAGGAAGCAGAACATTCCACTCAATTTTGGGAGAGGTGTCCTCTTTGCTGTAGTCCATTTCTTCAAGCTCCTTTGTGTTCAAAGACTTGTTGTCATCTCCTTTTTTGAGTTCAGTTGGCCAATCATTCCAAGGTTCTATTGGACCTTTAAGTGAGGCAAGACCACTTCCAAGAGGCAATGAAACAGTGGGAAACAAGAGAGGACACATAGAAAGATGATTGGGGACAAGATTCATTGATCCTTGTAATGACTCTTATAATTTCTTTGTTTTGTCTTCAAATTCTAGGCAAGTGTAACACACCTAGCTGGTGTGTGGAAAAGGACCTGTAATCCTGGACACATCAGGATCTAATAGCTGTGCAATTTGATTGTTATACAGCTTGTCAAAATTCCATACCTCAAGCATTCCTTCAACCAAACTCACTACTTTGCACCAGTGCCAGTGGCCAATTGATGTTTCCAAACGATGGATGGATTGGACCTCCACAATGGAATTGATAGGTTGAGTTCCTACATGACCACGTCTAACCTCATTGCAAGCAGAAGATGTCTTATTGGACCATGTCAACAGCAAATGTAAATTCAAAATGAACACACCTTCACCCCAAATACCTGGTTATGCTTTCATATTTCCTTGTGTTATTGAAAGAAAAGATAAAATCCGTTCATATGATTAAAAAGGAGACAAGATATGTATGAAGGTCTCCTCATTGGAGTGAATGAGAGACTTCATCTGGTCGAAAGACGATAACTTCGCGCAAAAAACAAATCCAGGCAGCTCCATCAGGCTCCATCCGACAGGATGACGCCTGGGTCTGAAACATCTCGACAGGTCTGGACCACTTTGACGAGAAAGCTCTCAACTCCGTTCGTCTCAGACTCTACCGACATCACTATCCAAATACTTCAATACGTTCTAATGATTTCAAGACAACCTTGGAACGAGCTGTAGATATCTCTCATTTGGTCGCAAATCGGTAGATACCACGACTCGAGTCTGTAAGACCGAGCACATCAGTATGAATTGTAATCAGACTGGCGTGGGTTAAAGTTGAGGGGAATGAGGGACGGATTGGTGAACTTTTAGAAGGACACGCAATCATGGTTGTCAGTCACACTGAGCCATCGGTGCACGAACGTGACTGATGCTCGGCTCAGCGGTTACCATCTGAATCCGCACAGTTTGAATTGATTATTGGGTGGATGCCCATCGCAATCCAAATTTTTTGGCATACCTTGTCGTTTTTCTCCGGTTGCTATATTCTTCGTATCACGCTTATAATCGATACGGGTTCTCTTTCCCAACGACTGGGCATCGGTTGTTTGAATTCAAAGGTTTATTTTTCGAAACCGATTCTTGGATCGCAATTTTTAGTGTTCAAATTGCATCTTACAACTTTTGGATTCTTCACTCCTTTTCAATCTTCTATCCACGTGAATAATCATAATCTTTTACGACTTCATTTCGGTTGACGATAGTTTTTCAATTGCTTCTTCAAACAGTCTTCAACATTTGGATTTGAAAGCTTTTAATCTCTGGAAGAATAGTTCTTTCCTGATCTTACTACCTACATACCATAGCATTTTTTGAATTACGGCATTTTGTTTTCCGCTTTTGATACAAGTAGAGGAATTGAGAGCTTTTCTTTGGAGATTGGATCTTTAATAAAAATGGCATCATCAGTTTCTATAGATCATGGGCAGATCCAAGATACAATAATCAGTTATCGAATTGGATACCTAACTGCTTGTCCCATAATGTGAGTAAACAATACATTCCAAGATATAATTCCTACAAAACCAAACTAATATCCTTTCTTGATCAATTTTAGGGGAATAATCTTAGGAGTATGTTTTAGAAAAACATATTCATTTCATACAAACCAAGCTACAGCCAGAAAATCGTTAACAATCAATTCCACAACTTCACCATCAGAGCATTCATTAACCAAAACGATTTCAAGATCACCTTCTGATGTTTCTTCAATGATTGATACAGTTACCATAAGCTCATTAAATTCGAAAGAGATTAAAAAAATCAAATTTGAGATTTGGAGAGTTAGAGCTGTTTGTTCTTTAACTGCTCTGGCATTTCTTTTTTTAGCTATTGATAATTTATCAGCTATCAAAAGTGGTAGACCTTCAAAGAGTGATCCATTCTTGATTTCTTTCATGTTTGATTCTTTTCACTGATTTTGAAGTTTTGTACTTGTTTCTTAGGAACTCCTTGGATTATTGAACCTGCTGGTTACCTTATCCCAGCTATTTCTGGGTAAATCTTCCTTTCTATCTCTAATCTGTGCTACCAATCCAAAAAACCCATGTGAATTCCATTAAATAGGAATTTTGATTAATCATCAAAGACAGGATAAGACATTAACATGAAGCTTTCTTTCAAACAAAACAGATCAGTTCAATTAATAGTACAAACTTATTTTGTTAAATCTTTATATGGTATAACAAAATCAAGATACTTGACAATACCAATATGGACACTTTCAATAATAAGTTTTATTGGATCGTGTGGTCGTACAATTACAATTGGTACATATTAAACCTTCTAAAGGAAACCAAAAATTCTCAAAAAGAATGACCAGAAAATAACTGCTGTTTTTTGATTTTTTTTAGCTATAAGTAATACAAATAGTGCAGTAGATGGATTTAAACCTTCAATTCAAACACAAGTTTTAGTTGCAGGTATAAGTAGAGTAATGTATATCCTTTGGTTAGGTGGTGCAGTTTTAGTTGATATTGGATTAGCTGTTGGATTATCATACAATTTGAAAAAATCAAGTTATGGTGGATTCAGATCGTAAGTCAGACTCTCCTTCAAGAAAAATCTTAACATCTCTCAGTAAAAAAAACTCTGAAAACTTATGTTCTTGTTTTTTGTTTTTCATGAATAGTACTCAAAGTTTAGTAACCAAATTAGCAGATGGATTTCTGATGACATTTTCTTGTTCAGCATTAATTGTAGTCTTAACAGCCTTTATTTTCTTTGTACCTGATGTTGGTACTTCTTCTGGTAAACCACTTGGGATTGGTTCATTTAGTTTCATGACTTTTTTACATGTACCTACTTATTATCTAAGTTTCAGTGAGTTTATTCTTTCTCCATTTTCCTCTCTTGGGAGTTTTTCATTGATGGGGCTTATTGATGTTTCTTTTTTGGTACACAGTTTATACTTTGACTCGTAGAAAAGAAATTGGAAAAGAATTACGCACTGAACAAACTTCTTGTAAATTAGTTACTGTTCCTTAAAATCCATAAATTCCATAAGTCTTGTTTTTTGGATGTGAATTTTCTTTAAATAAAGAATTGTAACAACTTTGTTTTTCACAATTCACTCTGACAATTTTTTTCACTTCTTTAATTTGACTCAACTTGTTTCTATTTGCTTGTGAATAGTCTTCTTATTTCAAGGTTTGAAAAAATGTAATGAGAATAATTGAACAAAAAGTTGTCACTCTAATATTTTGAAAATACAAGTACAAAAAGAAAGGAAATATAGAACAATAGAAATCTATGTAGATAAAGAAATAGATTCCTGATGAGAAATACTTACTTAACTCCAAGGGAGCTCTACATACATATAAGATTGAAGTTGCAAAAAGTATTGGATTGTCTCAAAATGAACAATCTTGACACCAAAGATTTTTTCAAGACATCTTCTCTCTTCAATTCTGATACTATAATCAAACCAAATCAAACACAACAAAATCACCTTTTTTGATTTGGATTTAGCTTCATTAGAGTTCCAACATTATTCCATCTTATCATCAAGTTGTAGTACACAGTAACATTAAATGAATTGATGCATTATTTTCTTATCCAAAAACAATCATTGCAAGAAGTTTGTTCAGATGATCAATGAAGGTATCAATTCACAACAAGTTTTTTAAATTCATCTAAAATCTTACATTCTTTCCAATCCCTTTATTCTTCTTTCTTCCTCTTTTCTTTGTTTTCTTGCTTGTGTGTACATCAAATTCTCATCTTCTTCACTTTTCTCTAACCTTGAAACTTTTCATTTTTTTCATTTTGTCATTTCTTTTTCTTGATGGATCTTAAAGCAAAGATTTGAATTAAATATTTCATTGAAAATTGATGCCATTTTTCACTGAACTTTTCCCTCCTACAAATCCCTTTCATTCTTTAATTTGTTCCAGATCTACTTCTTTTGAAAAATTATTCTATAAAACTTTCCAAAAAAAATGTAATAAGAAAAATAATCATAAACAGAACAAAGTTTGTTGTAGATCTAATGTTTTTTTGGTTTGAAAATACAAGTATGAAAGAAAATGAAAAAGAGATATGTTTATGAGAAGTTTTAACTACGATAAGTAATTGGTTCCAAAAGATCTAAAACAGATCAAAGGTATATCTAGAACAAATCACGGGTCTGCACTAATGGCAATTTAATATGAACCCAATAAAAAAAAATGTCAAACAAAAGAAACCAATTGAACCATCCAATCACTCCTCTTCCTTCCTTTTCTTTTTCTTCTTCTGTGTACTTCTTGATTCATCTTCAGCTTCATTTTTATCTAACTTGGAACTTTTCCTTTTTAATTTTCTTTCATTTGGTTGGTTTGATGTGTCTAGAGTAAAGATTTGATTCAATCCTTCATCAATAATCACTTTTTTAATCGATTTCAATTTCGATTCTTTTCTATCCTTTTTATCCTTTTTATCCTTTTTCTCATTCTTGTCTTTCTTTTCTTTCTTCTCCTTTTGACTTGGTAGATCTATTGTTTCGTTTCCATCTGTTGTATCCTTTATATTTGTTGCATCACTCGTATCCTTGGGATCTGTTGTATCTGTTGTATCTTTCTTATCTCTCTTCTTTTTTTCCTTCCTCTCCTTTTTATCTTTCTTCTCCTTTCGATCTCTCCTTTTCTTTTCTTTCATCGTCGTACGATCTGTATCAGTTGACCTAGATCCAATTTGAACAGATTCGCTTGCATTGTTAGATGATGATGATGATGATGATGAACAATCTTGCTGAATTTGATTTGAAGCTTGATTGGTAGGTTTGACTTCTTCAACAGTACCTTCAATTAATTGACCTCTTCTGAAATTCCGATAAAGGTTTTGAATAGCTTCATTCCTTTTAGCATCATTAATTATATCTAAATTTAAATTCGATTTTTTTAAATCTATCATAGGTGAAAGTGAAGGTAAATGAGAAATTATTCCAGTTTCAGTTCTACGTAATTCCTTATTAAAACCAAAAACCCATCCAATCAGTTTTTCAATAAAGTCAAATCGTCAACATGTTGATGGTTGAAACTTACCAGCTGATTATCCTTCGTATCATCATCATTGACTTTCTTCACACTGATTTTGTTGATCACCGATTTAAATACATCATCCCACCAAGGATAAGAATGATCTCGATCCTTTCCGATTCCAAATGTATTTTTCTTTTGTAAGACTGTGATGGGTTTTGATCTTGAGTTCAATTGTAAACCTTTACCTTCACCTTCCCAACCTTGTGAAGTGAGATAATCTTTTGGATTGAGTACCATGTTGTGGAACCTGATGATTTTTGAAAATTTGATGAATGGTTTGGATGGACTCAGCAAAAAGTTTGAGCATATCAGTGATCCGACCCGATCCGCTGATACAGTAGACCCGATCCGCTGTGACAGTATCGCGGTCTTTGTAGAACTCGGTACCTTTGAGTTCGATCCGTGTCTCAGCAAAACATTCAAAATCAACATCAAGCACCCTGATCTCTATACCAAACTCAACCAGGAAGCCCATCAGATTTCTTTCAGATTCAAGGATATACCAAGATCAGATCCCAAGTCAGTACCCAAAAGGAGGGCATGGCAAATCAAAAACAATGAGAGGAATATTTCAACTAAGAACTTGTCAGCAAGCACTTAGGATCACATTCTCAACCAACCCATCACATCGATATATTAAACCAAGATTCTTATCAACTGCCTCAAATCAACCCATCACTAATCAACTAACATCAGATTTCAAATTAATTCATTTACTAAAAGATATCAAAACTTGCATAAACTCATTCCAAACTGAACCACATGATCAAGAAGAAAAGGAAATCATCAGTTCATTGAATTCATCAATTCAAGATTTAAAACAGTTTAAAGAAAACAGGCTCAAGAGATTAGGAGTTTATGGTGATCGGATTAGTGGTAGAGATCAATTCATCAATTGTTTATTATGTGATCCTTTAAATGAAAGTTATCATCAAACAACTGATCAATTACTCAATTCTAGAAATATCCATCAAACTGGTCTGATTCGAATCAGGTAAGTCGTCAGATTTCCATTTTTACAGAATCCTTCATGACCAATGAGACTGATTTATGAACTTGGTCTGAAGGTATGGATCGATTGCTAAATGGAATGAAGATCAATCTATACTCGAGATCCCAAATCAATGGTTAAAAGAAAACAATATAGAAATCATAGAAGATGAAAAGTTTAAAAGTTTAGAAGAAAATGATATTCATTTATTAATCATTGATAATATTAGAAAAGAAATTCAACCACAAATGTATTTCAAACTTTTACATTTTAATGAATTCTTCATTGGAATCAATCAAATCGGATATCAAAAAGACCCAGAAGAAATGTCATTTAATTTACCTCAATCTTTAATTCCATTAAAGTTTCCTAAACCTTTTGAAATTAATACGTTTCAAACTTTGAATTCATTTAAAACTTTTCAAAATCATTCAGGAGAAGGTTTTGATTTGAACGAGTTTTATAAGTTGAGAGAAGAAATCAAATCGATCTCATTAAATCCTCATCAAGTACTACAAACATCAATCTCAAGAGGTCGTTTATCAATCTCAAGCATATCTCAAACAATCTTAAAATCATCTGAAACTTTAATCGAACTAGAAAACTTGATCAAATCACATGAAGAAAAGATAAAAAGTATTCGAAATGAATTAAACCAAACCATGATAAAAGTTGATGAAAAGTTGATCCAAATCAATGAAAATCAAATCCAAGAATTCTTTAATGAAAAACTAAAATGGTGGAAAGTTTTAATCTTTTCAATTGATATAGGTGAACCGATCCGGAATTTCACGTATCAAGAAGATATAAAATTAAAACTTTTAGTTGAGTATTCATTTCTCTTTTTTCTAATCATTAGTACAAAAGCCAGAAAGAAAAAAAAACATCAATTTGATTTGGACTGATTTGATTTGGTGGGTTTAGTTATCATATCAATCAGGTCAACTTTCAATCTATTCCAAAACCCTCAAAACCTTAACTAAAGAAATCCTACAAACTCAATCACCTTTAATCCCTTCAACAACCAAACACAATCTTTTAATCTGCTTGAACCAAAACGAATCCCAACTTCAACTTCAACTTCAAAACTTATACGACTTACAACAAAAAGACTTGAATTTAGAAAGATTCGTCAATGTGATCAAACAAGAATATTCGACAATTTATTTAAAATATAGTACGATCTCTGTTGGGTTTCTGAGTATTTTAGGATTCAGTTGGTATGGTCAATGGATTGGAATCGAAAATGTAATGAGTTTTTTGGGAGTGTTTGGGGTGATTGGTTGGTTAAGATTAGAAGGGATTTGGAAAAAGAGAGTTTTAAGGAAAGGTTTAAAGGATTGGAAACGATCTAAAGAGTTACTTTTTTCTCAATTAAAAGTGAGTCATTCACTTACTCTTTCTTTGATATTCAATCAAAATGTTTTGATTGACTAATTTGATGGGGTTGAATATATATAGGAAAAAGAAACGAATCTAATTGAAAAAGAAATATTCAAAACTAATGAAAACGTAGTACATAAGTTTCAAGAAATTTTAAAAGTTCATCAAACTCAAATTTTTTTACAACAAGTTAATGTAAAAGAATTGATCCAAAGATTAGATCAATTAGAAATCGAAATTCGAAATCAAAATCCAAACTCATGATGAACATCAGTAAAAGGATAAAGTGAGAAAAGTAAGATGAAAATATTAATGTATATATGTTTGGTGATGTAATTATCTTGTTTGGTTTTTGGTTATGGGTTTATGTTGATTTGAAAGATTTTGAAATTATAAATGGAAATTTTGAAAAACCAAAATTAACAAGTTTCTTTCATTAGAAAAAATATAATCAAACCGAGTCATCGTGATAAGTTATGAATTTAGTGCAGGCTTTGTAGTTTACGGGACTCGGATGATAATGGCCAGCATAGAGTTGGCTTCAGCCCATGAGATCTGATATGTAGCTCTTGGAAATGTTCAAGGTTTCTTTCATTCGACGACATGAGAGAGCAAGAAGTTACTGTTTTTGCGGGTCAAGTGTGGAATTGATGGTCTAGACTCACAGGGCACCATACTAATTTAGTCATATCTAATTTAGTCATATCTACTTGCCATTTTGAGCGGAGTTTGGGGGCTCTTCTCACCTTGATTGTAATCAGCTCTAAGCTATCCACGTCATAGAGAAATGGTGTTCAGATTATCCTTTCACGAGTCACAACTATGTGTCACAGGTATTTACGATATGGGAACGGTGACAACAGCCAGCAGCGCACCGCCAAAAATCACCTTATCAAATTCTCACATATATCGTTTATTTGTAAAGTCTTTTTACAGCTCATATCATCCATCATGTGATATTTGAAACCATTCAACTCTTTAATGACAAGTCTTGATTCCAGTTTTTATGGATAGGGTATGTTAGGTCAGTGGGAAGTCCTAGCTGGGTACACCACCGATTACACTTGTGGGTTTTAACAAACCCTTTTATACCGTGTAGCTTGGTGTTTCCATTGTGCCACTCATGACTTGATAAAATATGACATGTCAATCTTTAGATTTAGCAAGCTAAAGTCAAAGAAAAAACAAGAGAAGCTTACTTTAAATCAACCATAGCAGGATCCGTCAAGACAGAACCAGAGCCTTGTAAATCACCCAAAACAGCTGAACCTTCATTTTGATGAAATTGCCAATGAGTAAAAGCTTGTAAAGCGATTCCAAGTTTAGTAGGTTGATCTAAAGTTGAAAAACTATCATCATATGGATTTTTTATCCAACTAGTTGAAAAATCTTCATTTCCAACATACTTCAAATATTCACCAATTAATTCTTCTTCAAAAAACCAACAATCTTGAATATCTTTCATATTATCAATTTGATCATAACCTTTATCTGGAATCACTACAAAGTTTTCAACAAACTAAATCAAAAGATTTTAGTCTAAGTTTCATTTGGATTGATAAAGATTACTTTATCAAAAAAAAACAGGAGTAATAAATAGAAACTCACTCTTAACGGAGCAATCAGAGCCTTATCCTCTTTCCCAAAATCATTTGAAGTTTTAATAACTTGTTGAAAATCAATCAAGACTTTACATGCATAAAAATATAATTGAGATTGTTTTAAATAAGATTCTAATTGATGATGATGAGGAAGATGATCTAATCTATTTCTTTTAGCTACCATTCTTAAAACTTGATGATTTATCATCACTTCTGCATCATAACATTTCATCCAATATCCAGTTCCAATCAAATTATTTAAATTCACTCGAAATAAAATTTCTTTTGGTTTATAAACATATTTGATGTGTGAAACATCTTTTGGGATTTGGGTTTTGTTTTTTACCAAGGTCAGTGACCATCCTTCTATTAAGGGATGTGCTTGACGGGTTGGAAAAGTACTGATTGGAGCACAGCTATTTGCTAAGACCCTCGTGTCACTCAGACTTATTCGATTTCTTGCTAGAAAGTATCAGATACAACGAACGTTTTTCAACCTCTCAAAATGTATTCGAACAAGGACGAATTTCCAAGGATCCTTGATCCAATCGAAGATAAATGCACTCACATGGTTTGATGGTCGATTCGAGTCGCGTTGCTAATGGGATACGCGAGTTTATTTCCGGTTGTGAAAGATCGTAAACTTCTTGGGCTATGCCAATACCAGACCCAGAGTTTCAGAAGATCAACTGTAAGTGAAATGATGGTTTTGAACTTGAAAGGGGTAGAGTGAACAACTTACTTGAACCTTTAACCTCTTCTTCATCGCGATCAATCAAGTCCAAGGTTTCTGCAAACAAGATATGTCATACAAGTGCGTCAATGACCGGCAAAAGTCATAACGGACTGTGGAAAGAAATTGCTCAACTAGATTTATGAAAAGGTTTCGAAGTGATCTGATGCAAAGGCCCCTCACTAGGATTACCCAGTGATCCACCTTGAAGGGAGTCTATAGTAGAAAGGAGCGACTCCGAGTCTCGCGGCGGTGCGAATCCCGCATTCACTTTGTGGTATGGGTTGAGTACTGATACTATTAACACTAGATAGACCTTCATCTCACAGATATATATACCGGGACTCTGTATTTTCCTGAAGGTATTACGATAAGAGTAGAAGAAATGAAATCGGTTGTGCAAAGCCGTCGAGTAATATGTGAGCGCTTGGAAAGGAAAGGCTCATTTCTTCAACTTTTCTGCTCCCATTTATACAGTCAAATCGGAAAAGCTTGACCGATTTTGCCCGCAAAACTCGAGCAATTTGCCGGGGAATTTGTGACAAGCTTTTCTGGTCTGACTGTAGTCTTTTGTGGTCATACCCACACATCCACCACAGACATGATGAGTTACGTAAGGGCTGCTTGATGACTCCTACCCGTCTCTGATCACCAAGCAGAGGTATAGAAATCTCGTTGATGGTCGGAAGAGGTACGACTGAGTTCAAGTGAGAAGACATCCGCTTGTCTGCCATCGATCGAGTCATAAGACAAACTGTTTTGTCTATTCAATTCATCACATTCCAAACTTGTGATAACTGTTTCTTGTAAATTTGAATTACGTTTCTTTTCTTAAGCGTTAGATATTGAGTTGGTGGGGTAGAAACATGACATTGTACTTCGGATCTCTAGATATGCTACATTGCGGAGCGGTGCGGCATTTCCGTGAATAAAAGATCAACTTCAACCCGAAACAATTTGTACCAGAATGAACGGCTACAACAACGGAAAAGTCCCGTTGAACTACGAGCATCAGCTGGCTATCAAAACTCCTATAAAAGCTAAAGGATTTACCCCACTTTTTGAAGCAGATGACATGGGGTTTTTTATTACCCCGGAATCTTGAACTTGTTGAAGTCTGGGGCCTTTACGCAGAGTGATTGAATGACTTTTCGTAAAACCAACCCGGATGAGCGTGAAGAATACGATGAATGGGCGACACTCTGTGTGATACTAGTCTCAGATCCTTGCGAGGAAAAGTGTGGGCTCCTACAATGCATCTCGGTCTGTTATTGGCATGTTTTGGGGACCATGTTGAGGTGAAGTTCAAATAAACTCTTGCAAGGTGCCAACGGAATCACCGAATCTGAGATGTCAGCCGGCTACCTGTTACCTCCGTGACATATATGCAACTCCGTAACAGGCCCCGTAACATGCTCGGTAACAGGCAGATGAAATATAAAATCCTAATTTTGTAGAAGTTCTGGAATTGACATCCTTGTGTTTACCAAGTGATATTGACTCTCCCATTGTCACCGAGGTGTTGTTGAAGAGTGATCAATGTCGCGTGAAGGTCGCGCGTGCTTACGAACTTTTAGACTGAAACGGTCAAATGAACTACTTACCAATTTATTTGAAAAAGTGCATACATTCGACTCATCCCATTATTCCAAGTTTTTATCACAATGGCTAAACGTACTCTACGAATCATGGACCCAGATGACGAGAGTCCAACACCGAATCGATCGGGCGAAGCGTCCACTCGTGGCACCAATGGTCGTCACGAAAACCGCCACCACTCAGACGAGGAGGACGAGGAGGCTGAATTGTCTGCTGAGGATGACGCGGATGATGAACCATCTGGTGGTCCTCGTAGAAAGAAACGACGAGGAGACTCAGAACAAGTCACCACAAACGGTCGTGGTAACAAAGGCAAAAGTCGAGCTTCTACCCAGCGTGCTGATACTGTTGGTCTCAGCGATGATGTCGGTTCTGATGAAGACGGACAACTTGAGACGGTAGAAGAAGCATCCTATGCAGTGCGCCATCCAGATGGGTGTGTATTCGCAAATCTCAGAGAATTCGAAGTATACACGCGACTTTTGGTTTTTGATATCTCCTTTGTTATTGGACCTGTTACCCAGGTTTTTGCCCGGTTCGATTGTACGGCTTTCAGCCACCAATTTCATGACCTACACCGAAGTCGAATTCCATTTCGGTTCTCATCTAAACATGATCATCGGACCCAACGGTACAGGCAAGAGCGCTTTTATGTGCGCTCTGGCTCTAGGACTAGGTTACTCGCCTGCAACAGTGAGTCAGTCTTTTGATATCTGTCCCATTTGACGTGACTGATCCACGTCCGTGATGTTCTTGTTATGCAGGTTTTGCAGCGTGTGAATGAAGTAAAACTGTATGTCAAAAATGGTACCAATGAAGGCTCAGTCGAAATCGAACTCAAAGGAAAACCGGGAGAAGAAAATATAGTGATTAAACTTCACCTTAATGTTGAAACAAGTTCCAGGGTTTTTGAGATCAATGGTGATTCTTCTTCTTGGTAGCTTTCCTTCGCTTTGGGATTTGAATTGACGTGATGTGATCATACGCAGGTAAACGTTCAACCCATACCAAGGTTCAAGAAATTATCCGATCGTTTAACATACAGGTGGACAACCTTTGGTACGTTTACCTATGCAAGTAACAGTCTTGATCTCATATTGACTTGTATTTTCTCTACGTCTGGATCACAGTTGTTTTATTCCTCAGGAAAGGTTGAGAGAATTTGCTGCCATGGATCCTATCCACACCTTGAAAGCCACGGAAAAATGTGCAGGTCATTCTGGTTTGGTTCCATGGCACGATGTGCTGATTGAGAAAGGTCGCAAGAAGATTAGTGAAGAAGCGCAATTGGAAAGGCTACAAGAAGATAAGCAGCATCATGATAAACGATTGCAAAACATGAAAAGGGATGTCGAGATTTTGTTAGAGCGCCAGGCGCACCAAGCTCGGGTAAGCCATGCTGTGGTCCGTTCAGGTGTTATGTCTCCTATTGATTTTTTTCACTTGAGTAGATCAAAGTTTTCGAGTATGCTATACGTCAACGCCAATACGGAACCATGAGGGATGCTTTTGTTCAAGCCAAACAGGAATGCTCAGATTTGGAGAAAGACATCGCGAAGCTGAAAGAAGCTAACCTACCGATGACACGCCAGATCCAGTTCGTCCTTCTATCCTCCTTAGCATGACTGCCTCTCACGCATTTCTGCAATTCTGTATCTCCATCATTTCAACCTTGTAGCGCGTTCAAAGGACTTGCTCAGATGTATGAACAATGTCGGAAAACATTGGAATCAAACATCTCTTCGCTTACAACTGTCATCAGTCAACGTCACCGAGCTTGCAACTCAGCGCGTGACCATCGTGACAAAATTTCGGAAGACTTTGACGGACTGAAGGATCTTGAACGTCGACGCCGTGAACGTGTGAATAAGCTCAAAGCAGAGCTTGAAGAACTTACCGAACAGACCGCTATCCCAGTCCCGCCTCCCGACCTCACGCAACAAAAAGAAGAATTGGTGAGCTTCTCGCGATGGTCGCAAACGAAAGATGAATATGATCCGAGCTGATAGGTTCTTTTTTCCTAGGCTGAGGTTTCGAGTGACGCGCGATCGATTACAGAGCAAGTCAACACCAATCAAGATGCACTCCGTGGAGCCTATACCGAAGTAGACGGCATTGTGAATGAACGAAATCGGATTCATAATGAGTGCGTAACGCTGCTCTGATGGGATATGTGATACTAGTGGACTGATGGTCTGGTTGGATACATTTTTATAGGCTTGGGCGTTTAAACAATGTCACTTTCAGAAAGGAGGCTGCACTCCGCGATAACCGCAACACACTAAATGTCTACAAAGCTTTACAAACTATGCGCGAATTGAGAGATGCAGGTAGGTTTCAAGGTCAGGTATTCGAGCCTATACGTATGGTCATTTCGCCCAAAAACATGAATGCCGTCCAAGCTATAGAAGGCTGCTTGGGATTTGGAGTGTTCAATGTAAGTTTTCCTTTCTACCCGGAAAAACTCATGCCTCATTCCGCTGATGGCTGCCCGTGCCCTCCAATCCTCTCGCGCATCTCCTCTCTCTCTCTCTTAGACTTTCCTCTGCACGCATGATGCAGATTATGATCTTTTGTCGGCCGAGTGCAACGATGTCCACAAATACCGTGTCAATATTGCCTTGCTACCCCCAGGGGACTCACTTTCTCAATATCAACCTGCGGTTCCTCGAGAAGAGGTGAGTTGAGTTCATCTTTACGCCTTGATCCTCCCTTGTTGATTTTTTTCACAAAAATGCCAACAGCTACAAAGCTTTGGCTTCGAGGGCTACGTTATCGATTTGATTGATGGACCAGATCCTGCTTTAGCGTACTTGTGTTCTCAAGCGGCTCTCCATCAGATTGTGAGTTCGAACCCGATTATGTCTGCATCCCGCGGCGCAGCTAACTTCTCGTGTCCCTGCCAAACAGCCCATCACGCTTTCTCCGCGAGCTTCCTTGAACGAATCTCGCCTTGAAGATCGGAACTGTCCGTTCCGATCATGGATCGTTGGAGACACTCGATTCAATGTTTCGTTTTCGAATTACGGGAATCGAGAGCAGAGCATTGGTTCGAGTTCCTTTCATAAACCCTCAGTGCTTACCATGGGGACTCGTAAGTTTTTTTCACTTGTTATTGTACCACTGCCATTTTATCAATCGCTTTGTTGGGGCCTTTAAGTCGATCACGCCGCTATCGACAAGTGTGAGAAGGCGCTGAGCACTCTTCAGGAGAGAGATGATAAGATGAAGCTCATAATCGCGGAATATACTGAGGTTGATAAGCATCTCAGGGCGAAACACGCTGAGATAATGGTGAAAAAGGTGATCAGATTTCAGTTTCTTGAACACGTCACCTCGCTGACCCTCGTCTCCGAATCATTTTTATCAGGATCGTATCCAAAAAAGTCGACAGGCGGCTCAGGAGAAGCACCTCGAATACGCAAAAATGGTGAAGAGAAAAGGTAAGCTTTCTATCACTATCGCGCATGCTCTCTTCCAGCCATGATGATAGCTTTGACTGATCTGTGAAAATCGTCTGACCGAATAGAGATGAAAGCCAAAAGTCTTGCAGAAGAGGAGGCGCAACCATCCTCAGACCAACGGAGATCTAAGCTTCAACAGGACCTGAAAAAGGCTTGTCTTGCTCATTTAAAGAGCGCTAGCGAGTACAAAGTATGCCGATGTCTATGTGTTTCATAATTACTGTCTTGCTAACATGACAGTGCTATCATTCAGACCGTATGCTGTCAGAAGTCGCGACTGACTACTGAGCTGATATCGTACCAACTACGGCTACATCAAAATAAAAGTGATGCCGAATGCTTTGCCAAGGTCTGCACACGAAGTGATGCAGAGCTCAAAGAACGAGAAGCAGAATGGACCCTTGGTAAGAAGCGTCTTGTACAATCGATGGTATGTTAGAACCTGACTAAAGCCGACGCTGACACATACCTTATACCACACCATACGTACCTTTTGTAAACTTTAACTAGCCAAAGAAAGACAGGCCAAAATCAAGCACGATGCCACACAATTTCATACCAAACTACGTCAGGATCTGGACGAAAGTTTGGAGACATATCCAGATTTGAGAGACGACCTCATGAGCGCTATGAAGGAAACGACACCTGACGGACAGCTTCTGACGGAAGATATGTTCAGAGCATCACTCGAAGCAGAAAAAGATGCTTTGAATTTGACCCATCCAGTGGATGGTGAGGTCGTAAAGGAATATGAAAAGCTGAACAAAGAGGCTAGTCTTTCTCCATTATCAAGATATATGAACCTTGAACTTCGCCGTCTTACAACCTTTATCACCTTCAACAGGTGCAGGGCCTTCAGAACAAGATCCATGGTCACGAGCGCGTGATTCATAAATTAAACAAGAAGATCACGGAGGTGTATGTAAGTGTGAAGTCATCATTTGAGATAAACAATCGACGGCAGGACTTGACGCGTTCTTTTTGCATTTGGATCGAACAGGATTTATGGAAACCGCATCTCGATGAGCTTGTGGCAAAAGTAGACGCAAACTTTGATGCAATGTTCAAAAGTAGGTCTGCTTGACTTGCACTGACGTTGTTTCTTGTGACTAATCTTTGCTTTGATTGACCCAAATTCAGAAATGGGAGGTATGGGAACGGTCCTAATCGAAGAAGATCCTGATTTTGGCAAATGGGGTCTCACCATCAAAGTCTCCTTTAGAGAGAACGAGCCTTTGATGCCTTTAAACGAATACGCGCAATCGGGTGGAGTAAATCAATTCATGTACAGTAGGCTATGGTTGATATGCTGATCAAGTTCTGGCTTTTTTTTCTTGTAGGAACGATCTAAATCAACAGGCCTATTTCTCATGGCGTTGACTCAAATAGCCAAGACACCATTTTGTGCAGTTGATGGTATGTTGCTCCTAGACGAGTTCCCTTTCTTCACATGGTTCTCATTACCGGATCTCTGGACCAACACCCAATGATGATCAATTTGCTTTTGTAGAAATCAATCAAGGTCTGGATCCTGACAACGAACGAATGTTACATAACCAAGTGGTCGCGTCTACGTGCCTTGATACGACATCTCAATACTTTCTCATCACACCCAAGTTACTACTAAATCTGAACTATCATCCAAAAATGCGTGTCCTTTGTATCAACAATGTGAGCTGCCAATCCAAGATTGATTATATAACCCTATCCGTATCAAAGCGCGCTAGCTGAAGATATTTTTTTGTGGCGACTTCTTTTTTATTTATAGGGACACTGGCTTCCGTCCGAATTCAAGATCAGAGGTTTTCTTGAAAATGCGAAGAAGAACCGTCTCCAACGTGCCAGACAATGAAAAAGTTACAGCAAACTAAACTCTCTTGATCATTCTCTTTTTCTCCATCGTCTTTTTGTAACACTTTATTGTTTTGATTTGGATGAGAGACACATCGATTCAAAAGAAGTTTCATAATTCATATTCTTCTGCTCAAATAAACACAATGCTGATGTTAACGATTGTATATGTGTAAATATGGTTCATGAGCATATCATCTTATATACTTTGTTGAGTTCTTTGTGTCTGTGTGGTGTCCAGAGCGGAGCCTATGACGACAACACCCGGTTGTCCAAGGTTGTCGAGTACATATACAGCACGCCTTTTTTCTCCTGACCTTCAAGTCCTTCAAAATGTTCATACAGGTTCATACTACATACATGAAAGTGATATTTTTGTTTCTTCATCCTACCGTCGAGTTCATTTATTGAAGCTTTCCGGTGGAGGCGATGTTCTCCCTTGCTTGTTCGGGACCGGACAGCGAACTTTGTCGTCACGGTCCAGGGCCGAACTCAGGTGTCTTATGTACCAGAACGTGACGCCCTGCCTTGAGTATTAATTCTGTCCCTCCATTCACGATCTCCTTCTCCAAGATGTCAGACGCCTTCTCGCTTTCGCCGCCTGAAGAATTTTCTTTCCCATTCACACCTTGTATGTGATCTCGAAGCATCTCCAAATCCATTACAGACTAAGACCCTTTATTGATCGGGGGGGTTCTTTGAACCAATACTTTGGGTTCTTCCTGGGAATTATCCAGATGACATCCAAAAAGAATTTATGCGACACTTATTCCAAGCTGTTGAGGAACACAAAGTTGGAATTTTTGAGAGTCCAACCGGAACTGTCAGTCGCTCTCTAGTGTTCCCTTGTAGATCAGCTTCTTTATGAAGGGGGCTGATTCAGGATGAAGGAATAGGGAAAATCGCTCTCAATTATATGTTCTACATTGACGTGGCTTCATTCGGATCGAAGAAGATTAACTGAAGAAGCAGTGGCCACACTTACCGCCAAGCTAAAAGCAGACTGTCCAGATGGTCAGCTATATCTATCTACAACACTGCTGCTTCAAGTTGCTGATATTTACACATACAAACTCAAAGAGCCCGATTGGGTTTTGAAACAAGATATCGAGCGTAAAAAACGCGAGCTTTTGGCAGGTGAAGAAGAATTAGAGAAACGACTTCTTGCCATCAGATGTCAAGAGTCAGAAGCTAAGCGAAACCAAAATCGGAAACTGGACGCTCCCAGTAAAAGACGGGTATGTACAACACCAACTACCACACCTTCTAAGGTCTTTTAACAAAGGCTTGGTCATCTTATCACTGACTTTTCTTCGTAGAAAATTGCTACCATATCTGATCAATCTGATGAAGAATTTGCACCAGAAGATGATGAGGGCCAAGAAGATACAATCGGTCCTAATGGGCTTCCTCGTAGTGTTCAGGAGATGATTGACAAGTGAGGGTCAAGTTTAATAATGATAAAAAAAAGGCTAATAATCTTGGCTCTATAGGTATAGTGGACCCAGTGCTAGACATCAACCGGTTATGCTCGAACCTGACACAAAAAAGGTATACCCTATCACTCTCTGTCTTTTCATGCTAGATTCTCATCACCTTTTCGTATATTTTTCCATCGCGGAATCAGATATACTTCACATCCCGTACACATTCCCAGCTCAGTCAATTTGTGAGCGAACTTCGTAAGACTTCATTCGGTCTCGGAACTCGCTTGATAGCACTAGGATCTAGGTCGAATCTATGCGTTAATGAAGAAGTCAAAAAGAAGGCAAAATCACTGGAAGCGCTCAACGAGGCTTGTACAGATCTTCAGAAGGGAGGTAAGTACTCTACTTGAGCTGTTGCTAACTTTTTACTCGATTCCTCACTGAAATTGTTCTTATCAATTTCTCACTGTGACAGATAAAGCATGCCGATGTCCTTATCTTCCTCCTATGGAAGACGATGTGATCATGAATGAGTTTCGTGATCACGCCCTCGTTAGTCTCATCTTTGACTAAAGAATTGAGTTTTACCGAATGATCTGAATCTCTCTTACGCTCGACAGTCTGAAGTGAGGGATATTGAAGAGTTAGCAAGTCTTGGAAAAGAGCGTGGGGTATGTCCGTACTACGGCGCTCGAAAAGCTTTAAGGCAAGCTCAGGTGAGGAGGATCTGAACAGGACACCTATAAACTTGTGGCACAATAAGCTGAGTACAGTCTAGGTGATAGATTGTCACATTGCCCTACAATCTAGTAAGCTTGTTGATCACATTTTCACTCTTGGAGCCTTGGCTGAAATACATGATTTGTGTTCCAGCTATTACAGAAGTCGTCGCGAAATGCCCTGGGGATTTCATTGACAGAGTCAGTATTTTCTCGCAGGCTAAATCAAAGATCAGCATCACTGAACAAATGAAAAATATCGATAGTAATGTGATCATCGTTGATGAAGCACACAATCTGATTGACAATGTATTAGCAATTCATTCAACATCAATCTCATCAAATTTTCTAGAATTAGTAAAAAACTCATTCAAGATCTATATAAAAAAGTTTGAAAAAAAACTCAAAGGATCCAACTTAGTACATTTACAACAACTTGTACGTGTCTTCGAATGTCTTGGAAATTATTGTGATGAATTGGCAAAAGCTTTACCTAAGAATTTAGGAAAACATGAAGAGATTATCACTACCAATTCTCTTTTACAAAAAACTGGGGTTTTAGATTTACTCAATATGCACGATTTAGAAGAATACCTCAATGAAAGTAAAATCATTAATAAGATCTCAGGATACGCTACTAAAGTAGAAACTGTAATGAATAACACCGATTCGGATGACAAAGGTAAAATTACATTTTTATATCAGTTCGGTTCATGTCAAGAGACAATCAAAACTGAAATCCGTTTTTTATTCTCATTCAAGCTTTCAAGACCCGTTCAACTTTTGTAACTGGTTTTTACAGAATTCAATCATTTATGCTAGCTTTATCTAATGCAGAAAAAGATGGACGTGTTTTATCGAGCTCTGAGCGGTCTAGTACTGATGAGAAAAAAGTGGTAGTCACCTTAAGATATCAGCTTTTGAATCCTTCTGAAACATTTAGGGATGTGGCATCCGAAGCTCGATCAGTGATTTTGGCTGGTGGTACCATGGCACCTGTGCGTTTTATTCCTTTCATGATATCTTGAAAAGTATTGAAAGGAATCTTACTACTTAAATTGACTATGTTTATCTTACCCAGATCAGTGATTTTCGAACCCAGTTGTTTCCATACCTCGGTCCTGACCAATTTTTGGAATTCGCATGTGCTCACGTCAGTTCTCTCTGATCTTCAATCTCAGATCAACCAAAATTTTGACTGACGAAAATTGTTCAATAGATTGTACCCCAAGAAAATTTGCTGGTCAGAGTCGTTCCTCATGGACCTAGCAAGACACCACTAGAATTAAAATTTGCAAGTAGGGGAGATAATAAGCTGGTATTTATCTAATTTCCTTCATAAAAAATAAAATTGTGACTGTAATCTAATGAAGACTTGAGGAATTTTTAGCTTGATGATCTAGGCCAATCAATCTCCAATATTTGTAATGTTGTGAAGGATGGAATTGTCTGCTTCTTCCCTTCCTATGCTATTCTAGACAGTTTAAGAGATCGTTGGAAAACTAGCGGCTTGTTGAGTAGGTTAGAAAATCGAAAAAAGGTGAGTTTTCAGAGTCTTTTGCTTATACTTTAACACGTTAGATGAGACTTTTGTTCTTAATCTTTCATAAATATCAAGGTTTTCAATGAACCTAAGAGCTCGGCAGATGTAGAAACGACACTCAAAGATTACGCTTCAGCCATCACATCTCCTACTTTACCTCAAACAGGTGCTTTACTTTTTGCAGTCGTAGGTGGCAAACTATCAGAGGGTATAAATTGTAAGATTCCTTGATAACTCTAGAGAAATTACTTTCTTTTCACCAATCGGAATTTAATTTTCTCCAGTCTCTAATGAGCTTTGTAGAGCAGTAATAGTGATCGGTATACCGTATCCTAATGCAAACTCTATCGAACTTAAAGAACGTATCAAGTATGCTGAAACTTTGAGTGGAGGTAAACGTGAAGCTGGTGCGGCTTTGTGTACGTATTCTTAGAATAATGAAAGATTTTTCCATTTAATAAGATTAGGAATTATAAGAATGCTAATCTTTATATCAATGTTTGATATGTCTTTTCCCAGATTCTAATATGGCATTTAAAGCTGTCGTAAGTAGATTTTCTTAATTTTGTAATTGGTCAGCTAAAATTGACAATTGTATCTAATTGATTGATTTACAGAACCAATCAATCGGTCAGTCCAATATCGATTGTCTTCTTTTTACTACAATTATCCTCAGTTTGCTTTGGAATAAGAACTGAATAAATATAAAATTTGGAAATGACAGGTAGATCAATTCGACACGCAAATGATTGGTCGTCGATCATCCTTTTGGATTCAAGATATGGTACTGAAAATAGTCAAAAGAAATTACCAGGTTGGATTAATTCTAGTTTACAGATATCAGATAACTTTGGGAAACTTGTAAAAGATTTAGCACAATTTAATCAAAGAATGAATAAGAAGAATGTCACTTGAGGTGGTTTTTGATAAAGATATGTGGGGATTTTGTAGATACATGATAGAAGATACGAATGAGTATGATTCATCTGTGTTACATGTCAATTCATATCAAAGTTAGTGGTTTTTGAGTCTTATAAAGAGGTTTGATGACTGATTCATATAGACAATGGAACGCTTCACTGGTGGAAACGCTTAGCCTTCATATGCTGATTGACTTTTCCAAGCTTTTTACCTTTCAATATTAAATGTATATAGACGTATTCGGATGAAACGAAACTAAACAGTCTTTCAAGCCATTCATGTCATTCATGTGGCCATCCATAGCTTTTCACAGGCAAGCGAAACGAGAAGGGAACTATGAGTATGCATCCATGTTTGGAACGCTGCTTCAGGCTCTAATGATAATGATTTCTGATTTTCTCCTTCTAAAGTAAAGACACGCTGACCATGAGCTGTTTCCTGGCAAAAGGCGGAGAAGAAAATATCACACCGTCAGGCAGCCAAGTCTCATTGCGTGTTCCTTTTATCACCGTTGTTTGCCATCAGAATTCCAAAAGGTTTTCTTGCCCTACGGGTGTGGAAGACAGAGAGACAACCAATGTGAAGCAAGATGAAGAGAGAAAACATACCTATAACTTTAACGGCTGGAAGTAAATCTTGAACAAACCATCATAAGAGTGTGCAAGAGAAACTCACAAGTCGTACAACCAAAATTGGCCTTGGTGCTTGTATCACAAATAATGCTTTGGTACTGCTTTGATAATGCTTGGTTAATGCTTGGATAATGCGATTGAGAAATGTGATTGAGAAATGCAATTATGTATTTATGTCATGTTTGCGCCTCAGCATCATGGTATTTTCGTTTCAAGTTTCTTTGATCCTTCCATCTTTCTTACCAACTTCACTCTTACTCCTATCCAAATCCCACCATCCACTTGTTTCAAATCACTTCATCATGCCTCCACAAAGCCGTCAAAATCAAGCAAATCCTTCCTTCTCCCCACCTGTCCGTCCACCATCAGATATCTTACTTCGCCAAATCATGAGATATCGAAGACCGGACTTTGTCCTCTCACCCAGGCCCCTCCAGTGTATTCCAACCCCTGTCCACCGCAGTGCTTCCCCCAAAAAATCAGTCAAACCTCTAATCCCGGAATCCACTCCCGTCAAGGCTCGATCCAAGAAGACAATCCCTCTGATCCTGAAAGATGCTAAGCACAACCCTTCAATCACCTCCTCTCGGAAACATACCTACCGCCCTTCGATTAAAGGACCTATCATTCTTGTGACCGACCACTCCAAGATCCCTAAGCCCATTCCTCTCGCTTCCCAAGTCCTGGGCATGGAACTGACTAACATTGACGAGGTAGATTCCATTACTTTTTCTCTGGTTTTTGATACTTCTTACTGACTTCATTTCTTTCTCGTGTCCACTGCGCTATCAGAGCGAATCTCTCGAATACGGTGCTTTGATCGACGACAACTAGGTATCGATCTAACGGGTTCATCAGGCTTATTCGACGAGATTCATATGTACCACAATGTAAATTCCCTCATGATCTTGATAATCAATCAGTGCTGGAACGATTCTGAATTCAGCTTTTCTTACAGCTATCCTTCCATTGTTTCATTATCACTTATTCTATCACGTTTCTGGTTCCCCGTCCTGCTATGTATAAAAAAAATCAAAGTATGTAAAAAAATCTTTACAAAAATCTTTAGCCGCTTTTATGTTAGTCTCACATGTCAGCCTTTCCCTGCGCTATCACCATTTAGATCACTACATATACCCTCAAGTTTCTCATCAGTTCTTTTCTATATGTAGTGGCCTTCTTAGCTATGGCCCAGTATATCAGTCCCCTGCTATTGTTTATACCATAAACCAAGTCAATTTCCTAGAACCTTGGTGCTTTGGATTCTTTTATTGTAGTTTCTTATTTTGTTTTTTTGTTTGATCTTTTTTGTCCACTATACATAGAAAGTTTGTACAACTCTTTTGCTCATCTTCTCTTTCTTGCGTTGCTTGATGTTTTCATAACTCGTCAATTCAGGACCTTTCATATGTGGGCAATGTTATGAGATCCTGAGTAGAATTTAAGTTGTTGTCGAATTTTATATGAAAGATTTCTTAAAAATATTGATTATCTTCAATACCACCAGTCTTGGTGGTTGAACTTCAAATTGAAGAAAAGCACTTGCATAAACATCCTACATCAAAATGCCGCTCAATTTTGTTTCAATCTTTTTACAAAAAGAAAACACCCCACGTGAGTGAGAAGCACATAGTGTACATTTTTTTCTGGTATCAACAAATTTTGAACTGGTGGGCAAACTGTTACCACAATTGTGGACAAGTTGAACCCCTCTATCAAGTAAAAAATCAAAACAATTTTCTCAAACATTCATCTTAATAGAAGTGTAAATTTGAATCCAATGTTTCTCAACTGATTCATCCCAAAGCATTCAAAACCAAACAAAACTACAGGACAATGTATATCCAGTAGTAAATCCACTAAGATTATGATTCCAAAAATGCCAAAAGTATCAATTAAGAATTGAAGCGGAAAAACATCTGTCAGAATTATTCTTTAAGTGTGAGTTTATTTTATTCATAAAACTGAGTCCCTATACATGTCAACATGAAAGGTTTTGTTCAAACTTCTACCCAATCATATCACCAAAAGCTCTCTTGAAACCCTATCATGATATCCTAAATTCCACACTTTGTTACAAATCAAACTCCAAAAGATTTTCCACTGCTCTTTTAAACAGGCAAAAATTTCATAAACTTCAAATCTCACTTGAAAATTCCAGCTTCAAGGCATATGCATCCAAAGAAAACAAAGACGACACATACACATAGGTCCAGAAGACAATTCCTTTGGTCCTAGAAGTTGCTACATAGACAAAGCAAATACGCTTACCAGTCTTTTCTCAAAGGACACATCTTTTTTCTTCATTCCAAAATTCATGAACCAATTCCTTCTGTTTCCTGTGGATCTGACAGAGATGGATTTCTTAATTAGTGATTTGACTGATGTTACATGGGGACCAGAACAGCAGGCAGGTACCGGAATACGCGGAAAGAAAGGAGCAGGTATGGGTGGAGGATATCAGTTTATGTTTGACCTCTATCTAGAGTCACGATGTCGCCAAGTGCGATCTGTATATATCTGGAAAAGAGTAACATTGCTGACTGGCGAGTCTGGGTAAGGTGAAGTTTGCCTGAAATCCATCTCCTTGACGTTGTCCACTTCAGTATATAGGACTCGGCAAGCAAAAGGGATCTGCTTAGATATTTTGGAATGCTTGTTAGTAATGTGTCCTTTGATTGAAGGCTGATAAAGTATGTTTACAAGAGGCGGTGAGGAAAGAGTTTTATTTATGTATGTAGCATCTTCCAGGATAAGAGGAATGTAATTGTTTTCTTCCTTTTTTGGGGTAGGCCTTGAAGGTGGACTTGGTCAAAGTTAGAACCTCAATTAAGACCTATCAGAAAGCAAATCACTCCAGGTCAAGAGACAAGAGGTGCAGTGTAAATACAATCTTGTAGTTCTCACTTGAGATTCACGTCTAAAGCTAACATCGACAAACAAGGCGTGGCTTGAGTGTGATATAAAGCAAATATGATCTGAAGTAATGGTGAATATTGCACACTGAAAATAGAACTAACATGACTGTGGTTTATATACGAGAGCTTTCGAGCTCAACATTCAAAATAAGTAAAAATTCAAGTCAAGTTTTTCAGTGACGAGTATCAGCTCAATCCATGAGCAGTAAAGCACTTCAGAAGTTCCTGACTCTAGGATCGGCTGAGCACAATGAGCAGAAGTTCCTGAGTCTAGGATAGGGTGAGCCCAATAAGTGCGAATACAAGATAACGAAATGCCGATCACTGTATGTCAACAATTTTTTTGAGCCAAAAGTTAGAGTCAAATCCATGATTCCCTTGCCCTTCCCTCCAAACATAAACCTTTCTGAAAATCTCAAATGAAATATATCCAGTTAGTCTAAACAAACATAACTCAATAAACCTTTTTTTCTTTCAAGAACTCATCTAATTTTAACATCTGACCAAAAACCAAAATCATAAAAAATGCATCAATAAAAGATTTCCATTTCTCAATCAATCTCTAACTTTGTGGTTTGCAAGTCATACACAACATCATTCATCCACAAATAGTCAAGCTTCCCAATCCAAAGGATTTCTAAGCAATAGCCGACAAAATCAAATCACAAGCTTCTTGATCTTCACCTCTAGCCGTGATTTCTAAAGTAACACCAGCTTGTGTACTATAAGTCATCCTAACTCTAACTAAAACTTTTTGACCTTTTCCTTCTGTTGTAGTTGATGAACCTTTTTGATTTCCAATCACTATTCCAGATAAATTTAATGTATGAACAGAAGATGAAGTAGGACGTTCACTTCCTCCTAATGCTTCCATATTCAATAACTCAATAATTGTCCCACAAGCCGCTAAAAATTCCGTAAAATCAGATCAGCATGTAGTTAAGAAGAGTGATAAGAAACCAAGAAAAACACATACATTCCAAACTCTTCAAAGAACTTAATGAGAACGTTTCCGTCACATTCACACCAGACCTTAACCTATCCCATTCTTGAGTAAACCCAACATAAGTAGGTAAAATATAATCTCCTACACCAATTTCAACTTCTTCAATTTGATATTCATCTTCATAACCTTCTTCTTCTGGTTCTCCACTTTCTGGATCCACTTCTTTGGAAATAAATTTCAATGTACAACCAAAACTACCTAAATCATATCCTATTCTACTATATGATACATATATCGTTCCTGGTTCACTTCCAATTGATGGGATTGGAATTATGAAATCCTCGGTCAATGTATCTGATGGTGAAGTAGGTGTCATTAGAACTGAAACTTGTTCTAGAATCGTATCTGGTAAAGTGTTGGTAAGATTGAACTATAATACCATAGATATAGCTCTCTTCAGTAACAGGCCCTTGCTTTGAGTGATCGAGAGAGGAAGTACTCAACTTGGAAGACGATATGTTCGGCAAAGACATGCTTTACTAAGCTCACTACATACTCAGTCTCATGCTCAGTAAGTGGTATTGGTTTAGAAGAACTTTTCAGAACGGGTCCATAGGTAGCAAATTCAGGTACAGTAGCTAGTTGAGCAGCGTAATTAGATTGAGTTTCAGCTCTCGACGCTGCATTGGGGCTTGGACCACCGATCGCAACAGCAGACGTCGGTTTATTAGGGTTATTCAAAACGGTAAGATCGGTAGTAGTCTCATGACGAGCACCTGTTTTCCAATACAAAACCAAAAACTTTAACAATGAAAATTGCGATAGTTGATGAAGGTTCAAACACTTACGAATAGCTTCTTGACGAGCTTGCTCTCGACTAATACGAGGAATATTGGTCAATTCGAAAGGAGATTCTGTTGCTTCAGCATTACTCATATAAGAAACTAATTTGGTTTCAAGAACCGCTAGGGAGATAGTAGAGTCTACAATCATGACAACGAAAAATCGTCAACAACAGAACCAAGTCAGATCAGAGAAAGAGCAAAGACAAACCATCTTTAACGAATTTTTCAGCCAATGGTTCCTCCTTCAAAACTTTCAAGTAAAGTGCGGCCCGATCTCTAACTTCATCATCTACATCATCTAAACATCTGAAGAAGAAAAAAATATGAAAATCTCATTCCGGAAGATGCCAAGACTGAGAATGACAAACCTAGTCAGGAGGACTTTGATACTAGCTTTTACCCCAACATCAGAAACATTGACACCGAATTTGGCCAAACTTGAGACTGCAGCTGCACGAACTATCGCGTTTTCGAGGATAACTCGGTTATAAATGTATCGAATGTATTTAGATGGTTGTACAGCTTTTGGACCCTCAATACCGAGTAAATGTAAGATCCGGACCGAGAGTTTGGTGAATTCGCAATCTTCGATGAATTCACACAATTGTGATAGAGCTGATCACATACAATAAACAAGAAAGAGAAAATGTGAGGAGGTGACACTTTTGGAAAGATATGTAAGTCTGTTTGACTGAAGGAATAGAATATTACCTGTTTCTTTAGATTCGCTAATGAACTTGATCATATCAAAGATAGCTTCTACTACCGCACGTTTGAAATCATAACCACCTTCGTCTCTCAAGATCCCAGATAAAAAGTTGAGCATGACAGCTTGTTTTGCTGGGAATTTGAGACATAAGGCCCGAATAGCATTGACGATGGTGACTTTGAATTCATCTGAAATCTCAGACATGAAAGCTGAGATTTGCTTCATTAATCTGTCTACCGATGCCTCATTTCCAGTCTAAACAAAACCGAACTCACTTCCAAGTAAGCGTATATTCAAAGAAATCTATAGCAGTTAGAACATACCTTCAAAAGAGTGGTGATGGCAAACGTAGCTACTCCACGATTTTCGTCATTGATCAAACGTTCCATATCAAGATTACAAGCTTGAACCGGTTGTGGGTGTTGTTGAGCCAATTTGGCCAATGTACGGATCGCAGCAAATTTAAGTGTACTCTTGGGAGATGATAAGAAGAGTTGAAGGACAGCTACAGGTCTGTAAAGTTCAGATGCGGACACATTTCTCATCTCACAGATCGCTCGAGCTGCTTCGAAATTGACCATGTCTGATTTATGTCTCAGGAAACCTTCAAGTAATTCGTGCATCTGTTTGTGCAAGCTGTTTGAGTGTTAAAAGAATAGGTCGATCAGTACTTGAAATATAACGGATGATCAATGATGTATGATCGGACTCACTTGGGATCCTCATCCATCAATTTAGCCGCAAATCTAATCAACATACAAAGTGCATAAGGACTTCTCAAAGTGTTACTCTTTCCACCACCAAGGGATTGAATCATCTTTGAGACAGCCATTCGATCCTGTTGACGGATTCCATAAAGTAAACCGAGTGCATGATATTGAGTGATATAACTAGAGCTAGCAACAGGTTGGAATCCAGATTGAGCTTGACTACCACCACCACCAAAACTACTCAAATAACTAGCAGCACCAGAAGGCATAAAGCTAGATGTAGAACTAGGTCCTTTAGCATTTAGAGATTCTTGAGCTTCATTGGCCCAACGTCTGATCACTTCTTTAGCAATTGGATAAAGATGATAAGATGAAACCAGAGCTGCTGAACTGATCGATGCATTCCGATCAACAATAGCAGATTTGTAAAATCTTTCAATACCTTGAATCATGGAACCATCTATGACTCGACAAAGCGCTCGAATCGCATTAGGTCGATATATGACTTCTAAATTCGGTTGCATATCTTTCATGATCGAAGAAGTCACCATGATCACATCTTGGGCGAGATGAGAGAGTTCTTTGATGACAAGATAGACCATTTGTCTCAATGCGCTCTGCAAGAGAATATCGAATCCGATCATGGAAAAAGAAGGGAGGATCAGTTGAGTCATACAAAGTGTTCGATCGGTATGATTACACTTGACTTACATCTTTATGTTGAAAGAGTTTAGTGACTCCAAAGAAGAGTGTAGTAGCTTCTTGTGGACCAAACGTTTCACCAACGTATAAAAGGTAAACTATCTTGGTAAGTAAGATTCTGCATTTTCTGGGTGAGATAGGTGATTCGTTGAAGACTCTTGCTTCTTGAATGACGGTGGTTTTGTCTTGCATGAAATGAGCCACTGAATTGAAATCAAAACCAATTAGTGAATGTATGAATTAGTTTGATGGTAGTGTGAGCTTGACTTACCACCTGTTTCTTCATCTTTTTTGAATGACATGATAACTTCGATGTCTCTGAGGATGTGGTTGTGGTTGTTGAAGATGGTGTTGGATGGTGAAGTGGTAGTGTTGGTCGTTGTTGACTGCTGAAGTGTCACTTGGTCTTTCGTCACCTGGCACGTGTTCCGTGGAGATCATACACACTGACTGACACCACAAATTCACAATACACTGATCGACGGAGACTGTATCGCGGATCCAAATGCCAATACCGCTAAAACCAACATGGATTCGTGGCCCAGTGGTAAGGCGCTCGCCTTCGATATAGGCGTAGCGAGAGATCGTCGGTTCGACCCCGGCCGGATTCACCTTTTTCACTTTTTTGTGGTCTTCAGGGAGCTTATCAGGAATTCTGAATGATTGTGATTGCTGAAATGTGTACAGACGTCAGGGGAAATATGCAAAGGTGATGCTGGTTTTTTTACTTTATTGACAGGATGCTTCTGCTCCATGAGTATGTATTGCTCTTGACCAGAGAAGGTGCATCAAAATCAACACTGTGCTGTCAGTGCTGGAAAAGCTCTCACCTTCATCAACTTTGAATTGGATGGACTATTTGTTTTCAAAACTGGTGGATATATATGCAAAAATATGCAATTGTTCTAGTAATAGGGGGGCTCAAGTCAAAATATTTTACTACTTTTATTAAGGGGTTTCAAGTTTGATTTTTTACGTGATTTTACGTTTTAAAAACTTGGACGAAGTTGTAAATTTTACGTAAAATATTTTTAAAACGGTCGACCTTTTTACGTCTCCCGTTTTAAATTTAGCGTAAACATACGCTTATAAAAATTATTTGGTCAAGTTTTCCCTCTCTTCTTTACCTGTCTTTACATGAGGAGAAAGGGTTTCTCGGATTTGCAAGGGAACCTCAGCACCGAGCACCTTATTCCAAGGTTGAGTTATTAAAAGCTTGGGCATCGAAACGGTCAAGTTTCTTTTACGACCTCAATTATCCAGCGTGCTGGATTTTTACAAACGGTCAAGTTTAAAATCCTATGGCGTTGTATAAAACTTGACTGAATTTTTAAAAAAACATATAAAAAATTCGAACTTGAAACCTCTTATTGTAATTTTTTTTTCCCAATTGCATAAAATTTACGCAAAATTTTATGCAATTGGGAAAAGTTATACAACATCCCAAATTTTTTTAAGCAGCAAATTTACACAAATTTTTTACGGTCCTTGTTTACAAATTGGGAAAAAAAATTACAGCACAGTACCGTAAAAAACTTTCCCCAATTTTTTAAGAAAAGGCCACAAAATTTTTGACTTGAGCCCCCTTAATATCAGATGGCCAAGCTTAAAAATTGTTTCAACAGTTATCACTCATGAAGAAAAACATAATTCATTATTACTTACTGAAGATAAATTTTGGTATGCTATGATGATTAAAAACATTACGTGAGATAATTGAACTTCAGATTCAAATGTTGCTACAATTATGGTGTTCAAACCTGTGCAAGACCGATGTGCAAGATCCGTGCAAGATCTGTGCAAGATTTTTTGCACCAATCTTGCACATTAATTTTTTTGACAACCCGAGTTATGTGCTCCAGACCGTGCAAAAACTGTGCAAGACCGACTTGCAAGTTTTGTGCAAGATCTGTGCAAGTTCTATTCATATCTTGCACAGAACTTGCACAAAACTCACACAAATTAATTTTGAGGTTTGAACACCATAAATGTCTATACAAACCTGAAAGTATAAACTTGGATTCTAAGAGTCGGAATGAAGAACTCTTAGGTCTTTCTTTGGAAAAATAGTCAATCTTATTTACATACTATCTTATCTGCTGTAACTCTTTTTCTTATCCTGGGTTCAAGGTTTGGAATCCTCATCCCCTATTATCATGTAACCAATAGATGAGCAAGTCATAGAAAATCATGGAAGCTGCAGAAAAAAAAGCAATATATGTGTCATTTTATCTTACTCTTCATGCTGTTACAGTCTGATGGTGAAATCAAGCACAATCATTATAACAGATCAGAGATGGTTAAAATCTTATTGAAGTTTGTGACCCTTCAAAAAAGTAGAAGGTGACAATCTTGAATTCATAAGTTGATAGCAAAGCCCTGGAACTTGGAAGACAGAAAAAGTCTTACAAAAAGTAAACTCTCCTGAGGTACAATATCTAATGGTGGTGGTTACTCCAATGAGACACACAGTCTTCAAATATGACACCATAAGTTATAACTGCAGCTTTGAATAGGACAAGATGGGGCTAGGTCTGTTTTGCAAAAACAGCATCAAGCAAAATCATAGGTTTTTGGAATCTGTAGGGAAAACTTGAGTCATATCTTGAAAATATTTGCCATCAAATTTTGAACTTCATTGGAGGTATAACTTGATGAAGACAATTTTCAGGGATGTATTCTTACCAGCTACCTATCAGAAATCTTTGAAAACACATCCAGTTGCATTTTTGTATCAATGATGAACTTTCAATGTACATACACTGACACAACAGCTGATGATATATGCTCAATTGAATCCATCCAACAGAATTGCTAGGTTTCTAATAACAGTGCACCCTCAAAACAGAAAAGTTCTTGGGTCCAAAACAAGTGCAATATGTCTTGGAATTATGGTACATACTTGTTGTTGAAGTCCCTGATGGCTCTATCATCTGACATATAAGTTTCTCACAGCATCTTTATATATTTAGGGCGTGAAAGCCACCAACATTGGTGGTAAGAAGATGATTGGGCATATCATACTCAAATATAGAATCGTGGTATGATTTGAATCAACGGCACAACTTGTTAGAATGGTTTCCAATATCACAAAACCATATGCCTGTATCAAGAAATTTGACTTGGGTTGATTTGTTTCCGCAGGGGTTCTGATTGTGTAGAAAAATTTATGGATGCATTGTGCTTACCATCTTACTCAGGTTTGAAGATAGCAGTAAGCAATAAGACCAGGTAGTTTGAAGAGAAGCTGTCCTATACAGAAGCTTTCAAGTTACCGTGTGTGGGTATAGAACAGGTGCGTGAACAGAGAACAAACACACTTCCCGAAAAATATTATTAGATTTTGTCCACCTCTCATTCTTATGATAATAAGAATGTAAAAGGCGATTCTTTCAAGATGCCTGGATCCGACCAAAATACTTGTTGGTCTGATTTCTCGACGGGTTTGTTTTACAATTGAGTTTTGTTGTGGATTCAAGTTTTGTATGTATCTTTTGAAGGATGTTCAAGAATTATGTTGGATTTTATTTCATGCACTTAGTTTTAGATTGCCAAGGACACAAAAACCAACAAGTTTTCCTCTTGGGGTGGTCAACCATTTCACAATTGTTGGATCATCCCTTTGTTTCTTATCAGCTAATACACCATCAAGGCAGGTAATTGCTGCAGAATGTTGCTATCCAAGACTCTCAAATAAAACAATGGTGTTTACATCCGAGGTTTAAGGTCAGTCGAATGGACTACAATGAATGTTGTTTTCGATCGGACGAGCATGCCGGATCTCGATGTCGGCACAATAGAGATGGAAGGTCTTGAGAGGATCTGTAAAAATTAAATTTTGAGAGACACCACGAATTGCGAAGCTTTGGTTCCACGCCTCAATCTGTACATAGGCTGAGCCGATCCTGATACCGACTTCACCGCCAATTGTAGGTGGCTGGCGCCATAAAGTTGATACCAGGCACTAAACTGCACCTGCAAACAATTCCAAGCGTTTCGAAAGAGGATGTAGAATTCAACCTGATTCATCACGCAGTTGAACTTGTAACTAAGCCCACGCTATGTGTTTTAACCATGATAAAGCCTCATGGTTGCACTCGTCTGGTGGTTTCTCATTGCTCAAGTTGATGTTCCGAATTCTGAAGAAGCCCTCACCCACAAGTTAGTTACGATACCCTCTCAAGTTTCTTTGTGCATACTAGGCCTGCATTGGACTCACAAACCGAAACAGTTCTTCCGCTTGGTCAGACTCGCAGTTTACTCAGCATCGCGGCACCGTCGATCAAGGATAAAAGGTTCATAGGAGGGATTTCCCAGGGTTCTGTTCGCTCCTGTAACACATGGAGTTCAAAAGCAATGAGGCAGCTATGATCTTCATCGATGGCGAACTCATCTCGAAACATCAAATATTGCGTGATACGATCCATAGTTTCATTCCTGGGGGTTTTGCTGCATGTTGGTTAGGTGGTAAGTTTTTTTTGCATTTTCCTTCAAATCAAACTTTCCAAGGTGTTGAAGATGTTTTCTTGTACCCAGGAATCGCATTTGTTCAGGCGATTCGATTGGCTGCCCGGCTTACGCCTGAACAACATTTTCTCAGATGGGGGCTTTGGGCTCTGTTGACAGTGGAGGCGGCGTATTGTGCGTAAGTTGGTCCAACTCTCAATTTTCATAGAATCCAATGAAGATTTTACGAGAAAAGATACCTAAAGCGAGTCAACTTCTCTATAAATGCCTGGCAGTATCTTTGGCGCGTTTCTGATGCACTCAGTCATCGAGGTCTTTGGAAATCACGCAGAGCTCTATAGGATACCTACCTTGCTGAGGTAAGTTCTACTGGCTTGTTCTGGAGGTGTATGAATCACCGACTTATCCAAATGGCTTCACTTTCGATCAATCTCATTATAATCTCAGTATCCATGCTTTGATATCACGCATCGTAAGTACAATCTCATCCAAGAGTAATGTGGCAATCAATGTCTGACATAACTTAGTCAACATTTACTTTCCTATCCTTGAATTTAGCTTATCACAGCTGGTGAGTAGTTTGTTACGTTGGATCGAAGTCATTAACTGAGCTCAAGTCATTCGATTTAACCTTCATTCCAGCCCAAGTTGTTCTTGCTGTACGAGCCTGGACTCTTTCGGGAGGAAAGGCATATATTCTCGTCACCATCTTGATGTTTTGTGCTTACCACCTGGGCGTTTCATTCGCTATCACACGACGTTGTCTTTCGGTGACATACTATCATCACCTACTAGAACCTCAATGGCTATGGCAGATGTGAGCTCGTCGGATTTTTTTGAAATATTCATCCCTATAAATGAAAGTTGCTAAATGTACCACAAACCATGGGTCGTGGAATCAAATTCTAGGATGTATGCAGCGGCTGTATGTTGTATTTCGCGCTCAGACTGGCTTTCTTGTTCCATCACACTGACAATCCATAAATGCATGGCGGTCAGATCGTTAGCGATTCAATCATCACACTATCTCTCTTCACGATCCTCAACAAGCGAAGAACAAGGACGAAGGATTTCATGACGTCAGTGACGTTCTCTGAGGAAATTACGGTTGTCAAGAATGACTGATATATCGCCTCAATATTAGGATCGTCAATGAGGTCGGGATCTTGATCGTCGAATCTGCGCTTCCCACGACCCTGTTGGCCATCGCGTCATTGGTGGTTTTTGGAAGAGTGGGAGTGGGTGCATTGTATTCATTGGGGTGAGTTAAATTCTGGGACATTGACTTCCGACAAAGACTAGGCCGTTAGAAGACTTTATTGAACCATTTTCGACTATCTTGGGTATTCCTAGATTCATTTCAACTCAAGCATACGCAATTTCTGTGGTGGGTGTTGATAAGCTACCTTGTTCCACTTTGAACGTTTCTAATTAGAATCCGGAAAGCTAATCTCGTGTGATATACGTATGTCAACCTCTTTAGATAATTTCCATTAATTCGACCATCACCGAAAAGAACAGAAGACAGAGAGGAATTAGCAAACGTGAAGGTGAAGCAATTGCCACCAACCGTTCAAACGTAAGTTGATCCTGTTATGCTCTGCGCGTTTCTTTGTGATCTCTATTCAGGAGAGCCAAGCTGACCTATATGGGAAACATATGAAGAGACCTGCTCCTACTGCTGATTATGACAGGTCAATTGTAGAGACTGCAACTCTGGATGAAGCAATGCAGGAGCAGATTCATCAAGAATCACAAGCCATGTACTTACATACACCATCGAGAAGAGCAACACAAGTCAACATAATCTCGATTTGTACGCCTAAATCCTCTACGGGTACAAGTGGTGAATCAACTGGTGCAAGTACTTCTGAGGGTGGGCAAGAGAAGATCATAGGTTTAGAGAAACCATATGCATGAGGATTAGATTTAATTTTCCTGGGGTAGGAAATAGATTTGTTTATATCTCAACCGTTTTGAATACTTCTGCTTTTCATCTTGCACTGTGTTTCAGTTGTATCTAAGTTTTTCTTTGAGTAGAATGTCTCAGTATTTTCATTGATGATAGATGTTCAGAAGTAGATTAGAACAAAACTTGTTTGAAATTTTTGCAGATGGAAGGAGTATAGAAGGTCAAGCTTTGGAAGATCACAAAAGGTTCTTAGTAAGACAGTCACCGTGTCCGTGTAGGGTTTGCTCGTCGACGAGCAAACACTACCCAGACATGGTGAGTGATGGGAACACAAGTGATGTGGAAAAGCAAAATGTACCTGATGGTACAAGAAACAAAATATAAGAATGAATGACAAAAAGGAAACTACTAAGAGAGAATACATTCATTCTTATTTCCTAATGAGATCTCATAAAGCCATGGTACAAGTGGATAGATTTGTAGAAGGAAGTAAAATGTAGTATAATGAATACATGTCATAGAGAAAACTAACACTGACACCGCGGGAATCATTAAGTGTGAAACCAGATTGAGCAAAGTCGCGGTGTCCGGGTCCGCGACTTCCTTCAATCACGGATCTTGTTTGCCATGGGTTTGCCATAGGTTTGCAAGCTTGTCTTGAGCTGCCCTCTACATAGTCATCCACTCAGGCTGTAGTATGGACTAATGGAGGTACCATATGTCTAGACTCTTGTAACATATACATGATAAGCTCATGACTCATACATGATCTTGAGTGGTCTGAGGATATTGAAAGGAAAAACATGCATAACATAGACTGCAGCTCAGGCGGACAACTCAAGGGCAGCTCGATGCAAGCTAGTAAACCTATAGCAAACCTATGGCAAACAAGATCCGCAATTGAAGAAAGTCGCGGACCCGGACACCACAACTTTGCTCAATCTGGTTTCACACTTAATGATTCCCGTGGTGTGACAATGATGATATCTTATGTGATGAATAGTAGTCGGTAACTTGCTTATTAACAGATGGGAATGTGGATATCTTGGTTTGTAATTTACATACATACATGTGCTAACAGGTCGGATATGTTTTCCTTTTAGGTGGTTTACAGATATGATGACATATCCTGTTTACCTTTCCACTCACCGTTTTCATTCCCATCGTCTTTCCATTATCAACTTTCTCTATCTTCTTTTACTCTGTTATCATCTATTCAGACGGTTTTTTAAAGCCCACCCGCCCTTCTTCCCTTATGATAGCTATTATTTTCCTCATATTTTTCATTTTATTCTATATTTTTTTTTTAAAAAAAAAGTTGTGTAGGCAGTGTTCAGAGTGCTATTTTGATTGTTCTATGTTAGTTTGTTCTAAGATATGTGTGTTGCTAGTTTGTTTGATATTTCTAGTTTTTATATTTTTATTCTCTTTTTGCATTTATATTTTGTTATTGTTTTTTGTTTATTGTGTTTGTGATTCTTTCCGCTACCACCCCGTAGGGACATACATGTTTATTAAGTAATTTATCACCCTTGGCTTTTAGCCTTGGGATTTGCCCAAACCTTTTAACCGCTATGGTATTTTTATACCTGGTATTTTTTAAGTCAAACGTATTCACATTTCTGTGGAAGAAAATTCATTATCTAATACCCTCCCTGCTTCAAAAATCTATTGAGATTGTACATGTCAACTGTAAGACCCATACGTACATAGCATCTTTTGTTAAGAATATGTGATCAGGATTTAGTACAACAGTCAGCAGTCAGTCATCTCAAACATCAGTCTGTTGGCAAGCAAAATTATCCCATTGTCTATCTTTTCCCTAATCCAACAATATAGGATCTCAATGTATCTTGTTCTAGCACAGAAAATAGGATTAACAGCCAGAGAGATTTCTTGGTGGTCATTGAAGAGTGGAAGTTTATCATTGGTCGGTATTATCAGATTGTTGAATATTTTATGCAGCCAAATTGACTCCTGACTGGCTTGCACTACTGCTTTGTACTCTGCCTCTGTGGTAGAAAGAGAAATAACAGGCTGATCCTTAGACTTCCAGCTGACAGGACCACCAAAAATCATGAATGGATACCCCATTGTGGAGTGTTGAGTCTCTGTACAACCAGACCAGTTGGCATCCACATAGTTTGCTGGACTTGCATAAGCCAATGAACCATATAATGAAGAGGGTGCACTGCAAGTGATTTGATAAGAAGAAGTACTGCTTAACCACAAACAGTAATTGTGAAGGTGATCCTGATAACCCAGAAAAATGCATTTCTTTACCACTGGACTGAATTTAGACAGGCAAAATGGTTTGGGGATAAACAAATATACATTCCACCCAAACACATGCAAGTGGTCCATACCAGGTATTTTCCCAGCCCACAACACCTGAGGAGTATTGAAGCCTAAGCTTGCTTCAGGACTACAATCCTCAAGATAAACTGGGGTAGAGACAGCCTCCCCCCAGAATATCATAGGGCAAGAGAGCATCCATAAGCAAGCAACAAGATTGTTCTGTAGTTGTATGCTTACCATGCTCTTATATGGGGTTTTGTTGAGGAGTATATGGTGCATTAAAAGCGAATTGAATGTCATGATCACAAAGAAATCCAATAAACTCAGATGACAGGAATTCCCCACCAATGTCATTCACCAATTGCTTAATGGATAAGTCAATTTGTTTTTCAACCAAATTTTTGATTTGCACAAAATAGTCACCATGTCTGTGTGGTGTTTGCTGGTCAAAGAGTGCATATGAGTTGCCTTTGTGCCTCAAAGGCAGTCCGCATGCGCTTGTTGTTGGGCAACTGCCACAAAGAGACAGTGAGTGAAGGGTTTTGGATTTATGTTTCAAAATATATACATGTTTAAACTTGGTGTAATCATTGGTGAGTTTAAGATAGTAATAACCCCTTCTTATTGATTCAGGAGTAACACAGCCACTAAGATCACTGTGGATAACTTCAAGAGGATTATATGGACAAGGGGTTTCCTGGGAAAGGGAAGACAATGGTGCTTGTGCTTGCTGAAAATACATGTGGAACAAGTACATAGATAGAGGGAGTACAAAGGAATGAAAGAGCATTGTCATGTAGTAATGGTTTAAGTGTCCTAAGTGTCTGTGTAAGAGTATTGAGTTGTCAGGTGATGTTGTCTTTGAAACAGATAAACCAAAAGACTTACCATGAGACAGATTCAAGACAGAAATTCCATTTGAGATAAACCCATCCAATACAATTTGTGAGGATTTTTTAATTTCAAACTTGTTATCACCAGAATTAAAGAGTTGAAAACCTTTGGAAAAGAGTTAAGAAAGGCTGATCAAGTTGCTTATGAGAGAAGGGATGTGTAATGTATTGTAGAATGATAATTCCGAGTTGAGAGCTTTCACCAGGACACTACCTTTACCAACAGCTTGAATAGAATTCCCGTTGGGAAGGAACACACTCTGAGAGCATTTGGAGTAGGTCTTGAATGATGATTGATTTTCTAAACATGGTGACAGAGGTACCACTTTCTATTAAGTCCAACACTTTATCCCATTGCTTCTGAACAGCAGCTAGTGGAAGTCATAGCAGGTGGAACAGGCGGAGCAGAGAAATCCTCCCATGTAGGTAGCAAGTAACACAGTAGAAGCAGAATTAGAAGTGGACTGTCATGAACCCTTGTTCCTCAGGTGCGGAAAAAATTGATGGCATTGTTCATAAGCATGAGCCGTGTCTGGGTTATGATTCCCCTTTGAGCATATGGGAATATTATAAGCGTACAGGCTTTGATAAAACACAAAGAGTTCCAAGTACACCACGGGGCAGGTGGCATGTGACGCTCATGTGAATTTTGACCCTGCATGCTGTCTACATCGTCATACCCAATGTGAGTTACACGTGCTAGCCAGTGTGAGCATCACCCAATCTAACCCCTATCATAACAAGGTGAGCATCTCACATCATGACGAGGTGGAATAACTCACACATTGACAAGATGAGTTATCTGAAATGACAACAGTACAGGCTTGATCACCAATGACAGGTTGAGTGATTGCCCTCAGTGCTCATTCACCTTATTTGTTCTTAATAGCCAGCCCACTTAAATTGGGATGGGCTGTTTTTTTGCTGACAGAATTGTGCATAACAGAATTCATCTACTATTTGCATTGACAAATACTCTTCAATACTACATACATATATCAAGCTAATACAAGAGATAAGATTGGAAGAGTACAGCCAAAAAATAGAGACAGAAAGACTCAAACAAAATAAAATAGACCTGAAGGTGATGGGGATCTTTGTATCAAAGGAAATGATGATGTAGATATGACTGAATGTGAGACATGAAGCCAAATAGATGTATGTATTACTTACCTAATACATACAGGTGATTGAGCCAGTGATTGAGCAATCTGTGGACAAGGGAGAGTCGGATAAAAAGGAAGATTCAGATAAAAAGTAGTTACAAGAAATCAGTAAACTTGAATCGTGAAGTTAAGATGTTTGAGAACAAGAACATCTCACTTGATCTATTAAGTTTTTGTAGATTGTTACTTTGAAAGAAAGGAGCTTGTCTTGAGTGTATCTGTTTTGTTGAATGATTTTATTTGTTTTACTATAGCTGATCTTACTGATTCTCCTGATCCGATAGAAATGAAAAAGATTGGTCAAGGTTGATTAGTTCATTTGGTTTTGAATTGAGTGATTGTTTATTGAACTTCAGACAAATTGGCTTTGAAGTAGCATGATGAAGTTTGATTGTTTTATAAGTTCTTTTGAAATTCATACTTCCATTCTGCTCGATCTATTCTTCATGATTTTCATTCCGATTTTGTAAGAGATGATTCAAGGGATCGAGATAAAGCAGAACAAACAAACCTGATAATTTTTTTTTGAACTGTTGTATCTTCTTCTAAAGGTGGAGTACAGAGTAATTCAACACAGGATAGTTTCAAAGCTGTCAACCCGTGGATCATCAAAATAAAATGTCATGAGCACAAAGAACAAGATAGGAAGGACCGAGCATGATCAAATCAAAATGAGTCTTTGGAGAAGAGAAAAAGAGGGAAACTTACAATGTTATAAGTGAATTGATATTGTTGAAGGAGAATAAAGGGCATCAATGAATATGATAGCATCAAAAGAAAATCGAACAGAAAAGATTGATGTGAAGGACAGATAAACTTACCATGATGTTATCCAGTTTGTTCTTGCAATCTATTACATTGATGTGATGCAGTTGATGAACCTTGCTATTCAAGATGCGAGAGTGAGATTTCCTGTGATTGATTGAAGTGGTTACGTTTGAGGGGGTTGTGTGCGGAACAACTTAGACGGACAACGGTGGTCAATGGAATTTGGAGAAGTACTTAAAAACCGGTGACGTCACTGTCCCTCAAAAAAATAAAAAAATAAAAAAAAACCAAAAAATTGTAAAGTACAAATATTGCTGGGTTCTCAAGAATTTGAGTCATCCAAGCTGATTCCGGTGCTGAGCAGCTGGCTGACAGGTCCTGCTCACACACATCGGCTCACCCGCTAATAGGCTGGTACATCACATGAGCGTAACGTGATCTTGCTGCTCACAGCGAGCTCATGTGTAGAACGGGTGACAAGCTAGGGTGAGGGCCACGTAGCCGCGGTCACACTGCTGCCACCTGTTCTACACAACGACTTGGCGTGGTCATACCCAACTTACATCTCACGTGGTCCCAGTTCAAAGTTGCCCCGTGGTGTAGGCAGACAGAGAACACGAGTAGTGAAGGAAAATCTGAGTACCTAATGGTACAAGAAACACACACAAGAATGGACAAGAGGAAAACTCTTAGGAGAGAAAACCCAGACATTCTTATTATAGTAAAAGCAACTTGTGAAACCAAAGTAAAATAAGAAAGATTAAAGAAGGAAGCAAAAAACATTGATGACATGAATAACACACGAATGAAGCAATGAACATTAAGGAAGAGATCATGATGTTACAAATAAGGAAGATGAATTAATTATCTTAATAGATACGAAGGAGTACGTTTAGTAGGAGATTTAAATTGTACGTTATACGCAGAGGATCGAGAAGAGTTTATAGAGGTTTTCTGGTGGTCTACATGTTCCTGTATATGATGTATGACTGAGTTAACGGAAAGTTTATTGTCAACTAGTTTGGCACTATGGATGATCATTGTTTTAAGGTCGTCAAGATCGTCAGACAGTAGATGAAGAATAAAGTATGCAATCATCTCATTATTGTCAGTCTCAACACCAGTTGCAGCAAGGTTATTCACTGTAGTTCGAACAGTTGTCATAAGACCTTGCAAGTCATATGCGTTGCATGATAAAGTAAAGAGTTGAGAAAACACTCGAGCTCTGTTATAAGCTTTGGTAGATGTAAAGTGTTCCACAATCCTTTTCCAGAGTACTTGGGGATTCTTGCGATTTGATTGATTAACTAAAAGTTCAAAGACCCGATTGCTTAACTTAAATCGCAGTAAACCAACAAGAAACTTGCAGCGAATGTTGTATGTCGCAAGTTGAGTAGGGTCAGTGGGAAATGATTCGGTGCGATCCACAATCCCAATCAAATTCATCATCATCATGTAAGACTCAATCTTTTGATGCCACAAAGAGTAGTTGTCCTCGGTGAGGTCCGGCACACTTGTATAAGATTCAGTTGTGAGGCTGAGCTCAAGAGAAGAAGTGATGTTGTTCGTCATAGTAAGAGTCTGTGTAGGGGTAGAGTGTCTAGAAGAAGTTTCCAAAGACTGATCTAGTTGATTGGTAAAAATTCGACTTAGTAGGCCGTCCTTGGTTTAGAGGAGTCCTGGTAAGACGTCGGAAGCAGATTGATGTAGTTGATCGTAGGAGTTGACTAAAGAATCCTAGGAGTCCTGGGAAGTTGATCACTCTCAAAAGTGGAGTTGCTCATGAAACAATTGAAATAACAAGAAGTGATCTATAGTGATACTGGGCTCATGACCTATAGAAGGTCAAGCTTTGAAAGACTCAGTAAGACAGTGATGAGAACACAATTGATGCGCAAAAGCAAAATGTACCTGATGAGAAACAAAATATAAGGATGAAAGAAAAAAAGGAAACTATGTACTAAGAGAGAATACATACATTCTTATACACTAACAAGATCTCTTAAAACCATGGTACAAGATTTGCATAGTAGCAGGAAGTAAAATGTGACGTCATAGAGGAAACTAACAGTAACACTGATAATGATGATATCATACATGATGAATGTGAAAGAAACTTCATTATCTAATAAGGAGTCCACATAGGTAAGGGGTTGGTAAAAAGGAAACTGTCCAATAAGTTCTAGATGTTTAACCTGCTACCGTTGGTTGCCCTCCACGGTCAACAGGTTATCAATCACAAGCTGATCGACCAGCCTTGAAACAATGGTCTATCTACATACTCTCATTGATGTCTGGAAAAGTCATAGCATTACCCACAATGATGTACAGCCGTTGTGAGAAATAATGGTTTTTTTTTCCCTCCCAGATTTTACTGGGTTTCTGACTTTAAATTTCTAGGGCATTTTCGACTGACCAGTGGGTGAGGATCTTGGTTTCCTCTTGCACATCAATCTTGCGACCACATTATCTAATTGGCCACTCCTTGTCCGAGCAGGGTTTCTTATTGATCATCCCTCGTTCAAGACTCACGACCTTACCACCCACTGCTCTGCGATGAACTGGCCGGCCGGAACAAGGGATGGCAAGAAGAACTGCGGTGACATCGAGTCTTCTTGGATCCCTTTATCGACGTGCAATTCAACCAATAAACCAAATCATCCCACTTCACCTCATTTCTTTTTGATCTTTTGCCACTTTTTGGCCAGCAATTCAGCTTGGTTCATCCTTTTCACTCTTTATCATCCTCTGCTTTTGTAACAGCTGTACTCATCGATTCCACGTTCCGTTTTCTTTAGTTTTAGGGTTGTTCACCAAGCTAGTGTTTTCACGTTAACCGCCAACTTCAACTGGGCCACATCCAAGCGAATCCAAGTCCACATCAGTAAGTCTCGAAATTGTATTCGGGTTTGATCATACGCTGATGTCTCGGTGTTGATCCAACTTGCCAGACATGCCATACGAACCTATTGGAAATCTGATTCACGAGCACAAGGATGCCGATGAGGGTAAGTCACATTACTCTGAATGTGACTCATGTTCACAGTACTGACATGGTTCTATGCCAGTTTTCAATCCGGCTTATTTGATTGCGGACGGTGACGACGCCCCAGCACGTCATCCAACGCTTGAGCGCCTCTGGCGTCAAGGTACGGAAAGCCGTCGCTTAATGGAGGAAAGCCAGTCTTTCACAATCGCCGTGACCTTCAAGATCCACACGAACAATACGGTTGACGTGGCTCCTGGCATGGCCAAATCCAAGTCTTCTTCGAAAGTCACCGCCGCGAAGAAGAGGGCTGCACCGGCTCCGAAGTTTGCCGTTATTGATTATTCGGACTTCAAGGACGGTCAGGTCTTAGACTTCAAGGTCTTCCTGTACGGAAAGTCGCTGAACAAGCTGAAGGATTTGGTGGGCAACTTGTGTGACCAATACTTTGCCGGGATCAAGAAGGTCGTGCTCAATAGCGCATTAACGCCTTTGCTGAACTGGAATGCTACTGTTGGTTTGAAGAAAACCAAGTTGATCGATTTCAAAGGATATCAAGAGTTTGTGACCAACTTGGGCAAAAGTCGAAGCTCAAAAGGTAGCATCAACATCACGTTGGAGAAACCTCAAGTCAAGGAAAAGAAGAACGCTCAGGTGAGCGTTTTGACTTTATCATGTTTATCTTCGGCTTTGTTAACTGACACGTTCTGGTTATATATTCTACATATTCTGGTCATGTAGGCTAGTGGAGCAATGGCGTATATACAAGGGACCAATGGGCCCAACCCAATTGAAGCGGAATTTGCGGCTTCGAAAGAGGAAACCGTTGCAGCGCAAGAAGAGACCTTGGTAGGTCCCTCATTGTCTCGTATTTGTTTCTTTCTGACTAACCGAGCCTTGTCTGTATCGGTAGGCCGTCAAAGCTGCCAAAGATCTTGAACCTGAGGCCGCCACGATTTACCAAGGCCACCTCAAAACAGCCCTCGGGGGCGATGGAGCCATCTTGACCGCGCCTTGGGACCCAAATTTCTTTTATTGGTTCACGCATCGATGTGCGTTCATATGGGCGAAGGCAATTGTAAGTAATTCCCTGGTCTCCTCTCGTCCATGTTCAAGCTGATGTTGGTTTCTCCTACAGCGCAATGGTTAAACAACCCGCGGCATTCCACCAAACATGGCGGAATACAAGAGGGAAATGTTCAATAACTCGGTCATCCATAAGAGTATGAACGTGGACAACCGAGTCAAGAAACGCTACCCGGTCCCCTGACCAGCTCACACCTCCATAGCGCCCCAAGCAGGAGGCTCTCGCAACTTCTTTCCAAACAACTCCTCGGCTGAAAAGAAGGTTAAGCAAGAGCCGAAAAGCCCTTCTCCATCTCCCGCCAAACGTTTTTTGGCACGAACTCCCTCTCTTAGGGAGGTAGGTGGCCAAAAGAAGGTCAAGGTTGAGGAGGTGAGTTCTTATCACCCTCCTCGCATGGAAGATCCTCAAAAGGCTGACTGTCCTCCCCAACTGTTTCAGGATTAGGCATTCGAAAGGGGAATTTGATCTCGCTCCTGACCAGCAAGGATTGCCCGGAGTCCGAACCTTACGTTTCTGACTCCGATGTGGAGTTCGTGGTCACTCATGACACCCTCTTAGATGACTTCCTGTTTTAATGTGATGTACCCCGCAACGATGAGGCCACACGCTCGATCCTTCGCAAGGCCAATGTCACCTCTTGGACTGATCTCGTCCCCAGCGTGCAAATGACGGCAAACGTCCTCACGGGTCATGGTATGACCTTTGACTTGGCCACTCGCCTGCTCGAGACTGCCGCGGAAGCGGATGCCCAATATGCGAAATCGCCTACCCCCAAGCAAACTCTTATTCGATGTACAGCCCGAGCAGTACAACACCTGAAGAATCTTTGACTATACTATCTTTCCATAAATGACTCCGAATGATTGTTTTAACTTGAGATCTTCTACTCCTACATACACGTTGTTAGGCCCATACACGTTGTTATTCCGTTTTTTTCTACCTTTAGCTTGCCGATTAAATTTTCTTGTCTTGACCTGGATGGTCCACGTTGTAATTGGCCTTGAAGGGCTGTTTTGCAAAAAATTCTGAAGTGTCTCGTCATCAGAGGACCGATGCGAGAAACCCAAAGTGAGCACAAAAAAAAAGTCTCGGCCAATGAGACTTATGAATGATTCATTGTTCATTCATGGAATCATTCCAAAGTTGAACAACCTCCCAAGAGAATCGAGCATCAGAGATCCTCAAATCCCCATTGCAGGATGAAAAAAAAACTCCCTGCAAACGATTTCATAGGGTGCTCGAGAATCAGTTGGGAAAAAGACTTCTTACCCTTGAACAGGAACTCGTCAAAGGCACTGTGTTGTTTTTTTTAAAAAAAAACAAACAATACATGGATCCAAGGTATACTCAAACATCACCACCGCGTTGACCACATCTGATAACATGACCCAAGCGTTGACAACATCTGATAAACAAAAGACCTGCCTACATATAACCACTACCCTTGAACAACTTGTTGCACAATCCTTCAGTAAAAACCTCCATCATGGTCTCCCATACAACAGCGCGCTCGCCTGCGACAACAATGGCGCCTTGAAGTCCTTGGGTTCTTCTGAGGCTGGCTTTGACAGGAGAGAACCCCTTCTCAATCGGGTTGAGGTCCGGGCTATACGCCGGTAAATACAATAGCCTGACCCCGCGAGCCTCGCACAACTCAGCAACCGCGCCACTGTGATGAATTGGGGCGTTGTCTAACACTAACACAGAGTTTGTTGCCGGCCATGGATTCATGGCCGGTAACTACATAATTATTAAAACAATATCAGCAAGTTAATACTGATCGTACCTTGCACGGCCAAATTCACTCACCAATTCGTTCTCCAAGAATGATTCAAAGTCGAGGCAAGAATATCCTCCTTGCTTGATGGTGATCACCAATAAGCCATTAAGCGAGATGGCAGGTAAGGCTGACCAACGGCCGGATTGAGTGGGCCTAGCGAGCCAAGGCGTACGTTCTCCAATGGGGGCTCGGGCGTACTCGCGATACAAACGGCGCTTTGCAATGGCGGTCTCATCTAGTGAAAGAACATGAACAATCAGCTTTTACTGACACACTCCACATGTCAAAGGAAAGCTTACCAGCAAAAACGAGGCAACGAAGGTCAATATCAAGCACTCTTGCCATGTAAGCCCCTCGCGCGGCCAAACTTTGGTTGGGATGAACGGTTCGCGCTTTCTTTGGTGTCCAACACAGGCGATCTCGTAGCTTGGTAGAAAGTGTCTTGATGGAGACTTCTTTGTTAAACCAATCTCTAATTTTGCTTTGAAGTTCATCTAAATATAAAGTCGGGTCGAGGCGAAGGCTGTCCAGGACAAAAAGGCGCTCGGGTCCACCCAGGATTAACGGAGCGCCACGATCCATGTGATCCATGGGGTTCGTGACCACTGAACGGGTTTCCTGATAGAGATTGACCCAGCGGCGTACGGAGGTAAGCGCCAGGTCCATTCCAAGGGTTTGGGAAATATCCTGAAACCGAACCCCGGTGAGGGCCAAGCAAACAACAGCGAGTTTGATTTCTGGGCTGTGATGAGCCAATCGAATCTGAAAACTAGGAATATGAGCAAAGAGAGAAGTGGTAAGGAGAAACAAATGAAACACAGTTACCGGTGGCATATTGGTGATGATTTAGGGAAATGGATGTCGAGGTGGAATGGATATGGGCCTGGCGAAAAAAAAACGATGATATCGCAGAGGAGCCCTGCCGACTGACACCTCTGAGATGATTGGAACCTACCAGAAGATCCACCAAAGCTGCGAGCTGCTTCGAGAAATGTATATGTGATTCCGTGGGAAACTGTCAAATCAATCAACAGCTTCATTCATGTGATCCCACTTGAAAAAAAGAACGAAGATATTTTTTTCGAAAAAAAAAATGTTTTTTCCTCGTGGTTAGTGCTCAATTAACTCAGTGAAATATGGTACAAAGTGTTCCAAGAAGGGAAAGCACGGCGAAAGGAAATCACGAATGTGTAAATGAAACCTTGCCTATACGAGTTTACATTAGGAAGCCACCTTTTTGTGAATGATGTGTCTAAATGAAGTTGTTTGTTAACATTACATACTATAGTATTATTGTTCCCCCAAACTCAATTCGAATGTTCTAACAAGTCTTCATCTCCTTCTCCCACATTCTTCATCATTCTCAACATCATACACCTCTTCCTACTCTCTCACATTTGACTGTCTGTTCTTGCTAGTGCTTTAGTTTCTTTTTCATGGAAGCAAATGCAGCAAATCAGAATAGAACGGTGGCAGAGTGTATTCTCAACATACTCGAAAACTATGAACATTACGGAGGCTGTAATGCGTACTCAATGCTGGCCCTTAGGGCAGAATTCGCGGTTTATATCCCGTTTACGCATCCAGAATTCCATAGACACTTCTCCGCGTTCACTATCCAGGCAGTCGAGATTGACAGACGTCATAACAGATGGTGTTATCCTATTGGAGGACCTGTACCCCCGCAAGACATTCCTATCGAAAACCAAATCCCTTATATCTATCCCCCTTTCCCACCGAATGGAGACCCTCCTCAAACCCCACATATGGGAAATCAACAACCAGAACGTCGACAACAACAACAACAACTCGGTGACCAACAGAGACAACAGCAGGGTAATGGCCAAGCCAACCCCGAAGGTCTACAATTGGGTGGCAGATATCCACAGGAAGTAGAGAAAGAGGGAGATCAAAGAAGAGTCGCAGAAAACGCAAACGGAGATCACGCCGTAACAGCTCTTCTGACAGCTCTGACTCGGCAGACTCAGACTACGAATACTCTTTCGCCAAACGCAAAGATGAAAACGATAAAGATATTACGCAAGAATCAAGAGATATCAGAAAATATCAAAACGAATATAGGAGTAACACTCTCAAAGATGCAGTTGATTCGTTTTGCTGGGTGGGAGATAAGCCTGCCAACTTTCCTAGCGCCCTGGTATGGGACCTATTACAATACAACTATATCGAACTTGAAAAAATCAATGCTGGTGTGGTTCCAGATTCCTCTGAACACGTGCACAAGTCTACCAACAAAGATGCAGCTTCAAAAATTAAACCTCGTCAATTCACCGAGTCCGGGGAGTGGCGTAACGCTCTTAGCATTTTGTTTCTGCAGCATTCGTAAGTTTAAAAAATTGTTATATACTCCGATAGGTGCCCTTTCACAAAGGGGACCATCTCCATCCGTCGATACTCCATACATTACACCTCCTCTGTCTTGCTCATTTTCCCCTATGAACATGTAAAGATACTACTCCAAATGTATTCAGGATGGCGTCAAAGAAGTCTCTCTGACATACCCTGTCTTTTTTCTTTCCTTTTTTCTCCAACCGGGGTTTATCCATACCACACAATATCTACGTACGGGTGTCTCAGCCTTCAGCAGCTATGTTGTTTGAAAAATACACCAGACACGTCAAGTCGCTGGAGATTATTTTCACACGTAGGGTAAGCAAATACACTTCCTCTACGGCTCCTAATCATACTACCTCCCATCACATGAGTACCCCCTGTGGGTCTCTTCTTCGTTCCGCGGATGACGCTACCAAGGATACCTCTTACTACATACCCATCTCTAGACTCATATCTGGAAAGCTGACAATAAGTTGGTTTGTACATACCGTGTTCATTTCCTAACTAGGGAAACTGGCGCGACGTCATACGATATGATGCAGAAATGCGCAAAGTCTTTGCTGCCAGCCGCCACCTCTCCTTTGCGGATTTCGACAGCAGAGAACTCGATCATGTTAAAGCCTTGGCTTGGCCGAAAGGAGACAGTAGACGGAGCCAACAGTCCGAATTCCTACGGCCGATTCAAGGGAGCTCCTCTAGACCTACGATTCGTGCTTCATCAGAGAAGTCTAGATTGTCCAGATCACCCAGAGATGGACTCAAATTCAAAGATACGAGTAACCTTCCAAAAAATCAACAGATCTGCAGGGGATGGAACGTCAACAAATGCCCGGATCCGCCGACATGCGGCAGGATTCATGGCGTCTGCGATGTTCTGGGGTGCAACAAACCTCACAAACGATGCTTCCACCCCAAGTAAACCTTCGGGTGCCCCCCAGGGTCTATTGTTCGATGCTGCTTGCTTCAAAGATGACATCCTACGCGAGATGGCCGACCGCGATTACGGTTCGCGGAAGTTCAAACGTGGCTATGAATGGGAATGGCCGGGCGCCGCCGGTTATTCAAATGTGATCGATTCTAGTTTGTGGGCAAGTCCCCTAGACAAGCCACCCCCTCTGTCCTCCGATAAGAAGGCAGCTTATGCTCTCAAACAGTATAAGGAGTTCTTCAAAATCGTTTCCCCGATCGATGTAGGCATGTTCGAGTTTCTCCTAAAAGACCATCCGAACCAACCTTTTGTGGCTTCGGTGGTTCGCGGTTTGCGTCATGGCTTCTGGCCCATGAGCGACCTCCCTTACGACAATATTGTTTTTACGAAGAACCATCAAGTGTGCAACCAAGTGCCGGAACTATTGACAAAAGCTTGCGATGAAGAAGTCCAAGCGGGCCGCTACTCTCCTGGGTTTCACACCCTGCTGCCGGGTATGAAGGTGTCCCCTCTTCTTCTTGTCTCAAAGAAAGGGTTGACAAAACTGCGTGTCTGTACCGATATGAGCTATGGGAAACCGTCCCTGAACGACTACATCATCAAAGACCGAGTATGTGTGTCTTTCGACTCCCTAATCTCTTTCGCGCCATACATGGTGGAGTTGGTGAAACGCGGGATCCCTCTGGTCTTATGGAAATCCGACGTCCAAAACGCCTACCGAATCTTGGCCATGGCTCTTGCCTGGCAACTGCGCCAGGTAGTATGTATCAACAACATGTTTCACATTGATTGATGCGCCAATTTCGGTTCCGCAGCGCCACCCAAGATCTGGTGCTCTTTCTTCTCTCTGGTGCTGTGGATCGCGCGAACTCGTATGGGTATCTCCCGTATGAACAATCTCATGGACGATACTTGGGGAGTCAGCCCGTTGCATTCAATGGTGACGTTCCAAAACCACCGGGTTCCTCTTGACCAAGCAAAGTTGCTTCTCCTCTTCGACCTTCTATGCATTCCTTGGAAATGGAAGAAACAAATCCAAGGCATTGACATCGAGATCATCGGCCACTTCGTGAGGGCAAAGGAGCTCTTGTTCTCCCTACCCGACGACAAAAAGGCGGACTTGATTGCTGCTCCGCGCTCTTTCACGTTATCCAAATCAAAGACGCTTCGTGAATGGCAGTCACTTCTTGGTTGGGCCTCCTGGGGGCTAAATTCCTTTCCTATGGGTCGGTGGGCTCTTGAGTCCTCCTGGGAGAAGATCAGCAGTAAAGAGCACAAATCTCTAGTAGTTCCCCACAACAAAACCGTTCAACGTGATTTTAAATGGCTGGCGGACCAGCTAGAGAGGTCCTCCGGAAATTTCTTTCTTACGTCATCTATCTGGTCGATCCGCGAAGCAGATTTCCTGTGTACAGCTGACGCCTGTCCCGAGGGGCTAGGGATATGGCTTCCAAATTCGATCGAAGGATTTCATTTCAAATTCCCTCTGCCTTCACGCGACATTTATTGGGCTGAATTAGCGGCGACTTCCCACGCCATCCTCATCAGTCTAGAGCGTGGGGCAAAGAAGTTATTCATCTGCTCTGACTCGTCAAATGTTTGCGACCTCTTCCTTTCTCATTGACCGGTAGAGAAGGTACAATTGTTGTTTTCGCGGTTATCACTAGGATTCTCAAGGCGGAAGCCGACGTTCGCGTATGCCACCTGGCGGGTGTCAAGAATGTGTTCGCGGACGCGCTGTCACGAGGCGAGCTCAGCGATGTCAGAAAACTTATAAGAGAGACCGCTCTTTCCCCCCTGGACGCTTTCTCAGTGCTACCTGATGGTGGTTTTAATCCAGCTAATTTGTGAACATGTCCTTTTCTTCGAAAACCGACTTATCGCTCGCCATCGCCAGGGCTGATGCAGATCAAGCGTTGGCGGCTACTACTAAAGCTAAATACCGTTGTGCTATTATTTTGTTTCTAAATTTCTGTCATTCGGAGTCGCTCGCTCCTGTCCCTTCTAAAGAGCTCCTCATGTTGTTCATCTCTCATTCCTGTCGCCGTATAAGCCCTCGCACAGGACAACGAGTATCTCCTCGTACCGTCGAAGCGTATCTATCGGGTATTGCCTCTGCTTTCGCTCCGTCTTTCCCCAACATCACCGACATCACCAACAGCAAGGATGTCCGTGACGTCATGAAGGGTTGTAAAAGGCAATTCTCGTCTCCCGTTCTCAGAAAAGAGCCTTTGTCCATCCAAGATTTGTCATTAGTTCACTCCTCCACGACACAACATCTCGACTCGCTTCTCTTTCTTGCCATGCTCACCACGGGTTTTCACGGCTTACATCGCTTAGGCGAGTTAGCGGTCCCGGACGCCTCCACCCTCCAAGACAGCCGAAAGGTTATTAAGCGCACCTCCCTAGTCGTATCTCAGTGCAGCGGCTTTTTGCGCTATACACTACCCTACAACAAAAGCGACCCGTTCTTCCTTGGTTGCTCAGTCATTCTCAGCAAGTGCAACATTTCTGGCGCTTGCCCAGTCCAAGCTTTACTCAGTTATCTCAAATACAGAGATCATTTTTTCCTCATGTTGCCTTTTCTCTTTATCACTAGCAAAGGGAAACACCCTACCAGGTCTTGGTTTCTACGTCGTTTCCGCAAGTTCTTCTCGAAAGAAAAGTCTGGCCACTCTATGCGCTCAGGAGGAGCCTCTGCCCTGGCCCGTGCTGGCCTTCCTCTAGATTACATACAAGATGTAGGCCGCTGGTCAAGCGAAGCCTTCAAAACCTACATACGAGATCACCCTATCATGCGGTTGCCGCTCCAACGTCAATTCCCTCTGTCCACAAACGGCCACCTGGGAGCTGAAGTCTCATTTGCCCCAGCGTCTACCACCCCTTTATAAAAAATTCTTTCTCGTAAGCCTATAAATCTTCTTTATTTCCCAAACATGTATTGTTTGCAGGATGCTATTCCCACACACGCTCTTTGATCCTGTTCTCCAACGAGCGTATAACTCGTGCAGGCATCATTGGTTTTTGACCCCATTTCTCTTCATCACAAGTCTCTTTCATACCATCACCATTCTGCCGTTTAGGTGGGCGGAAAATGGGGGCTGACACATCTGTTTCTACTTTCACGATTCTCTATCGTTTCCAGATTCTTTGTTTAAGTCTCTCACGACGCAATACAACTTTCGTTCGCGCTACCGCTCCGCGTACACCATAAGCTACCTAACGCTTAGTCCCTATGCGTCTCCCAGTCCCAAACACATGTAACTTATTCCTCGTGGTTGGTGCTCGATTAACTCAGTGAAATATGGTACAAAGTGTTCCAAGAAGGGAAAGCACGGCGAAAGGAAATCACGAATGTGTAAATGAAACCTTGCCTATACGAGTTTACATTAGGAAGCCACCTTTTTGTGAATGATGTGTCTAAATGAAGTTGTTTGTTAACATTACATACTATAGTATTATTGTTCCCCCAAACTCAATTCGAATGTTCTAACAAGTCTTCATCTCCTTCTCCCACATTCTTCATCATTCTCAACATCATACACCTCTTCCTACTCTCTCACATTTGACTGTCTGTTCTTGCTAGTGCTTTAGTTTCTTTTCCCGCCCACCCTCACCTGAAAAAAAAAAATATTTCTGGTGTTTTAAGGTCTCTTTTCATATCTCCTTTCAGTCATGTTTTTTTTGGGGGGCTACTAAAAAGCGCCCGCAAATGAAACCTGAGACCACCCGCTTTTAGAATCCGGTGGTTACTAAGATTGTTGGACTGAACTGTGGTTCAGTCCCGAGGTACTGATTTGTGTGATTGTTGGAATCCAATCAAACGGAAACCGGGCGGTCTTGGAAGTTATCGAGAAGCCCTCAAAACCTCCCGCTACACATATCTCATCCACCATATTGATTGTTAACTTCAACTGGATTGTTAAGCTCTGCTCAAAAGACACTCAAATCAATAGACGCGACCTGCCCCTTCCAGTGTCCCCCTCAGGCTGAACTATCGTCTGTCTTGTACAATTAATGAGGCTAGAAACCTAACAGGATTCAAGGCTCTGAGCTGTTGTGACCATTCAAACAGTTTAATGGGGTTTGATCCCTCACTTGGTCTGGTCAAAGTTTCAAGACTTGCCAAATGAAGAGACTGGCAGACATACAGGCAATTCTAGCTTCATCGAGTCTGAATCTAGGAGGAGGGTGTAAAAGCCTTTTGGTTTGTACTCAGGATCCCTTCCTAACATCAGCCCCACCAGCGAGCCCTATAAATATTGTATGAACTCTAGAGTCTGGTTGCACACAAGTAGATCTCTGGGAGAAGCTCGGCAACTCGGGTGGCAACTTGCTATCCAGGTTGTGAGATGTGTGTACCGGGAGGTTTTGAGGGCTTCTCGATAACTTTCAAGACCGCCTGGTTCTGTTTGATTGGATTCCAACGATCACACAGATCAGGACCTTGGGACTGAACCACAGTTCAGTCCAACAATCTTAGTAACCACCGGATTCTAAAAGCGGGCGGTCTCAGGTTTTATTTGCGGGCGCTTTTTAGTAGCCCCCTTTTTTTTTGTATACTTTCTGTTATAGTATCTTATTTTCTTTATTTTTTTCTCTCTTTTATCATTTCCTTTTCTTCCATATGTAGGCGTACTACCTTTGCTAGAAAGGTTGCTCGCGCGACCGCAGATGAGAAGAGAAGAGATCCTGAATTTGGCCGCAGCCTGCTGCAAAGCCGCTGCGCAGCCCAAATCCAAAATCGGCCCGATCACAAATTTTCAACAAAATCGACTTGACCTGCTGATGGTCTCTGTCTTTGCCACATTCCGAGACTCATTATAACTATGCTTACAATAGATTGAGAACTTGGGTAGACAGGATCAATCATGCAGCGGAGCCCAGCTCTCATTCGATGAAATCGAACATGCACCTCAGTGCATATTCTTAAAGTCTATCTGGTGCAACGGTTTGCTGCCGTGGTCCTTCACTAAAAACCGACTCAACACATAGTAATGTGTTCGAGCCGGCGTGCTCTTTTGTCTTTTTTCCACTTCGATCTCATTGGAAAAGGACAAGTCTTTTTTTAAAAAAATCATTTACATATTCTTCTTGCCCAGTCAAGAGCTCAAACGAGGTTATGATATGAAAATGATTGCACTGACACAAAATGTGAATCTGATATGTCTTTCAAATTCCAGCAAAAAGAGTCAAACAGCCAGCCTTGAACCCATGCCAGCCAGACTGCCACACAGGCACTCGGGCGGCGCCAAACCACTCAACCAGTACTGCTTTGTGCACATACTCAAACCAAGCACTTATCACACTGGCAGCCCGGTAGAAGTCGCGCAAATTCGCTGTATGCTTGATTTAATCATCATGAGCTAGATATGTGTGCTTTATGATTGATCTCCCCAAAGCCAGAGATCAGCAGGTCAAGTCGATTTTGTTGATTGTAGTTGGAACAAGTTTTAACTTAGGGGAATCGGTGTCGGGCAAGGGTAGGACCCCGGTATGCTCCTATGAAGGGTACAGATCTAGAATTGTGACTTTTGAGCTCGCGCGGAGATACGACATATGGGATTAAACAGCGTTCTCTTGGATTTTACCGGTTTCTGCCTGAATTTCAGAGTCGCTAAGTCCAATACAGCTGATTGAAAAGACTAAACGTGTCTTAAAGCTATGGGTAAAGCCAGGGACAAGTTTCCGAGCAAGCTCAAAAGTCACATTTTTGGATCTGTACCCCTTATAAGAGCATGCCGGGGTCCTGCAAGGGTAGATCTTTCAGCGGAGTGTCGGGAAAGTTTCCTATTTCACGGTCTTCTAGATTGATCTATAGATCATTCCTTTGGTAATCAAGCCTGTTGACGGTTTTCGAGAATTCAGAATCATCTTGTGTTCTTCTCTCTTTACCTATCTAGTCTTTCTACTTTGTACAAACCATTATTACTTTATAAGATTTGTGTGTTCATCCATCTTCATTATCAACAATTTAGTTCTTCCTGATTCTCTCAAACATCTTATTACGAACTTTTTTGTCACCCACCTCTCCCACCCATGTTTGCTTCAGTTTGTACAGCTCGACCGTTTCGTGTGTTGTAGTGCCGCCCCTTGGGTCTCCGGTTTTCTCAATCTGCAATCCACGAGTCAGACCCTCCGGGGCCGTCTCGCGTTTTAGCTTTGGAAACTCTTCACGCCAAGCTCAGATCTTCTCAACAGCCAAAACCTATTCCAGATTTGTGATCGGGCCGATTTTGGATTTGGGCTGCGCAGCGGCTTTGCAGCAGGCTGCGGCCAAATTCAGGATCTCTTCTCTTCTCATCTGCGGTCGCGCGAGCAACCTTTCTAGCAAAGGTAGTATACTGTTTTGTTTCTGTTTTCTGTCTATTTCTGTTAGGAAGTTGTAGTTGTTCCTCGTTCCTCCCCATGGGGGCTGACACATCTGTTTCTACTTTCACGATTCTCTATCGTTTCCAGATTCTTTGTTTAAGTCTCTCACGACGCAATACAACTTTCGTTCGCGCTACCGCTCCGCGGTAGCGCTCCACGTACACCATAAGCTACCTAACGCTTAGTCCCTATGCGTCTCCCAGTCCCAAACACATGTAACTTATTCCACAATGATTTAGACCAAGTAAAATCTGGAAGTAGAGGAAAAAAAACCATTATTTGTCACAACGGCTGTATGTATGCACCATACAAAACCAAAAGGGCTGTCAAAAACCAGGATTGTTTAACAAATCTGAATCAAACAGATCCATTCTAAACATCCATTTCATGACCAAATCATTTCAACTTGATTCTCTTCATCTTTTATCCAAGAACCACAAAGCGTCAAAATAAAACCTGTGCCAAATGAATTTCCCATCATACTTTCAGATCATCTTCATTCATAAATAGCTTCTTCAATGATCCTACACCATTTGCTAAACCTTATCGACTTATCTTTGTTTGTTAATAATATTCAAGTCATACATATATAATATACAAGCAGCTCAAATCAAGAGACATTCAAAGCGTTGGTAAGATAAAAACAAACTGTGTGATTCAAGACACAAGATTAGTAATAGAACACAGATTGATTGTTTAAATTTGTTTTGAAGGTTTCAAAGTTTTTCAATTTCGGATGGATACTTTAATCCAATTTGATTTCTAATCTCATCAAACACCTACATATTCCAAAGAAATACGATCCAAAAAAAATCAAAACCCTCAGGCTCAATATTAAACAAGATTAGATATCGATTTGAACACTATACCTTCATCATTAAGATTGTTTCTTGATGTGACATACGAGGTGATTCGATTTGATTTGAAAAAATACATCTAGCAGCTTCATCAGCTTGCCACACTTGAAAAAAAAAACCAAACAAAATTCTCATCAAACTTTTTATACATGAGAATTTTTGAACCGGATCCACTTACTATAACCAAGTCCATCACCTATAAACTCACCACACAAGAAAACCCCAAGAAACCATCAAAACCAAACCAACCCCCAAACAAAGAAAAAAACAACGTACCAGGTATAGAAAACTCGTATTTCTTTTCAACAGGTTTTTGAAGCTTTGAATTTTGTTTTCGAATATCATCTGTATAAACATTATTTTGAACCACATAAAACTCATGAGGAGCACAAGTTGGAAAAGCGATTCTGATTTGACCCATGGAACCATAGATGGTAACTGCTCTATCATCTAAAGTTGGACGAGTAATACTAGTTTCCATAATCCTAAGATCCATAAAATTCGAGAAGATTAATCCAATCTTGGTTTATCAAAATGAGAATCTGTAAAAAGATTGACGTACCCTGGAATGATTTCACCTGAAGAGGTGGGGAATTCGATGATTGAGATGGTAGATGCGTCAATCTTTGATGAGTTTGGTTTCGCATCTGGATGACGATACATCACAGCTGAAGATTTAATCTTAGGCATCATTAAAGATTCTTCATTCAATGAGTTTCCATCATTTGAATGTTCTTTATTTCCATTCATCTTCTTAGGATCTTTTAGTAAGGTAGATTGCGGTAATAATGTCATGGCTAACATTGTCCATGAGTACGGTCTATGATTCATGAAAAGTATGAACTTTGGAATCTGTACTATGAGTTGGTATTTTGGAGTAGCTTACCCTAGATCTAGTAATCCTCCTCCAGCTAACATTGGATCGAAGATTCGATGATTTGAAGTACATTCTTTTGGATCAAATCGTATACCGAAATCAGCATGAACCTTGAATGAAAACCAAAGAAGTCATGGTTTCAGATTTCGATACTTTTTGATGATGTTTAGATTATCTTCTATTTGAAGAAAATTATGCTTACTTGTAAGATGTTTCCTATTGTACCTGACTTGATCACTTCTTGTAACTTTGTCATTAATGGAAAAAATCGTGTCCAAAGACCTACATACAACAACCATCCATTTTGTTTTGGTTTCAATAAATTAGTTTCATCCTTCAAGATTTTTTGATTTTCAAAATTTACCTTCCATCACAAAAAGTCCTTTCTCTTTTGATATCTTAAAGATTTCTTCAGCTTGTTTTGCATTTACCTTTATCGATTCGAAATACATAAAGAGTCAAAATTCTTTCATGAGTTATTGAATAAATAAATGATTGGAGAAAAGAAGGAGTGGACTTAACTGTCATTGGTTTTTCACAAAGAACATGTTTACCGGCTAAAAGAGATAATTTTGTATGTAAATGATGTAAAGAATGAGGAGAACCTTTCCACAAGAAAACCCCCAAAAAAGGAATTTTACTAAGATCAGTTACCAATGTTTTAAGATATATTAGATGTTCAAGAGATGAAGGATAAGGATAGGTATTTATATACCAATATAAACTATATCGACTTCTTGATCATTGAAAAGTTCTTCATATGATCCATAAGCTTGAACTTTTTCTCCTTTAAGTTTTTCAAAACTATTAATAAACTCTTGAGCTCTTTCGATCGATCTTGATCCAACTGCTACGAGCTATAGATTAAAATCAAACTCAATGAATTGATGTATGTGATTTATAAAGAAAAGGATTTGGTTAACCTTGTGTGATATATCGGTAACTTCTCGGGTCCTTGGATCGATCAATAAATCATCTACAAACACTCTATGACAAAAGAAGAAAGATTTTCTTGGTTCAGAAGATATGATTGGATCAAACTACCAACAAGAAGTTTACAAACTCACTTTGATATCTTACCAGCAGCCTAGAAGTACAAATACGAAGACCGATATCAACTCTTTAGATCTTTAGATGAATTCATCATCATCAAGAAATTTACCAGAATTGCCCAACGAAGAACTTTTGGATGATCGGTTGACATTTTATGAAGTTGAGAAAGATTCAAAGGTTCAACTTCAACTCGCAAAGATATAGGTATACTTATTCAAAGTCTTTATAAACTATTTGCTTCGGAACTATCAACTTTATAGTTCCGGCCCGAGTTGGATCTCATTTACCGAAAAACAGTCAAGATTTCTCTACTAATGCCAAGTTAAACTTTCATAGATTACTTGCGTACATATCACCTCATTCATAATTCTTAGACTGGATATGTGTACCCAAACTTGCGTATACATAAAATATATTTTCATCTAATCTTCCAAGAAGAATCTCAAGAATCTCTGAAATGATGTCATTCAAAACATCTTGCAAAAAGGATTCTCTAACTGGTTACTGGCAACAAAAAAACAGACTCATGTCCAGCCTAGGTTTTGAAGACTTTTTGATCATTTCTATTTAATGACAATACACCCACATCGTTGTTTGAATCATGTCAAAGCCGCCTTAAGGATGTGTGAGATGACAAAGAGGAGGAAAAAAATAATGACTCCACTGGGGCTCGAACCCAGGACAACATGCGAACACAAATGTTAAGCAGGCGCTCTACCAACTGAGCTATAGTGCCATACAGTTTTTTGGCTGTCACCTGTATGGATACCTCGCATGTCGGTGAGATATCACGTGGTGCTACATGTGTAATTTATTGTTACAGTCATCCAGTCACGTGATTCACTCCAGCTTGAATTTAAATTTAATTTTTTTGGCAAGACGTTCATGAACTGGTTTTAGGTTTTAATTTCTCATTCAACTTGCAATGACTTCTTATCAAACCAACAATACTCAAGGAAATGGACGAGGGCGAGGAAGAGGACAAGGAAGAGGAAGAGGTTTTAGAGGAAGAGGAAGAGGAACTTCAAATCATCATTCAACCAGAGAAAGTACATTGAATCCTAACAAATACTCATACCCAGCTGTTGAAGACCAACAAATGGAAGTTACAAAATCGAATCATCAATCTACTTTTACAACTTTTAACGATTTCTCAAGTTCATCAGTACCAACGAATTCATATCATCATCCATACCATCCAAGCCAACCCCCATCATTCACAAATCCATTAACCGCATCTATCAACTCAGCCATCCAAACCGTCTTACCAACCTATCCAACACCAAACCTTTCCCAACCCAATCCTATTCCTACGTTTCCTTATACCAATACTTCTCAAACTTATCAAGCTGTTCAACTTACTAGCCCGAATTACTTTTCTTCAACCGGAATGGTATCAAAGAATTCGAGTGAACCTACACGAACCTATCCATCCCAAGTGTTCCAACCTACAAACTCTCACCCAATGTATATGTCTAACCCTTATACCCAAGCATACAACGCACAAATGATATCTAACCCGACCTATCCGAATCCTTATGCACCAATAAACCATATGAATTATCCTTCAATGTACTCTCCTCAACCGATGTATTCGAGTTCACAGAATGTACCAATGAATCATTTATCAAATCAGAACTCTTTTTACTCGTCAAATCAATTACCTACTCCTCGGGTCACTTCTGAAGGATATTCGATTTCTAAAACTGCTTTAGGTGATGAAACTGGTTCGTATTCTGATCATCTTCATCAAAAACCAAAACATCAAAATCGAAATTCGAATCATGAAAAGTAAGTTGAAATTATCACAAAAGAATTAGGCTTTTCTTTGGTTTTTTTTGTAAGATGATGAATTGATTTTTTTCAAAATGAATCTTTTCTCAGATACAGATGTGAACCATGTCATCAAGACTTCCAAAGTTTTCCAAGCCTTCTAATCCACCAAAACACACATACGAAATGTTCAGAACCAGGTTGTAAATACGAAGGTAATTCAAAATCCGTTGAAATTCATGAGGTAAACTTCTTTTCTCTTCCCATTATGATTAAAGTAAGTTTTTAATGATTGGAGAATTGTTTGGATTTAGGAAGATCGTCATTTAAGATTCAAACCTGGTAAAGAACCTAATAGCAAGTCAAAAAGACCAGATGGACCAGCTGGGTAATCCCCAAAACCTTTTTCAAAAATTTCTTCAAGTTTACTAATCACTTGGTTTTATTTGGGGGGAAAAAACAAATGTAGGGCTACGATTCAAGGATTAGGATATGCACTTCAAACTGAAGAACAAGTAATGAAATGGATAGAAGAAAGACGTAAACGATGGCCAAGTTCAAAAGTGATAGCAGAAAAGGTGACATGATCTTTTTGATCTTACTTTTGAGTTCTTCATTGACTAACTTGATTTTCTTTAGGCTTTAAAGGCTTCAAAGGACTCTTCACAAACGTCTAGATCTGGTAGAGGAGAGCGTTCAGTAGGTAGAGGTCTTGTCAAGTCTGGACGCGGTAAGACTCGTGTGGGAACTTTGGCGTTGAGACAACCACGTGGTGTTACGTCTCGGGGTTCGGAAGATGGGTCAGCTATAAACTTACCTCAAAAACGAGCTCGACCGAATGAAGATGAAGATGATGAATTAGATGACGATGATGAAGATGAGGAAGCCGTATTACGTGATCGGTATTTAAAATCACGCTCCACAAATAGTGTTGTCAATACCACGAAACCTGAAGTCTTTCAAGGTAGTGTAGGTAATGATCAAGTTACGAATAAAGGTTCGGATGACGAGAATGAAGATATGGATCATATAAAAGATGCAGTGTCTAGTAAGATAGAAATCAAAGTGACCAAGATCGATTCTTTGAGACATGATCCTATCCATGATCACCAAACTGTTAATCAAACTGATCAAGTTATTCAAAAGAATATCAATGGAAAGAACACAAGGGTTTGTAAATGGTGGAAAATCAAAAGGAATTGTAAACGTGGTGATTCTTGTTTGTTTGCTCATCCTCCTCGTGATCAAGTAAGTTTTAAAGTTCATTCCGTTTTTTTGATGGGTATTTAATTTTATTTATCGTTGGGTTTATGTGGTTTGTGGGTTTCAAAGGTGACGAAAAAACAAAAGACGTCTAGTAAGAATAAAGTTACTACAAACATGGAGGTTCAGTCGGGTTCAGGATCTGGATTACTTTCAAAAGTAAGTGTGATTTTTTTTTTGCAAAATTCAAACTTTTCAAGACTGTTATAGGCCAAGAATCAACATATCAATCAAGATCTGAAAACAGTGTGTTGAGGTTTTGTTTTTTTCGGTTTTTTCGGTTTCAATAGTTGTTAGAAAAAGATATTCAACAGGATATAGCCGATTTAAGTTCAGTGATTAGTTTTTTGGTCGAGAATGATTTTTTAGAAAACACTGAGATGGAGATCGGAGAAGAAAGATTGATCGAATCTATTTTACCTGATGATCGGTCTACTACTCTATCTGTTCATCCAACATCGATTCTACCCAAGTTATTGTCAAGTGATGCATTGAGTGGGTCTGAAGAGTTTGATACTGAAGATGATGATGATGATGATGATGATGATGATGATGAAGATGATGATGAAGATGATGAAGATGATGATGAAGGGATTGAAGACGTAAAAGATCAAGACAATGGTTTGGGGAAAGTTAAAGTAGAAGATCAAGAAGATAGTTTGGGGAAAGTTAAAGTAGATAGTTTGGTAGCTGATTTGACTAGTCTTGATGAGAGATCAGTGATAGAACCTATTCGTCTCACTGAAGTAGTCACTTAGCTCAGTTCTGTAACACACTAAAAGTTTACATTTGGAGGATAAACTTTAGTTAGCTAGGAAGATAGGTGTTAGTTTTTAGATATCATTGGGTTCTGTTACACCTTATAACTTGCTTAGAATTGCTACAAAAGTACATAGGTTGATGACTTTTTGTTTTTATGATTAGTCGTCTTCATCTTATTAGAATCTTTTGGAAATAGACATTACTTTATACCAGATTTCTTATCTAAGATATAATTATTAAATTTGTAAAAAAACTCCATTTAATGCATAGATTTTGTTTTTTTGGTTTCTTTATTTTGGGACTTATTTGATGAAATGATTTAAATTGAATCTTTTTTGAACATTTACTTGGGGTTTTTAGTAGGTTTTGAATCAAGTTTTTATGAATTGTTTTGTTTGTATAGGTTTTCTTTTATGGGATTGGGATGGATTAGAAGAGTGTAAATATGTGTTGATGATAAGAAAAGGGTTGAAATAAGTATCATATTTTAATCTTGATTTGAAGTCAAGAAAAGTGTTGGTAAATAGGATGAATGTAATTATACAACTTATTGTGATGAAAGAAATATAACGAAAAGCATCTGAGAGGTAATCTCAGCATAGGAATCAAGCGTGATGATGTACCACTGAATGTCAATCCATAACACAATTTGGTATTCATATCAAAGCTTCACGTGTGGTGTACATCACTCTTTTAGCAGTAAAGTAATGATGGAAATGTGCATACAATGGAGTCAAGCAGACTTCTCCGGGATATAGAGTTGTTCTGAAATCCCTGCTAATCTTATCAAGTTTGGCTATGACGAAATTTTTCAAAGGTCTTTGTAAACCATCATGCGGTATACCAAATGGTTTGGAAAACATACAAACATACTCTCGAGTCTCGATCACATTTAAGACTTGCTATACTACCCTATATCCATCGATATATTTGAACGTTTGGATATTGTATTGGCAGTTATGACTTAATTTCCCTACGGTCCATTGATCACTGTCTAATACCTATGGCTTCAAGCAATCAAAGTCGCGATTGATATAAGCTCAACTAAGCCCCTCTTTGCGCGTTCGCCGCGCCCTATATCTGACAAAACGTTTACGTGATAAAAGTGGAGAACGAAGAAACCAAGGAGATGTGACATACTTGCTCACAATTGACTTCTACACAACATGAGACCCAGACCCAGCTACATCTTAAGATTTGACACGCCGGAGGTGACGTGAGCAAATGCGGCATCCTGTTCCAAGACTTTTGCCATGAAAAATTCCATGGCCCCAGGCCGATGGCTCAGCCAATTTCTCCTCTCTGTTCATTCCACTAGGTACTGCGTCAAAGAATTCACAATTGGTAAAAAGTTTATGTGATACAAGTGGAGAGCGAGAAATCGACAGGAATATATGTGTCAGACACGAGCACAACTGGCTTTGGCTCGCAATATGAGACTCAGACCAGCTTACATTTTCAACGTTAACACGATACAACTCTGAGGAAGTGACACGAGCAAACGCAGCATCGGGTTCCAGGATTTGATCACATGAATTGAGAGAATTGAGCAACCAGCAGCTCAGTCAATCCCCTCTCTTTGTCCTTTCCGCTTTCTATTCACTTCTGATAGCGACAAGTAAAAGAAATCATGATCACCAAAACCTTGACGTGATACAAGCGGAGAGTGAAGAATTGAAGGACATCTATTTATCTTACAACACGACCACAATTGGCTTTTGCACAATATGAGACTCAGACCAGCCTACATCCTCAAAGTTAAACACAACTCTGAGGAAGTGAAGCAAGGAAATCCAGCATCGTGTTCCAGGATTTGATCACATGAGAGAATTGAGCAGCCAGCGGCTCAGCCTACTCTTTCTTCTGCTGGTTTCACAGTGCACTGCTCGTAGTTTCACACAAAGGGTATTGCAATTGATACAACATTTACGTGATATGAGCAGAGAATAAATATTCAGACGGGCAAAATCAGGTTCTCCACAATATGAGACACGATTCTACGTGTCGAAAGTCAATACGATACAACTCTGAGGAAGAGATGCAAACGACTGCAACGTCGTGTCACCAGTGTCAGGACTCGATGAGCACAAAAGAATTGGAACTCAGTGGCTCAGCCGTTCTTCACAGGGTATGGAAGTTTGACTCCTTTGCTAATTGCTCCCTCACTTTTCGATCATCTTGTTGTTTTGCTTGACCTGCCTAATTGTCTTGGTATGTTTCCCCATTATTTTTATCATCCAACTGGCTACAATTAGCTTTTTAGAAATATATTTTCTAAATGACCTGATCTCATATATGGTCACCCTCTTGACTGTCTTGATTGGTTTAGATATCATAGATTTTCATTCGAAAAACGTCTTCGAAGTCTTGTTGCTTTATTTTCTTGGTGAGTCTTGGAATACGTAAACTTTTAATTTTTGTCACGGATTTGTTCGTCTAACACTTATAGTAAACCAATTAGATATCTCATCATGAATCTCGCCATCCTCGCTGCGATCCTCACAATATCCGTATCTTTGATTCAAGCCGCATTCATCAGCGATATCTCAAGCAAACTAGGGACCTCACTGGGTGAAGATGGTCTGACTACTTTCAACAAAGGATCCTCAGCTGAAGAGCATATGACTATGAACCCTGTCACGCCTCAGTCAGATTGTGACTCAAGCCCTGGTACCCCTGGGTCTATCGATCGGATTCTTACGGCCCACCAAATTGACTCGCCTGGAAGTTCATCCAAAAGTTGGGAATTCTTTGACACCTCAGAATCATCTTCCCCTTCATCTACTGTTACCGAAGAATTCGAGACAGATCATGAATATGAAAAACCCGGGTGTTTGGCTTCTCACTTAAATGGTTTTCGTCGTTTTTTAAGAACACTCGGATTCCGAATCTACCCTGTTGACTAAGCACCATTTCCACCCCCCAAAAAAAACCTCAAATTCATTCCAGTCAAATAATGAGCATCCAAAAGTGTGTTTTTGGGTTGTTTCAGAACAATTGAATATTTATCCGGAAAAAAAAATCTTTTCTTCTCGAATCTGGCTGGAAACTGGAAAGGATTTGAAAGATTCAAAGTAGAAACATCAAATGTGAGGGCTAGATCAGGTGAAAATTTAATGACTAGTGAATTTGCTTTCTTCTTTTCTCTTTTGTTGTGGTAACTTTGGATATATATATTTGTAGTTACAATATTAGCAGGATTCAAGTTCAAAACAGATGCCAAAATCAGAGCTCATATAGAAGTGAGCATAGTTGGAGATTTCTTCAACCACTCTTAAATTTTACATCCCACTTTCTCCCGTCTTGTTTCCTGATTGCTCCCTGCTCATCATCTGATGACATGATCAACATGACCTGAACAGGTGAGCTGAGCCTTCCTCAGTCTTCATTCATTAGACAAGAACTCTCATTTGCCCAGGTCTCCTCAGGCCTCTTCAAATTTAGCCAGATGATGAAAAGATAATGATGGTAGAATCTGTAACATCTTTTAATCTATATAAAAGCTGAAGATCACCAAACATGACAGATTTGATATTGTGGTTGATTAGAAATAGCAATACATGTGACATAACACCCTCGCCTATTTAGCACACTCCAAACCACCAAAATGAGTTCACACCAGTGTCTATCCCATTCTACGCGCGAGGGATGAAGAAAAAAGTCATCAGGGAGATGTCAAAAAAGGTAAAAATGTACACAGAGAAAACTCACTTTCGTGCTAAATCATCCGGAGGTCGTTTCGTCTGAGCAAAAGTAAGAATCCTAGTTTAAAAAAAGAGGAAAAGAAACACACCCTCAATTTAATCTAAAATCCTAAACATCTTTTTGTTTTATTCAAGAATCCAATTTAGAAATCTGTAAAACGGAATTCATACCTTTTTAAACTTTGAATATATTTTCTACTAACTTCATCATTTAAAACATGTGCTACATTATTACTAAAAATCTTTTCACGTCCACTACGTTCATGAATCCCTACCATAGTCACTCCAATTGGCCATGGTGCATTTCCAATCGAAAGTCTTAAGTATGCATCATTTGCTTTGATATATTCACGTGTTTGCATGTTATGTACGATTTCTGCAACTGCTTGAAGTACATCTGGTGCAAGATCCTACGAAGAAAAATACGATCGGGATTAGATGGAATTGGGATGTGGTGGTTGGGTTGGTTATGGGTTTATTACGTACTCTTTTTCGGAGGGATTTGAAGAGGGGTTTCAAGTATTCTGCAGATTGCTTTTGGGTTGCTGCTACTAGTTTTCCTTGCGTACTACGTCTGATATGGTCTGGGTTTCAAATATGACAGGTGTTTTCTGAGTTGATAATTAGTGAGGCATAGGTATGATCAAATCCAGAAACCCTTACCTGGTCTCTCTGCCATAGATTGTTCCCATTCCTTTAATACACGCTACAAGAAACAGATTGGGAATGAGTCAGCTTGGATTGATTGAAAAGGTTAAGATTTGAACCAAGTTACTTACTTTCAGAGCAAAATAAATCTGAGGATAAATCTTACGTGGATCCGTTTTGATTAATTCAAGATCAACGGTCACTTCAGCGTCTTCTGCATTTTTCATGTCTCCATCCATCTCATCACCCGAACCAAGTTTGCCATCTTTATTCATATTCGAATCACCTTTCACATTTGCATCTCTTGCTCTTTTAGCTAATTCTTCTAAATCCATATTACCTTCTACACCTTCTAAAGCTCTCATTAATTCATTCCGTCCACCTTCAGTACGTTCTTCAATTAATTGTAATGCTCTAAGTCTTAATCTACGTTCTTTATCACTTTCACCAAACAATCGAATCGGTTGTCCTCTAGATCTTAATCTACGTACTGCTTCTTCATTTGAAATATTGAATAATTCAGGTACGACTTGATCATTTTCGTTTTCTAAACCATTGGGTGTGGCTTGACCATCAAGTGATGTATTAATACCTTCCTTTGATCCTGATGGAATCAATCGATCTTCTGTCTCTTTAAAATTTGCTTGTTGTGAAATTGTTCGTTTTCTTTCTTTTTCTTCTCTTTCTGCTTCTAGTTTTGCTTTTTCTATATCCCCTTTTCTCATATATTTCTTCGGTGCTGGTCCTTCATTTGATGTGAGGTTGGTTAGTTTCCGCTTTGATTCGATCTGGGCCTTTAAGCTGTCCATGTTTTGAGTGATTCGAAAGACCAGTAGGTATTCAAAAATCTAGTTGATTATAGAGCTTCGTGATAAGGTGAGAGGTTGTGACGATTGTGGGGTTGGTTGGTTGCAGTGAGTCGCTTTCAATTCCAATTTCCCATGCAGCTGTCAGCTACCGGGGCCGGGGTTCTGATAGGCCGGGTAAAATAAAATAGATATCCGATGGACCGAAACATGGGTGGGGTGAGACCTGGTGAGACAGGCCCCCGGATAGCTCCTATGGAGCATACCGACGAAAAAACCTCGAAAATTCAGTTATTCATACCTGAATTTAAAGGTTTGGGGGGCCAAGAATACCTCTTTTGTCGGTAACATTTTCGACAAAATCACGAAAAAATGCCAAAAAATTCCTTGCAAGTCCCTAACATGCAAAACTAGCCTAGGAAAAGCTATGAAATCTTGAATTAATTCCTCCGAGGTCGCTATGATCAATTCCAACAGGGTCAAAAAATACCTTTTTCGTCCCTAACATCAAGAAATTTCCAAACCCAAAAGATACCTTTTTGGTCGGTACCTTTGGTAGGAGCTATCCGGGGGCCTGGTGAGACTGAGTGAACAAGTGTAACGGGCACTGTATTTAGTGCTTACGTTATGCTATTCCGGGAAGGGAATTAAGTCTCTAAGGGTTAAGAGAGTGTACTTAAGGATCTTAATGGATAAGGCAATAAGGATCTTATAAGGGGTTATTGTCAGCCCTGAGTACATACACATGTACCCAAAGACTAACTTGTAAATATAAATATTATTCATAAAACCCAAATACATGTACATATATTTTAGAAACATATGTAACATGTAATAAGATATGTATAAAACACTAATTACATATATACGTAATCAAGAACTAATATGTAACATATAAGATTACATACAAAAAACAATAGTAACATCTCATAACTCAGTATCAAGAGTTAAAAATGCTTATATAGCATAAAACACTTAATGACTACTGAACATAACATTAAGTGTAAGTAATTATAAAAATAATAAAAATAATAACTATAAACCTAATATTGTAACACTTGTGTATATCACAATATTAGGTTTAAAGAGCTGAATATATAAACCCAAACTCAGTTCATCCTCAGGGAAAAAACCAAGTTTATACATACCACTTTCTAAAGAACCTTCAAGAGTTCAATTAGAATAAATATCAAGAGTATTACAAATAGTAATACTAGTGATTCATTCTATTCACCTTGATCTTTCCTGACTAGATCCTAGTAAGTACACTTCACTTCTGGATCCTCTACTTTCCCCAAGTAGCAACTATCTTAGGTTGGTGACCTCCAAGTTAATAACCAATAGGTTGGTGACCTCTAAGTTAATAACCATCAGGTTGGTGACCTCTAAGAGATAACCAAGATAAGTGATCTTTATAATCACTCTTTATCCAATTACCAAGAAGGATATTGGAGAACATTGGGATCCTGTTCTCATCCCTTACTTAATTGTAAATCAAATCTCTTCTTTAAGAGTCAACTAACTGTAGTCTGCCAGGATTTGTCCTAGCAGACTCCTTAGTTGTTTAACTTTCTACTACTCTTCTCCTACTCATATCAGCTCTCTCTCTTTCCTTCTTCTACCCTTGTAACTAGTTATAATCTGAAATATAATAATATTTATTATACTTCACCACCTACCTAGTCCCAATACTACCATCTAGTGAGTGTAGCCTCCTTTCAAAGAGCCACTACCCTCACAGTTATAAGAGGATTATTGAGAATGAATGATATGAAGATTGGTAATTGCTACAGCCCTTTGCATAATTGATGACTTTGAAGAAAAAAAAACCTTGAGTTTTCAAATAAAAAACCTTGAGTTTTGTCAAAAAGCTGCTGAGTTTTTCAAAAAGTCAGTGAGTTTTTTTTGGAAACCTGGCTCAGTAAGTCTAAAAGAGAAAGAGCTCGCTCAGTTTTTGAAAGACTCAATGAGTTTTTGAAAAAAACTGAAAAAAACTTGCAGATTTTTTTGAAAACTCAAGCGTTTTCTCTTTTTCCAAAGTCATCAATTTTGCAAAGGGCTGTATCTTTGATAAGATGAAGATATCCTAAATGAGGATGAGAGAAATAAGAGATAACTAGATGACTAAGGAATACAAGAGAAGGACTCGAGGTGTTCCTTATAAGAGAGTTACAAGATGGCGGTAAAGGGCAGAAGGCCGGTTATCGAATAGCCGGTATTACAATGTAGTATTAGCCATTTACAGTTGGCTGTTATGATGGCGAATACAAGTGGTGATACAGTAGTTGTGACATGTGTCATGTTTGGATACAGACTAAGAATAAGTATCCCTGCTACACAAGAAACAAACAGTGACTCTCCGACAAAGACTTGACCAACACTTCCATCAACCACTGTCTCAAAACATAAAAGTTCAAAAGGAGTTTACTCAAGGAAAGAACTTTATGATGGATTTGCATGTGTCTAATGATGCACTTTTCAATGCACATTATATGTGCAATCATCAAGGTCATTTGGACGCGGTGAATGTAAGAAGCACAAAGCCTCATCAAAGGCAATGCTGAAGATGATGTAATTGATTTGCTTGGTTCATGCTTGTCATGAGATTTGGATAAAGTTTTGATTCTGATTTTAAGGATATCCAAGATATCTGGTGAACAAGAAGGGAAGACTATTCATGACTTTACAGACAAATCAATCCCTCATTTTGGTTTCATGAAACCAACTCCATTTAGAAGTATGCAGACCTATTTAAAACTCTAATCTAGACTTCTCAACACCTTTAGGTGAGTTTATTGATTGTATCCTCTTATTCTATACCATGTCCCACTGAAAAAAACTTGACTATAATCAAGGTTGCCACTATACTATACTATACTATACTATACTGCACTGTACTATACTGCATCTGAAATATACTCGGTATAGTATAGTTCTAAACATAGTATAGTATAGTGCAGTATAGTATAGTATAGCTTAAATATACTGAAGTATAGTCAGTTTTTTTTTGAAACTTGTATAGGCATCTTTCAGGATATTTGGTAAATCCAACTATACTGGGTATATTTTTCAGTATAGTATAGTTGAACTATAATATACCCATAGTATAATATACTAGTATAGTATAGTGGCAGCCTTGCTATAATGTTTTTAAAAAAAATTGGTTAAAGGATTCTGGAGGATAGTATAATTTGACCAACATTAAATTTGAAAGATAGAGCTTTACACCAAAAGTTATGATTCTATTGTAAAAATTACCATTTAATTTTCTACTTGTTCTAAATTAAAAGGGCTGATGAAGGTCAAAAATATTCTCCTGAAGTGTTCCAACCAGTTGAACAAAAGATTTCAAGTTTTCTATACCTGAATGAGTTGTCTTCTTTATCATCTTTATTGATTATCAAGTTACATTTTTTTTCACTTTGCTTGGGGTTTCTGGTTTGGTGTATTCATAGGTGATTGAGCTGAGTGATCATATTTCAGTATTAAGCAGTAAAGTAAAAGGAAACTGATGAAATCATGAGTCCTTAGGGTGACACTGGTAAGCCAATGAAACAGTAAGATGTAAAATTTTGTAGAAAAATCAAATCAACTTGTAACAATATGTCATCTTAGAAATCAGATTTAGATTAAAGTTATTCATCTAGAAATTGAAAATCTTTTTACAAAACAAAAATGTGGTTTCTTTTTGGATATCAGGAATCATAGATCATGATTAGGTTCTAATGATTGAACTTTTTTGTTTTGTTTTAATAAACTTCCCTCCTTTGATCAAAATCTGTGATGAAGCTTAAATCAAAATCCATACACAATCAATTTCCAACTCACTTTTACATACAAACCCATTGTCCTTTTCTCCAAAGTTCAAATTCAAGATACTTTTTTATCACAGCTTTTGATCTAGTTCAAAAGGCTCACTACACTTAAGCCTTGATATATGAAATGTTCCAATTTGATTGTGTAACAAAACATAATTCTTAAGACCATTATTTTTGTACAGCTGTTTTGAGAAAAAATGTTGTTGTCCTGGTTTTTTTTATTTTAAAGTTACAATAAAGATTACTGGTGTAGACTCTACATATGAGCACAGTTGTAGTTGATAATGTGCTAAACTTCAAAGATTTCACCTTACTGGCAAGCCTTGAAAAAGCAACAGAGGTTGTGCATTGTGGATACAAAGGAAGTAAAGAATTGTGATCATTTGCAATCTTTGCAGCCTTGAGAAAGGTGAGTACATCTCTTATGTAGAGTTTGTGTGAGTGTTTTTAGTGCAATTTCAAAATAACAAAAACTATCAGGATGAGATTTTTTCTCAAAACAGCTGTAGAATTTGAAGTTTTTTTATTTGTTTTTGATCAACTTTTTATTTTTCCAAATCAACTGATCATCAATTCTATTTTCTTTTATACATACATTTCTGTAATTTATTTTTGGAGAAATGAATTTCAAAAGATTAAAGATTTGTATGAAACTAAAAACCAAACTACTGGTACAACCCAGTAAAGGTCATTGATCAATGAGATCATTTTGATGATCAGTGATGGGTTTACTTTCAGGTTTGGTCAACTGTATTTGTAGTCCTTGTCATTTGTAAATTTGGAAAGCACTTCCAAATGTGTAATGCCGTTGAATAATAGTGGCCACAGAAACCAAGGCCCTGTTTGGTATGGCTTACGCCTTTTGAAAACGTATTAATGGGTAATAGATTATGCAATGCAAAACCTGTTACGTTTTGAAATCTAGTTTCAAAATCTGTAAAAACCATTAATCACTTTTTCAAAGTGAAAAGGGATCGATGCTGTTTGGTACGTACCAAACACCATCATCCATAATCCACTGTCACGATGTCCGACTCCGAGTCCGATTCCGAAAATTCGCGATCCACCATCTCCTTGGTCGAATACTCGTCATCCATTGAAGACCTGATGGACGACTCCATGGACGACCTGAGCACTAGTTCTCAGTCGGATTCATCATCTTCAGATGATGATGACATAATCATTGCAGCAGCTGTTCTCGAGATTGAAGAGAAGGAACGTGAGCAACGCTACGCCAGGATTCCTTGTAGGACTTCAAATCTTCGAGGCTATGCTTATGAGAAAGAACTACTTGAAGGTAGTAATGTCCGCTTTCTGGAGGTCTTGAAGCTTGAAAAGCACGCCTTCAAACATCTAATGACATACCTCAAGCCTCTATTGGAGCCTTCAGAGCACATATCAGTCAATGAACAAGTAATGATCTTCTTATTCATCAGTGGTCATTCAGTAGAAATGAGACATGCTTCAGAGCGATTCCAACACTCCACGGAAACAGTCCATCGATATTTTCATATTGTTCGAAATGCTCTAGAAAGCCGTGTTGATTCTGTCATCATTCAACCAGGACCTGATTCTCCGATACCCGACGAAATAGTTGACAATCCTAAGCTCTATCCATGGTTCTCTCGCTGCCTTGGAGCTCTTGACGGCACTCACATAGAAGCTCAGGTCAAATTTGCTGACAGATCTAAACATCGAAATAGACATGGAACATTATCACAAAACGTACTAGCCGCTTGTTCATTCAATATGAAGTTTTTATTTATTTATGCTGGGATAGGAGGCAGGGCACATGACTCCTTTGTGCTCACCAGAGCACGTGAGAATGGAGCTTTCATAGTACCTGAAGGTCAGTATTCTTCTTGATCTAATTTTTCATCCAACATCTTAATTCAAATATGTCTTTGTAGGGAGATACTATTTAGGTGTTTCTGGTTATGTACATCGCTCAGATGTGTTCATTCCATACTCAGGTACTTGTTATCATCTTCAAGAGTGGCACATTGGAAACCGTGCACCACGTACTCCTCGTGAACTTTACAATCTACGTCATGCTACAGCACGAAATGTCATTGAGCGCATATTTGGTGTCATGAAGATGTGATCTCAGATCATGAAATACATGCCACATTTTGATCTAGAAGTTCAATATTCACTAGTGGTAGCATGTGCAGTTCTACACAATATCATTCGAGATGCAGGACCTGAAGACTCTTTCTATGACGAGTTTGACCGCTTACAACGGGAGGAAGAGAATACTCAAGATTTGGCATGGGCACAAGCTAGAGCAAACAATGAATATGAGGAGCCTGACCTTGGAATTCAGAATGAGGCACATGCTCAGAGGGATGCAATGGCTCAAGAGATGTTTAATGATTATTTGGCTCATCCACGTAGACAGTGGAGATGAAATCTAGTTTAATTACTCATCCAGGTAGACAGCAGACAAGAATTATTGATGTCTCACAGCATGAGATAATGTAAATACAAATTCAAGAAATTATACTGGTGTGATCTCATTCTTCAGCCAATCCCATTGCATATCATCCGGCAGTGAATTAAAAAAGAAAGCCTTGTCTTCAGTGTTTAAAATGATTGCTGCTTTCATCTTCTCATCTTTGTCAGTAATCATGGATGCTATTTTAGATCGGAAGACCTCCATGGCCTTGGCTTGCTCCGGATACTTCTCCTTCCTTGCATGGATGAGACTCTGGTGGTGAAGTCGCTCCAGTGCAGCAGCCTCCGCATTAGCCTTCCTTTCGTTTCGCATGGTTTCCATTTGCAGTTGCCTTTCGTATCGTATCAACTCCAGTTGAGCTTGTCTTTCTTCACGCATTCTAATGTTCTCCTTACGATCATGTTCTTTAGCAGCCAAATTTGCCTTGCCAACCTCAACTAGTCCCATCAAGGCATCAGCACTACTCGGCTGGTTTGATTTCTTACGATGTGGGCAAGGCTTTGGGGAAAAAGGAGCTGGTCGTTTAGCATTAGTCGGCTTGGGTGGAGGAGATGGCGAAGTTGGAGGTAAGGAGGATTCAGGCAATACTATCGGTGCGATAGCCTGGTCTAGCACAGCTGTAGGTGTTGGATTATTGGTTGATCGATTGGTTTGATTGTTAACAGTCAATCGATCGGCCGTATCGTTCGTAGTACCTGATGTTGAGTGTGTAGAAAGCAATGTTGATAAGAAGATGATGAGGGAAATGAAAGTTTGTGTAAAAACAAACCTGGAATTCCTTGAGATGGGTCGAATGCTGGTGGCAAGTCTGAATCGGTCCCATCATCTAAAGCTAGTTCTTCTGCGGTGAGTTCAGCAGTCCTTGATCTCTTTGTCCTGGCTACGCGACTGCCTCGGACCATTGTGTCGTCCGCATTTCGACCATGCTCGAGTTCATTCATGAGCTCATAGTTGGGAAAACCTTTATTTTTGAAAGGTTTGTACTTCAAATTCGCCTGTTGGACAACCATGGTCAGTATGAAAAGGAAATGAGCAAAGGAGATTGAAGTGACTGACATGTATCTTGATGGTCCACCATTCATCTGATGCAATGATCATTTTCTTCTCGTCATCCCAACCAGCGCCTGTAAATTTCTTGAGGGCATCAAATGTCTTGTACAAAGCACGTTGCTGATAGAACAATTATTAGCTGACTTTTTTAGATGAGCAATCGAGGTAACATGTACTTACAGAGTTATAATGATTCTTCAACGCTGATACTTCATATGACTCGTGGTATCGATCGTTGAAAGATTTTACAACGGTGGCCCATGCTTCCTTTTTGAATACGTTCTCAACTCGAGCACCGTTGTGGGCTTGTTCCAAGAGACTTCGTAAGATGAAATTGCTACGCCCATTGCCAAAGTTTGCTGAACCCTTATCCGGTTCCTTCGCCATTACGATCGTTCGAGGTCAATTGCCTAAAGTTGATGTATTCAAGACATGGTATTAGCTTGCATTCCTAAAAAGAAGGCTGAAAATTGGAGAGTAGAGTACGAGTGGAAGAAAAAAAACGTACTTGAAAGGTCTCGAAAGTGCTCCTCGAAAAGTGAGGTGCGTTAAAGTTCCAGTACGTGGGTGAGGTGAATTCGTACTTGTGAAATTTTTGAGAGTTCTTGACTCTTGACCCTGCAGAGCCCCGAGTTTAAGGGCTTCCTACGGGTTGTATAATAGATTAATGGACTTGAAAGCTGCTCGAAAGCAGCTTTCAAAATACCCAATTTTCTACAGAAAATAATGGATTATCAATGGTAAAATGTATTTTGGAATGGGGGGCAAAAGGGGTAACAAAAGGACCCCGGTATGCTCCTATGAAGGGTACAGATCTAGAATTGTGACTTTTGAGCTCGCGCGGAGATACGACATATGGGATTAAACAGCGTTCTCTTGGATTTTACCGGTTTCTGCCTGAATTTCAGAGTCGCTAAGTCCAATACAGCTGATTGAAAAGACTAAACCTGTCTTAAAGCTATGGGTAAAGCCAGGGACAAGTTTCCGAGCAAGCTCAAAAGTCACATTTTTGGATCTGTACCCCTTATAAGAGCATGCCGGGGTCCTGTAACAAACGATTATTTTTAAAAAATAGGAAAATGTATTATTTTCAAAAAATAATACATTTTACCCGGTTTTTGTAAGCCATACCAAACGGGGCCCAAGTCACTGCTTTGTGCTTTGGGTTTTCTTATCATTTTCTTGCAACAGTTCAAACCACTTCTAACACATATGTTGTGCATAGTTCAAAGGTAGAGACTTTTCAACCAAGTTTTAATCAAATGAAACAGGTTGGAAATCTTTCAATTGATAGAAAGAAAGAGTTCATGATCAGAGAAAGAATTGTTTGATTTCTTGAATCCAAATCCATCAGGTATGTAAATTATTTTTTTTTCAAAGTCAAAGGATACACCCTTGTAAATGTGATTTCAGTTTTATTAAGAATCAATCAAGTTGGTTAGATAAACAGAGTCGATAAACAAAACAAAAATCGAATTCTCGAATAACAAAGTGATCAAAAAAAATGAAAATAAAGATTATCAGAAAATATAAAAGATCGATTTGCGAACAAGAATAATATCCGAAGTTTAGAAAACAGATTCCAAATCAATCAACTCAAGAAACCTCAAAAAAGATTGAAATTTCTTTAAATCGATAAACCTTCAAAATCAAATCAATCAATCAAGAAAACTTGAAATGAAAAAAAAACTTCATATTTCTCTACCGTCCGTCCGTTCCATACATATTCATATATACGATAAAAATTTATTTATTAGAATAAGATGGAAAAGTAAATAGAACGGATGAGAAAAAAGCAAAAGCAACCAAAGAGAAAGTGGTACGGGTTTTATAGGGAACCGTTTGGAAATGGGTGGAGGTTGGATGCGCCGTAGTTTGTTAACCTAACCTCTTTTGGAAGATTATTTGAGTTTGACTGTCACTGGAAGTGCAGTGAGGTTGATTCCGACCGGTGATGACTAATTTTAGGTTCGGTGCATTGCCGTAATAGAGAGCTTGGAGGATGCTTAAATGAGAAATAAAACCAAACTTATCTTTCTCATCTCGGCTTCTATCATTCTCATCGGATTCATTTATTACTATTCATACTCAAAACCAAATCAAAAAGAAAAAGAAATCAAGAAAAATTTGAGTCCTGATTTATTTTCAGTTTCCACTTCTTATCAATCACTTCATTCGAAAATGTCTTCCAACACTCAAGTTTATAGGTAAACCTCATCTTCCTATACAAACAACCCTTTCAAAAGACCTTTCAAATGTTAATCATCTTGTGTTTGTTTTTGGGGGGGTGAAACTTAGTACGAAAGAAGTTGAAACTCATACAACTGAACAATCAGCTTGGGTAATCATTGAAGGAAACGTTTATGATGTTACTGATTTTCTAGAAGACCATCCTGGAGGAAAAGAAGTAAATCAAAATCTACAGCATACATACATTCAAAACCCATCCCATTCATTCAAAAATCATTTAGATTTCCAAAAAACTAATGCCTAACTTTTTTTCTTTTTACTTAGATTTTGTTGTCTAACTGTGGTAAAGATTCAACTGAATTATTTCAAGAATATCATACTAAAAAAGTAAACTTCTTTTCGTTTACTTACTTCAAAAACCTCTTTTTTTCGCTTCAATATACTAACTTACTTTTGATTCTTTTGGTTTGGATTTTTTTTTTATAGATTTTAGCTAAAACAGCTGAACCTATGAAGATTGGTGTAATAGCAGCGGATTCAAAAATCTAAGAAGAAAACCTCACTCACTCACTCACTCACCCAAACCTCTATTGATTTTTTATTTCATATAATGTAAATCGAAACAGATAAAGATTTTTTAAATTTGTTTTTTGATTGTATTTTGTAAAAGATTAGTTTGTAAAGAAAAACTTGGTTTTAGGATTTTTTTGAAGGAAATTAGAAAGAATCCAAATTTGCTTAGGTTTGATTGTATCACAAGTTTAGAAAGTGTTTTATAAAAGTTTGTGAGATGAATAATTAGATCTAGAAGTATAGATTGTTTTATTTGTAAAAATTTGACATGAATCTTACTTTACTTCTCAATTAAACATGATTGAAACTATTCTTAAGAAACGTTGAAAAAAATCAGTTCATTGAACTTGCCAATCATGATTTCTATTCACTCAAAACTCAAGTTGATAATTAAAAAGAAAGGTTTATTGTATATTAACCTACTTCTCTTGCTTTTATTTTCAAGTATTCTTTAAAAAAAACTGAACAAAAACACACCATATAAGTCGATTCTTTTGACTTATTCTATATCGTCTATTCATTGGAATTGAATATACAAAAAACATCAAACTAAATAAAAAAGAACCCAAAAGAAAACCAAAAAAAGCAATCCTATAATGTATTCCACTCTTTTTACTTTTCATTAACCAAAAGAAAAAAACCCAATAAATCTTTCAAATCCAAATCAAAGTTTCAAACCTGATCCATTTTGTAATTTCCTAAACTTCTTCTTCGTAGGTCCATCTTCACCACCCATACTTCTTTTCCCAATCAATGTAACTCCTTCAACCTTACTCAAGTCCTTCAAAACGCTCTCTTTTTGTTCCTTGACACTCATCTGATTCACTTCCTTAACTTCTTTCGTAACAACTGGTTTACCTGTCACTAATTCGATTTTCTTTAACTGATCTTTACGTTTTGCTTTTCGTTCTTTTCTTTGAGTTTGTTTTTGTGAATGAGTTAGTTCATTGGAATCTAATTGAATATCTTTTGGATTGATCGAATACAATTCTTCAGGTGCTAATAAAGTACTACTTCCCATTGATGTAGGTAGAGCTGATTCCAATGCGATCGTCGGTAAATTATTGATCGTCTTGATCATCGTCTTAGGTGCTTTAGGTGTGAAATGTGCATTACTTAAAGCATCTAACTTTCCAAATAAATCTTCATAAATCTCTTGGATTTCTTCATGACTTTTGGCTAGCGTTTCGTCTTTGGTATCTATGGGTTTCATGCCGGTTTCAGATCGGATCTTTTCACTTCGGTATTCATCTTCATAACTTTCGGCTAATGATCTACTCGATTTCGTGTCTTGTAATTCTAATAATCTAGATGGTAAAAACGCTTTTAAATCGATAGGTCTTCTTCTAATCACATCATCAAATTGACCCTACGAAATCCAAAAAGAAAAGATCAGTTAAAGAAATCTTTCCAAAGAAAAAAAAACTGAAAATTCATCAAATCATCTCACATCCAAAATTCTTTGTTTAATCAAAGCTTCTAATCCCAAAGTTTTTTCTTCTGTAATAGCAGGAGCAATCTTCTGAATATGTTCAAACTCTAAATCTTCTTCAAGTAAACTATTCTTTGGTCGATCTTTAGATGTTGCTTCTCCTTTCAATGTCCAATCTTTTTTTCCTACATTCTCGGCTTCTAATTCGGCAATCTGTTTAGAAAGTATTTTAAGTTTTTTGGCATGTTTTGATAAGCTTTCAGTTGAGTTCTTTGGTTCTCCTTCTGAGCCTTCTGAGCCGGCTTCTGAAAACCCATCGGAAAATAAATCGGTACTCATTCGTTTCATCGTTCTGGTCTCTGCATCACCACTTGCATTCGATCCGCTTTCAGATCCTGTTTCACTCCCGTTCTCTTCATCTTCAGAATCGTCGTCTTCATCTTCTGATCCTTCTTCTTCTTCTTCACTTTCACTCAAAGATATCGATCCTTCACTGTCATCATCTTCCTCTTCATCATCTAATCCACTTGACATATCTGAAACTCTTACTCCTTTATTGTTTGCTGGGATTTCTTTCACAATCACTTTTTCTGAAAACATCACTCTTGGACTCTTGGAAGGTTGTTCGGTCTTTTCTGGATCGGATCTTTTCTTTTTTAGAGTGTTCTTAGTTGGTTTCTTTTCGGTTGGGTTTGGGTTTTTTGGGTTGGATTTTTTGGTAGGTAAACCAGCAGGAGGATCAAAAAAATCTCCGTATCTTAAATCTAAAAAGACCGTTTGGTTAACTGAACACTCAAGACATTTGGCTTGTGGAGCTTTAAAAGAACTTACTAGCAACCATATCAAGATCCATAGCATTCCCATCTTCATCGTCATCATCTTCATCTTCATCTTCACCATGAAGAATTCCAGTATCAAAACCCGAAAACAAATCCACATCTTCATCATCTTCATCATCATCATCTTCTTCTTCTTCTTCTGGTTGATGATTTTCTTTTGACCATTTCCGTAACTTTTGTCTCATTTCGATTTCTCCTTGATCAGTTTCTTCTTCAAATTCACTTAATGAAAAGAAATGATCATCTACTTTAGAACGTTTAGGTTTATTAGAATGAGGTTTAGGAATAGATTTGTTGCGAGATTCTAGTGTGTTGAGTGATAGATTGGGGTCTGATGAAATAGATGATGAGGTTTGTTTAGTTTGGTGGGATAGAGTGGGGTTGAGTGTTGATGATTCTGATCCTTCTGATGATTCTTGGTCATTCAAAGTTGTGATGTAAGGTATACTTTTTTTTTCTTCTTCTTCTTCTTCTTCTGATTTTTCAGTAGAACTTTCATTCATTCCTTCAAAATCATCTGAATCCATCTCATCAAAATCAAACAAACCTTCGTCATCATCATCTTCTTCTTCTTCGGTCGGTAATCCTAAGGCTTCTTTTCGATTCTCGGCCATTATATCTTCATCAAGTTCTTCGGCTTCATCTTCATCTAATACTTCCCTCATCCATCCCATCACACAAGTTTGTTTTAATTTGATTTGGTTCCAAATCGTTTGATCGTTTATTTCAACTTGATCATCTTCTGTACCAAGATACAATGAATTTAATGGGGTTGAGCTTAGGTTTGGAATCGATGATGGACTTGGTTTGGTTGAGGATGATCGGGATCGGGTGGTAGGTCTTTGATCTCTGGTTGAGATGATTAATGATTTGATATAATCTAATGAAACTTGTTCTGATTGTAATGATTCATTAAAGATGATACTCGTAGATTTTAAAGTTTGTTGAATTAGATTTTTTCGAGTTTGTTCTAATGTTTGATTTGGATTATCGGGATTGGTATTGGTATTGGTATTGATATCGGGATTGGTTTGGTTTGATGAGATTTTAAAATTACATTGACCTGAAAATAATGAAATTGAAAATAATAAGTCTTGGGAAATCGTTTCTAAAAACTTTTCTGTGGGTTCTGGATTCCTATTCGGCTTGTTCATTTTTTTAAATGTCTTTTGAATGATGGTGGTGTTGGTGAAGGTGAAGGTGAAGGGAAATGGTTTGGAGAAGTTGAGGAATGTTTGGGTTGCTAAGTTTTTGGTTCGGCTCGATAGTGGGTTATACTCGGTATAAGCATATCTCTAACACTTTCACTTCTTTTAATTTCTCATCATGATTTGATCTACTCTACCAAGTATGTAAACACATTTCTTGCTAATTTTTGTTTTCTTCAAACTTATTTGGCTAAAAGAAAACCAACCCAAATAGTTCAGATCAAATTGGTTCAGTAACTTCAAGGTCTAAACTGATTGAAATTTATTTCTTTTCATTGGTGAGATTTGTTGAAAGGTTTGAGTGATCGAGTTTTATTCACAAATGGTTTGTCTTCATAAAAAAAACTAAAAAAAGGTGGATGTAGAGGTGTATATACATGACAGTTTTAATGGATTACAAATCTTTATTTGATCATTGAACTTGAACTTGAAGTTGTACAGAGGTTTAAAGATTTATATGAGGTCTTGATTATAAGTTTAATCTTTTTAAAGGGCTTGATGATGAGATTTCTTTGAGTTAGAAATCATTTTGGTTAGTAAGGATTGGTAGAATAAGTTGATAAAATTGGATGGGTTTTTGAAATTTGATTTGTTTTGATTTTTTTTGAGATGAATCAGGGAGTCGTTGTTCACTTGAGCAATTTCTGGTTGGAAATTCGAATTCTACAATATTTAGAATTCTGGCTTGGTGAAGTATGTATGGTTCATTTATTGGATTTTATAATTTACAAAAGGCAATTTTCTGGAAAGAAATTGTTTAAGTGAAGACTCCCTAAGTAATAACAGGTGAAAGGATGATATGAAGTTGAGCAATACATTTCAAGAAAATCTGGCTCCAACACCCAAACTTGCCTACAGCAGTACTCTATGGTTCATTACAGACCATAGGGCAAGGGATTTGCTAAACCATGAACAAGGCAACAGGCCCAGTTAGACCCAAGCTAGGTCAGCCAGACAGAATTGGGCTAGGAGTGGAGAATGAAAAATTGACACTCCATGTCTCCTCCTGATCTAAACAAGTCCTTCTTGGCAATCAAGGATCTTTATCTATAAAATCTGGCACAGGAGTTGGAAAAAGTTTGGTTGGAGACTTTTTCCACTTGATGTATTTGAATATCTTACAAATAAATATACTCTTATACTAAGAAAAGTTTGGGTTACCTGCTTCTTAATTTATATATGCTCATCTGATTTCAATTCATTTGTTGGTTTTCATCTATTGATGTAGATGTAGATGTAAGTTGTTTGATCATTTTGAGAAACTCAGAAATCTTTTACCAAGCTGTCCAAGCCAAGTTGTCAGACTCAGTGGCTTGTAGCAAGCACTGGTAATTTGGAATGTTACAGAAAAATGTTTTTTTCTCAAGTCTTTTGCTTAACGCTTTCTTGGTTGAAATACAAGAATTTGAAAGTATCATCATGTGTAGAAGAAGCAAATTAGCAAAACCTTTCTTAGTACAATAGGATATTTATTTGTAAGATGGTTGGAAAAAGTCTTCATCCAAGATCTTCCAACTCATGTTCCAAATTTGGTGGATAAGATACAAGTCCCTTGTGTTCCAAGAAGGATTTGTATAGGTTAGTACATAGGAGAAATTTTCACTCCACACTCCTAGCCAGATTCTGGCTGACCTAGTTTGTGTCTACCTCATGGGCCTATGGTCTTGTTCAACTTCATGCTCAATAGAGCCCTGCCCAATGGTCTGTAATGGACCTTGTGGAAAAAGATTCTTTGGTTAAGAATAGAAATGTAAGATCTCAATGGATATGTGAAGGCACCAGATTTATAATCTGTTTTAAAATCATGCATTTGTAGGAGGTTAAACTTATGAAGCAACATACCTACCAATTTCTTTTCTTGGTCCAAAGAGGTATGTTTTGAGTAGTTTCACAGGAAGTTTATGTTTAACATATGCTCAGCTTCAAGATAAAAACAAATTGTTGTTTTTGCCAACCATGGGTAAAATTGAATTGAATTTTCCGTTTGATCAGGTGTGGATAGATTCACGAGGGGTGCTTGATTCTACATGGTATTATGGTCAACGGCCATGGAGGCCTAGAAGGTCAAAAGGATGCGGCAAGGATAGAACTCAAAAAAGCAGAAAGTGTAATCCCAGAGGGCGAACACAACATGAACATCAAGGCGCGTTCCATGCATCAATTCCAGCTTCCTAGACACATTTGAAGCCTGTTAATGTTCCCTTTGTTGGAGAGAAATCAGATTAGTCTGAATATTAAGAGGGATCAGTTTAGTCATTTGGTCACATTCACAGAAACAAGGTTCTATTGACGCATCAAGTCCCGAGCACGAGTGAGTAAATGAGAATTCATAGCCACAGCCTAGACAATCAAAAACGCCGCATCAAAAAGACCTTAGATGACATTCTCAGAGTGAATGAAATACGTGACTTTTAACAAGACATCCTAAATGTAAGATACGTAGTACATTGATGATAAACTTGCATGAACTCAAAGAACCAAAAAAAAACCAAAAATGAGAACAAAGTAACAAGGATAAAAGACATTCAACATTTTTTTTTGTCTTGAACAAAAATCGATTTGATATAAGATTACAACTTTGAAGTTAATTGAAAAAAGGATATATCATACAAATAAAATCACAATTGATACAATCGAAACAGGAAACTAAAAGTCAAAAAGGAATTGAAAGAAAACTTGTAAACCGTATGGCTTGTCACTAACACTACTGATGAATGAATCGTTTTAACAAGTTCAACAGCCAACAGGGTGACCAAGTTCAAGAATCTCTTAATCAACTTTGACCGACCCAATCAATGTACATCGACCAATAAAGCTTTCTCTAAGATCACCTTTCCTTCCTTATACTTTTGTGTAGGTTCGTAAGCTTTATCATACTTCCATCCAATCGTTGCACCACACTTGATACAATAAATATCACGAACGGTATGTAAACCAGTGGTCATCGGTCGATCTTCAGCTTCTCCTAATTTGATATTCACAGCTGTTTCGAATAGATAAGCTCGTCCGTGTTGACCATTGAATTGCTAGAGATCAGATCAATTGATTAGCTCTTTTCTCATAATGATATCATCGGACCAAGTAAGGAAGACCATACACGTGAGATCATGTTATCGGTTGTAGCTAAATGAGTACGACATGTGCTACATCCAAAGACTCTTGAACCTGAAAGGTATTCACGGTGTTGGAAGCCCATCTGGCTTTTCTAGAGCACTGAGTCGATTTGAGATGATAGATTATCGTGAAGCTGAGGTTCAGATCGAACGTTTCCTGAAACGTTTGAAGTCACAAATGATCTTGATGAAATGAGTTTTTGATGATAGATTTGATGGATGAAACGATAAGGTGGTTTGATGAGATGATAGATTGATGTTATAGTTTGAGAGAAAGGCTATAGCCCATTTCACTTTGAATGGTTTCTGAAATTCTGTTTCTTGATCAAATTGGAAGTCACTTTGAGTTCGACTCAAGATTGAGCTTTTATATGCATGGGTTATTTGTTGCACTGTGCATAACCCATGATCATGTGACTTTAAAAGGAGTATCAAATTACAAAGCTTGTTTATTTATATACACCTACACCTGAGGCATTTTCCTTTTAAGTTTTCAACTTACACTCTCGGAAGTCAAGTGATATGTAGGCTCTAGAGTCTAGACCGGAGAGCATATGTACCTCCAGAGATAAGGGTAGGGCATTTATAATTGATCTGCATCGCCCAGATAGGACCTTCAGTCAATCTCAAGTGATCAAAAGTAGTGAGAGATCTGAATTGCACAAAGGGATTTCTTGAGTGTAAATTCCGCTGTGTGTAAACTCCGCCTGTCCAGTGAGATCCACTTTATTACCACTGGCACCGGGTTGCATAGCAAAACTCTTGGTCCAAGCTATAGATATCTTGTATTTCCAGTGAGATTGTTGCTTGGAAAGATTTATGTATGTACCCCAATGATTTTTGGCTGAGGGGAAACCTCTACATCGTATGTTGTCCTTGAAAATATATCAAGAACTCTTTGGATATATCATATTATGCCTCTTCACCGGGTCTCTTTCAGGTTATAATCATGCCAAACCTTTATCATTTCTACACGTACAAACCTTAGATGTTGGATATCCTTTATCTTACCTAACAGATTAAATTTGAAAACCCTTGAGTGATTTAAAGTTGTGCTCATGATGTTTTTTGCGTTTACAAGGAAAAGATATTCCTACACCACGGGGCTGGTGGTACGTGACGCTCACGTGGGATTTGACTCTGTGTGCTGTCTACATCGTCATACCCGACGTGAGTTACACATGCAAGCCAGCGTGGGCTTCACCTGGATCTGATCACGTAGCTACAGTGTGATGGCTCACCTGATCATTGAGCGAGTCATCTCACCTTGTTATGATGTGAGAAGGCTCACACAATGATAAGGTGAGATGACTCACCTTGTTGAGAGTGCCAGTCAGACTTTGTGGCAACCAGGCGAGATAGCTCGTACTCTTGTAGTGTAAGCAAGGATGAAGCTGGTGAGCAATGGCTCATTGTAGGGGTCTTCCGGCCTCATCATAAGCTGATATGTAGCCACACCCTCGAATCAAGCTGGGATGTTTTGGTTTTTGGCTCACGGGATGAGGTTGAAGACTGCAACTAATCTTTTGTTTGCATTGACAAGAAATACAGATGATAATTACACAACCAAGGGAAATGATATTGAGAAAAACACAAGAAAAAAAGATGAGAAAAAAGACAAGGAGATGATCAACATGAAACAAAAATGAGCCTTTGATGGAAATGTTCAATGGTTTGGTTGTGTACTGAATATTTTAATTTGATTGATTGTTCCTGTAAGAAATGTTCATCAAGCAATCAATCAATGAATCCATGATCAATGAGAGTCAGAAGAGCTGATTGAGATGATGCAAGACTTACAACCTATCAGATCGATCTAAGTGTATGGAGCTATTAGAACAATGAGGAAAAAAGAGAAGAGACCAATCATGATCAGCAAACAAGAACAAAAATAAACAAACAAGAAAAGAATGGAAAACTATTGAAAATCCAGTCTTCAACTCAAGATAATCAACCTAGACTTCAATATCAACAATCCAAACAGAAACAATGAAGAGAATGGCATCAATCTGTAGGACAATGCGAATGAGGTGTAGAGAAGAAAGGTGAAGATAATGAAATAGGGCTTAAAAACGGAGCGATCGAACAAAGGACTTTGATATGGACAAGACAAACAATATCAATCATTATACAATTAAAACTTTGAGCCGATTGGAATGAGATCAAGAGGGCAAAGACTTACAAAGAGAAATAAAATGAGCGATAAAAGGGCTTTCACTTGAACATTCAGAATGAGGATGAATGAAACATGACCGGATGATCTGCTCTAGAGATGATTGATGTGATGACGGTGAACACTAACTTGATAAAGATAGTAGAACGGGAAAGTGCACCAGGGAAGTTGTTACATATGTAGCGGTGAGACCTGTGACATTTACCTGTGACGTCACACTTGACATCACATATATGTTTATACATGGAGCGCGCAAAAACCTTACCCGACACCTGGTTTGAAAATGACACCAATCTGTGACATTTCCACCAGCAAACTTCACAAAGCGGTCTTCAGAGTTTCAAAAGCAGGCTACATTTGGCAGAGGTCAAGTTTTGTGACACGGTAAGTTGCTTTGTGGACTCTTGATCATATCCAACTTTTCCACATGTTGAGCTAGCCCCATCTAGTGAGTTCGTTCTTCCTCCTTGTCATTTCATCTTCTTAACTTGATCTTGTTTGTCAATAGTTAGTCATGTTGATTGGTCCATTTCGAAGATTTCAAAGGTACTATTGCCAGTTTATCATACGTGAGTACTTGTCTTCCTAAGTCTCCAACTCATCTTCTACCGTTCAGCTTCATTTATTGCTTGAGTGTGTTGTTGTATTGATCGCCCATTTCCAAGCTTCAAAACCATGAGCTTTTTTTATTTGTCTTTTGTTCTTTTGTTGACTTTTATCTTATGCTTCATATACCTCTATGCAGTACAAGCAACTAATCTGTTCTTTCTTTTTGTTTGGTAGTGTAATACATAGGGATGATATAGTATTTTTCAAAAAAGGAATGTATAACATGATTAGGACAGTTAAATCCAATTTCAATGTAGAGGACATCCATTATGTTTTTTTCATAAACTTATAAGATAATCATAAGCAATTTAAGTATGAAATTTCCTGTAGACATCTGAAGAGATAACAAATGAACCAATCTCGGGGGACATGAGATTGACATGCAGCAAAATAAACTGAGAAAAGTACCCAGAAATTGTTGAGAGTGCCAAATTTTTCAAGCGTGGCTCAGCAGCCGCATGATTCTCTTCTTAATTTTTTGAGGAGGCCTACTTATTTGCTTTGGCGCACAAGCTGAATCGCGTGCTGAGCACTTCGCGCTGGCAGGTTGCGCTCGTCCCAACCAGCTCACCCACTGATTGGCTGGTAAACCACACCATGCCGACGTGGTCTTTCTCTTGACGTGTAGAGCAGGTGACAAGCATCAGGTGAGGGCCACGTGGCCACACTCACACTGCTTTCACCTGCTCGAAATCACATGGCCGCACTCACACTGCTGCCACCTGTTCTACACAACCACTCGGCGTGGTCATACCCAACTTACATTTCACGTGGTCCCAGTTCAAAGTTGCCCCGTGGTGTATACATATCAAAGAAATCTTTTACATATTACAGTGGAGGTGAGTAGAGGCTAGGTCCTGATGGAGGTTCAGTTCTGGTCATCTTCCGGTCTTGTACTGAGTTCTTCCTTGGAAGTGGTACATAACTGCAAGAAAAAACACTCCAAATTTTGAGATCTCGTAATACAACTTGAGTCTTGCTCACTCTCATCACTCTTTCTTCTCTCAGTTTTCAAGGCACAATCAAATTGTAGATAGATACTGCAGAGCTTAGCCTGACCATACACCCATGTGTTTGTATGATGATCTTACATTGGTTTTGTATATGGTTTGCTTGAAAGCTATAAGGCCATATGAGTGTAACACGTTTCAGGTTTGTGTCATGAATGATCACAGTACAAAGCTCATTATTAAAAAAAAATTATGCATTGCTTAAAGTGCCTCCTAAATGATCAGGCACTATTATAACTATTTGTGCTGGGCTCTGGTAAAAACCCCTTGTGTGAAAAAGGACGTGTGATGGAAGTTTAAACTATTTAGGGTCAGACTTACCATTACATCATTGATATTGGGATCCATATATTAAGTTTGTAGAAAGATTAGGAGGTAATTGTGAATAACAATTAAAGATCTTTATGTTGCTTGTTCTTTTAGATGTTTCCTCAAGACTTCATGTTACATATCATGAAGGTCCAGACTCCAAAGCGTTAAAAAAGAAAAAGAAACACGTGGAAAAAGAACCATCTTGAGAAATCACTGGATTGAGAAACCTTCTTTTCATCTGCCACGGCCCACAGCCTATGGATGAAGAAATCACCCCAAAAGAAGGTCAAAATGCCTTATTGAAGCACTGGAAATCTTTTCCTCTCATATGTAACTCTATCTTGGAATCCCACATAGCGGCTGAAGTCTGCTGGGTTGGACAAATGATCTGGTCCATATGATCCTCAAAACTGAAACAGTCACACAACGGCGCCACAATTGTGTAGAAAAAATTTTCATTGATAAATAATAAAACCTTTCCCAAATTGCCCACCAAGATTTAGGCCCCGTTTGGTATGGCTTATGCCTTTTCATAACCTATTAACGGGTAATAGGTTATGCATTGCCGAATGTGATACGTTTTGAAGTCGAGTTTCAAAATCTGTAAAACACATTAAACCCCTTTTCAAAGGGAAAAGTGATCGATGGTGTTTGGTACGTACCATTCACCATCATCCATAACATATTATCACAATGTCCGATTCCGAAGATTCGGAAATCAGTTATTCCTCGGTTCAATACTCGTCATCGATCGAAGACCTGATGGACAACTCCATGGACGACCTGAGCAATGGTACGTTGTCTGATTCGTCGTCTTCAGATGATGATGATGATATACTCATTGCAGCGGCAGTTCTTGAGATCGAGGAGATGGAACGCGAGCAACGCTACGCCAGGATTCCTTGTAGGACTTTGAATCTTCGAGGCTATGCTTACGAGAAAGAACTACTCAAAGGGAGTAACGTGCGTTTTCTGGAGGTCTTGAAACTAGAAAAACACGCCTTCAAGCATCTCATGACTTATCTCGAGCCTCTTTTGGAGCCTTCAGAGCACATAACAGTCAATGAACAAGTAATGATGTTCTTATTCATCAGTGGGCATTCAGTAGAAATGAGGCATGCTGCAGAGTGTTTCCAACACTCGACAGAAACGGTCCATCAATATTTTCATATTGTTTGAAATGCGCTCGAGGGACTTGTTGATTCTGTGATTATTCAACCAGGGCCTGATACTCCAATACCTGACAAAATAGTTGACAATCCAAAGCTTAATCCATGGTTCTCTCACTGCATTGGAGCTCTTGACGGCACTCACATCGAAGCTCAGGTCAAATTCGCCAACAGATCTAAACATCGAAATAGACATGGTACATTATCACAAAACGTGCTAGCCGCTTGTTCTTTCAATATGAAGTTTCTGTTTATCTATGCTGGGATAGGTGGTAGGGCGCACGACTCCTTTGTGCTCACCAAAGCTCGTGAGAATGGAGCTTTCATTGTACCTGAAGGTGAGTAACCTTCTTGATCTACTTTGGAATCCAATATTCTAATTGGAATATATATTTGTAGGAAGATACTATTTAGGAGATTCTGGTTATGCACATCGCTCAGATGTGTTCATTCCATACTCGGGTACTTGTTATCATCTTCAAGAGTGGCACATTGGAAACCGCGCACCACGTACTCCTTGTGAACTTTACAACCTACGTCACGCTATGGCACGAAATGTCATTGAGCGCATATTTGGTGTTCTGAAAATGTGATCTCAAATAATGAAATACATGCCACAATTTGATTTAGAAGTTCAATATTCACTAGTTGTAGCATGTGCAGTTCTACACAATATCATTCGAGATGCAGGTCCTGAAGACTCTTTCTATGACGAGTTTGACTGCTTACAACGCGAGGAAGAGAATACCCAAGATTTGGCATGGGCACAAGCTAGAGCAAACAATGAATATGAAGAACCTGGCCTTGGAGTTCAGAATGAGGCACATGCTCAGAGGGATGCAATGGCTCAAGAGATGTTTGATGATTATTTGGCTCATCCACGTCGACAGTGGAGATGATATCTAGTTCAATTACTCATTAGGTAGACAGCATAGAAGAAATAAAAGAATTTGATTTGAATGACAGCATAAAAGGATGAAACTACAAATTTAAAAAATTATACTTGTATCTACAAATTTAAAAAATTATACTTGTGTGATCTCATTCTTCAACCAATCCCATTGCATATCTTCTGGTAGAGAATTAAAAAAGAAAGCCTTATCCTCATTGTTTAAGATGATAGCACCTTTCATCTTCTCAACTTTGTCAGTAATATTGGATGCTACATTAGATCGGAATACATTCATAGCCTTGGTTTGCTCTGGATACTTATCTTTACTTGCATGGATGAGACTCTGGTGTTGAAGGCGCTCAAGTGCAGCAGCCTCTGCTTGTGCCTTCCTTTTGCTTCGTATAGTTTCTAATTGTACTTGCCTTTCATGTCGGATCAACTCCAATTGAGCTTGTCAATCTTCCTGCATTCTCATGTTCTGCTTACAATCCTCCTCTTTGGCAGCCAACTTTGCCTTGCCCACTTCAACTAGACTCATCAACGCATCTGCACTGCTTGGCAGGTTCGATCGCTTTCGATGTGCTCAAGGCTTTGGGGAGAATGGAGCAGGTCGTTTAGCATTGGTTGGTTTGGGTGGTGGAGATGGCGAAGTTGGAGGTAAGGAGGATGGTGCTGGTGCGATGGCTGGGTCTACAACATCCCTGGGTATTGGCCCGAAGTTTGATTGATCGGCTGGATCGTGAACAGTCGATCCGTTGGCCTTATCATTCAGAACCTCGGTCAAAGCTGTAAAACAATTGTCAATAAGGTGATGTATTCACATTTGGGCATGTGAAGACAAACCTGGATCAAGGACTGGTGGTAAGTCTGAATCCAATCCATCATCCAGCGCTAGTTCCTCTGGGGTGAGTTCAGCGGTCCTGGATCAATTCGTCCTGGCAACGCGACTGCCTTGGACCATTTTGTCATCAGCATTTCGCCCATCCTCGAGTTCGTTCATGAGTGCATAGTTAGGAAAACCTTTGTTTCTAAAGGTCTTGTATTTTGAATTTGACTATGAAACAAACAAAATTAGCATTTGAAAACAATAGTCTTTGAAGAGAGGTTGAAAGCTCACAGCAATTTTGATTTTCCACCATTCATCTGATGCAATAACCATTTTCTTCTCGTTGTCCCAACCAGCGCCTGTAAAATTCTTGAGGGGTTCAAATGACTTGTACAAAACACGTTGCTGAGAATCCCATCGTCAGATAACTTGTTCATATGTGCAATTGAGGTAGGAAGCACTTACAGCGTTATAATGATTCTTCAATGCTGAGATTTCATAGTCCTCATGATAACACTTGTTAAATTCTTTTACCACTGTAACCCATGCTTCCTTTTTAAACACATTCTCAACTCGAGCTCCGTTGTTTGCTTGGTCCAAGAGGCTTTGTAGTAAGAAATCGCTACGCCCATTGCCAAAGTGCGCTGAGCTCTTCTCAGCTTCCTTGCCCATGACAATTGATGTGAATCTAGTGGCCAAAGCTTGTGGTTTCAAGATAGGCAAATTGCTTGGGATCAGAAAAGAATCCGTGAGGTGTAGAGTTCTAAAGGATGGAAATGAACGTACTTTGGAGAAAATCAAGTTAAAAGTGCTCCTCGAAAAGCCTGTTCAGGTAACCTCGTTGAGTGAGAAGAATTTGTACTTATAATTTTTTTTGAGATAATGCTGGTTGACCCTACAGAGCCCCGAGTCGAAAGCGTTTCTACGGGTTTTATAATGGATTAATCGACTTGAAAGCTGCTCAATAGCAGCTTTCAAAATACTCGATTATTGATCGAGATTAATGGATTATGGAGTGAAAAACAGATTTCAAAAAGGGGGGCAAAGGTGGTAACAAACGACTTTTTTTAAAAAAGTGGAAAATGTATTATTTTTGGAAAATAATACATTTTCCCCGGTTTTTGTAAGCTATACCAAACGGGGCCTTATTTGGAGGGAAAGATTGGATGAGTATTGTATAGTACAGAAATATAACACAGGAAGCACTACATATGTATGATAGATTTGGCCTGAATACATATGTAGCCACGCCCATTAGCTTGAACAAGCCCTCTCTGCGCGGCCACGTCCGCGCGCCTCGCAGAGGGGCTTGGGACTAATCGTGAGTTCCTGGCACGGAGACTCCACGAGTTAAGTCCACTTATGTAGTTTTTTGCTTTTTCCCGCTTTCCTCACTGATAAAAACAACTTTACCTTGCAGGAAAAGTTGTTTGTATTTTTGTTCTACATGTGTTTCCATCTTGATATCCTGGTTATCACTACTTCATCACCCTGATCATGAGTTGAGTTTTCAAGCTCTTATGTCCCATATGTAAATGAATGTACAGCCTGTATTCGCATCGTACGTGATTTAAACATAAGGATGTGCAAAACATTTGGTGATTTTGGCGCAGGCAGAAACTAACGTACAAAAAGTACTGAAAACAGACCACAATACAGGCGGGTGTTGTAAGAATGTTAAAGCCACATTTCTGGCCGCATCAGATGGTTTGTGTACAATCTGAGGCTATGAGGATGTGTAGAACAAAAATATGAACAACTCTTCCTGCAAGGTAAAGTTGTTTTTATCGGTGAGGAAAGCGGGAAAAGGCGAAAAACTACATAAGTGGACTTAACTCGTGGAGTCTCCGTGCCAGGAACTCACGATTAGTCCCAAGCCCCTCTGCGAGGCGCGCGGACGTGGCCGCGCAGAGAGGGCTTGTTCAAGCTAACCACGCCCACGGGTTTTAAAGTATTGGTGCACATATCCTCACATGATCATAGCCCCCAAAGAAAATGGTTTCAAAGACATTCATCCGAATTTCCTTTCTCCGCGTTAAACCTTCATTAGTTTAGAAAACAATCTGTAGAGATTTACGGGATCGATCAATTGATCAGATGACTCTGGTGCAGCATATCTTTCGAGCGTATTCACGAGCAGAGAATCAAAGGAGTTTTCCAATGAGTTTTTTCATATTTTAACTACCTATGTAGACCAAAATCCAAAAAGAAAGAAAAATCTATTGCCTGGTTCAGGTCGATCAGTTTTCTAATCTACAACAAGCGAATCACAACCGTCTGTTACAAAATTACTTTGAAGCGAACCTCATGACTCTAAGGATGGAAGATCCAACTTACGGAATCCATATTCCCTTTGCACAGCCATCACTGTTATAGATTTCCCGCCAATCCATAGATAATTAGATGTGATAAGCATGTGCCGGTTTTAAGTGCGAGTACTTACATACTCAAACAGATCCCTATTTTATCTTTTGCCCACGTGGGTTTGTGTGGTACCTGGTAGAGGAGGTTATGTACGCGCAGGTTCGAGTTTGGGCTTGGCACGCTAGTGAGAAATGAAGGATTTCTTTTTCTTGATACTCATAGGGGCCAACCCAAGGCCAAGTTGAGGGCCAGACTCAAAGCTGACTTTGTGGTGTAAGCAATTTGTGATCGAGATTTGTACCTCGGAAAAGCTATGAGAGACCAAAGTGTAAAATTTAAAATGATGGTGGTCACTGGTTGGTATAGAGTCTCAAAGTCAGGGAATCTGGTCCAAATCATTCAAATCCAAATCCAATCAGTAGATCTGAATCTGATCGATTTGGTCAACCGTTAATTCGGTGTTTAGCAAATCGAACTGGTTTAGCCCCGATTTCATTTTATTTTAGTATGAGTTGGCTATCATCAGCTTACATGCTTTCCTTGAAGAACCAATTAGAATTCGGATTTCTATCTCAAAGCTAAAGCTCAGTTTTGAATTATATTGATACGGACTACTGATCAACTTTTAGCCATCTGATCAGGAACATCGTAAGTACATCTCTTTTCGAACGAATAAAGTCGGTCATTTGAAGATACTCATCCTTAACTTCCCATTTTCTCATCATCACCTACATCATCATCATCATCAGAACTAAATTAGATTCATAGCTCATTCAAATCTCATTTATCTTTCAAAGAGCTTTAGAAGCAAGAAACCATATAAAATGTTAAGAACAACATCAGATCCAACTTGTGAAGCTTTCTATCGTAAACGTCCAAGACCACTTTCACTAAAATCTAAACCTACTCAATTCTTTTCATCTCATTCTACTTCCGGTATCCTTTATTCTTCAATCACCACTCCTATACTAGAACTAGAAGAAGATAATCTTAACCTTTCACTTCTTCACACCTCTGAACTTCCTTCGCCAAAGAAACTTCGACCTTCACGTGAATGTGCTACGATACCTAATGGATCTCTCAAGAGCGCTTTCAAGTCTCCGGCTCAATCTCCTAATACGACTTGTCCTACTACACCTGATACAGATTTTGGGGGAAAGATCTCGGTTGGAATCGTAGAGATGGGTAAGTTTGATCAAAGCTTCTTTAGAAAACTCTTCAACGTCGTGATACTAACGTTTTGGGTGGTGATCTTATAGACTCTACGTTTCCTTTCTCGAGCGCTCGGGCTAGTTCGCCTACACGCAAAAACGTTCACTTCAACTGTGATGAAACAGAGGTGGACTCATTAACGACGGTGATGTTATCCATACACCTAACCCATTCACCTCAATCATACGATCGATCTCCCATCGATGTAGGACCTTCACTCTTACTACCACCTCGATCTTCAAGTGATTTATGTGAAGAAAGTGAAGTAGAAAGTAGTGAGGAAGATTGGTCGGATCCTGAACTTGGGTTAGATCTTAGTCGAACTTCTTCGATTCATCAAGCTGGGATCGGTAACTTACATGCCCTTAATCCTTTGGCTCTCACTTCTGCTCTGGATGGGTTTTAATACCTACTTTTAGTCTGCTTTTTCCTGTGATCTTCTTTTTTTTCGTGTTTCGTTTGCTCTGAATCTTCTTCACACCTCTTCTTACTTCAACGATTAGCGAAAATTAGATAGTTGAGGTTGTTGATCACAAAGAGTGTCTTTTTGGTTCAGAATTTAGGTCTTGAGGTTTTTAATTAGATTTCTCTTTTTAAATCAATCATTTTAATTCCTTCACCTTTCTTTTATTTTCTTTTTTGATTGTATTTTAAAAAAAAGAAAACCTTATGTATTTTGTATTTTTACAATTAAGTTTTTTTAGATCATTTTTAACCATTTGGCCCCTTTTCTTTTTTCTTTTTTACTTTTACAAGCTTGTTGTTTTCTTATACGATTTTCTTTAATCTTTTTTTTTAATTTATACATCTTGTTTATTATATTGCGATCCTATGTACCAACCAATGAATGATAATTCACTCCTTTAATTTTCCCCGGAGTGTTTTTTGAGGTTATGGATTGTGTTATACCATGCAGGATACCAGGCCTATAGAATACCACATTGTATGATGTTAGATAAATTACCACTCGAAGAGACATAGCTTGTTCCTTTGAAAATACGTAGAGTATCATCAAAACAAAATATCAAGGGATTGTAAACTTTAGAAAAGGATTGCTATGCCAGAGGTTCTATCAATAAGACACACTTTAAAGAACTCATACACCAATAATTATCTCGTCGAGACTTGACTCTAGAATCTTACTATGTATTTATCAGATATTTTCTGGATGCCGTTTGTAAGAAAATGGACATCGTCATATCGATGTCTCATACTAAAATCCTTGTAAGCATGTTTATCTTGATTATGCTTGGGTTTTTCACTTGTTTGAGATAGACTAAATTGAAGCCTGATTAATGATGATGAGATATTTTCCTTCTCTAGTTGATTTTTGTATCATAGAAGTTGTGTATTGCTCAATCGCTTATTCTACTTCATGACCGTTCCGTTCAAGAAGGAGCTCAAAGGATTGCCTACCCTTTATGCAAGAGTTGTTATGTGTGCAATGATCAATCAGACATTCTGGTCTGGACAGTTTTGTATGCAGACAAAGGTAACGATAGGTGGAGTTTGCCTTTGATCTCTGTGTGTAAGGTTGGATATGGGGCGTGAGCTCGGTGAAGTTTCAATAACAACATTCATGATGTACATACCGCCTCACAAGTTGATCTGCAAAGATAGACCGAATCAGGATTCAGGATTCAGGGGTGGATGACATTGACAAAAACTTGAAACAGGTAAGTAGAAATCCAATAAAGGATGACGATGCTGGGCATACATAGTCTTCGGATAATTGGTTAATGGAACTCATCGCAATCGCGATTCGCATCCGATCATGAGGTCAGCGCCTTCAAAAGTCGCTTAGTTGAATGTTGTACTCAATTTGTAACTTGAGCTTTACAATCATAAAGGACCAGCACGTATAGATAGAAAAAGAGTCTGAGGAGAGACTCCAGACCGGAGAGAAACCGAAAGGCTCCTTTGAAAAGTTCAGATCGATGGACAAACGCTGAGTGTTCTGATGAGCTTTCTCGTCCTCGTATCTCCTTTGTTTTTCAAATGTGTCCTCAACCGAATTTCAAAACTAGATCTAAAGTTTGATTTGTCTTTGTGTTATCCTCATCCAACTACTCCTTAAAGGCGAACATCAAAAGTTCAACACCTTCAGCTGAGCATGAATTCGACTGGTTTGATTCTGTAGGATCTATAAGACTTGAAGACAGATATCACCACCCACACACAACCACTCATTGGACCTTGCTACTTTAAGCACTCTGCAGCAATTCACCAATACCATCCTCAAGCCGAACGATTCAGATCCCTCCCTCCTCCAGAAAATCTTCGCGTCACTTTATTCTCCTTTACAAACCATCTTCACAGCAAGCACCAGCAAAAATTACTACAAGACCACCGATCCCTTCAAAGTTGATTCATACATTCATATGTCCGATATAACTCTTTGCGAAGCCTCAAGGGGGAATACAAATGACGAAGTCACCCACCCGAACTACCAGCTCCCTGATCCAAAAGAAAGGATATGGTACGAGCTCTGTGAAAGTCTCGGATGGTATTGGCCACCACTAAGTCCAAAGACGGATGAAAATTATGCGCGATCTCGTGTTTTAGTTCACTTTGGTCGATTAAATTCGTTGACTCAAAGCGAGATTTTGAAGTTCAATCAAAGATCAAATGGTGAGAATTATAATCCAAATCGAATTGAACGCTACTGGACCACATGGCATCTTCGTGCAATCTTTTTGGAAGCTATCGAATGGGCTGTTAATGGATATTCATCAGATCCTGATTTACTTATCTTTCGAGATTTCACCTCTAATAGTGAATTAACTTGGCTTGATCTTAACCATTTCCGTTCTGAGAAACTCTTAGCCAAACAAATCGATTTTCCTGTTGGTATACACTTTTACGCTACCGACCCGCTTCAAGGTGCTGGACCATCTCTTCCTCATCTTCTCAAAGCACAAGTTTCGAAAATCGATCTAGACAAAAGTCCGTCTCAAGGGTTTTGGTCAATTGGATTTCAAAGAACTCCATACCCAACTCATGAAATTAATTTTAGTCATTCTGAAGCATACCCTTCAGTTCATGTACCTCATCATCTTGGCAAGATTGGTGAGATTTGGGTAGAGCATGGTAAAGCAGGAGTCGAGAATCGGATCTTGTTTCGTAAGACGGTAGCAGAAGATGATCTTTCGATTCTTATTTGGCCTCAATACCAGCCTGCTCATCTTGATCAAAAACGTCCATTGACTCAACTTCCACGAATACCAGCCTATGCAGATGAGATTGTTGAGGTATGTGAAGATATGATAGGAAGCTACATAAGTTGTTATAGTCCATTTCTGATGGAAATCTTTATCCCTTTTACTTAGCTATGTAATGAGGATAGAATCCTTTTATTTGCATCTCATTATTCTTCCCATAGAGTACATATCACCTTACAGATCACTGTTCGATTTGATTGGGCTAGTCAGACTTCTGAAGATTCCTCTATTTGGCGCCCTAATCATTACAACTGGCCAAATCCTACCACACGGTAAGTCGCGAATAATCCTAGCTTCTTGATTGACTTTTCCTAATTATGATTTGAAGTTTGGGTAAGAAGAATGAACTAACTCAAAGATCTCACTGAACCGACTTTTAGATATTCACACTACGTTAAGAGACCGATTACGATGCCATTGGAAAGAAGTGTCGGATCTTTGGAAGATGAGAAGACAAATTCAACAGAAATTGATGGTGATTTTTTACGAAAAAGAATTAAGACTTTAACTCCAGAATCAAAAGAAACAGATTCCAATTCAGATCATGATCATTCTCCAAGTCAAAATCTTTCTTCTTCAAGACTAAAACGTTCGATTGATCAAGTCAACAGATCAGAGAAAAAACAGATCAAGGTTGTAGAGAAGATTGTTTCACCAAGACTTATGATCCGACTTCCTTCTTCAATCGAGTCTAGAAAAGTAGATACAGATACAGATATAGATGCAGATACAAATCAAGCTCAGCCTTCATCACGTCGTAAGAGATCAAACTCTGGAGTTTCAGTAACCCGTCGTACTTCTTTACCTAGAGCAAGTAAAACTAAAAATACCGAGACTTGATGAAAATCAATTTTTTCATATCTTGAGAGTTTTCATCATTATTTTTTTTGTAACTTTTTTTTACATAATCACATTTTAATTTCTTAATTCTTGGTTCATTTAGCATAGAGAGTTGAAGGTTAGCTTTGGTTTAAAAGATTTTCTTTACTTACTGGGTGAGGCTCCAATAAAAAAAGTATATAATTATCGTTCTTGTTGTTACATAATACAAATGTAGATCAAATTATTATTCATTTGAAATCTACATACATGTATGAAAATTGTCTAACTTCTTTTTGCAAAAGTTTTTTTGATCATAGGACTCTAGAAAACTTATGGTTTGCTGAGCTCTTTTGAATTTTTATATGTTGGCAATATCAACATCAGACTTGCTTATATATTTTAAAGTGTAGTATTGAAAAGTCCTTTAGGCAAGGGTTTTAGGATTGTGGAGCTTCAGAGGTTGGTTTGTGACTTACCTCCATAGAATGTACTGCGAGTTTGTTGATCTTGTGACTGGAAGTGAGACTCTGAGCCTGCACCTCTTATTGGATCCTCCGGGGATTATTGAATGACTGGATTGAATCTTAAAAGTGTGCTAAAGCATTGCCATGAGGTTTGGACGCTGGTCATGCCCTTTGCAAAGGGCAGAAGTTCTGCCCTTTGCAAATACACTTCTTGCTGTTCTGCCGCAGAACAGCAAGAAGTGTATTGATATTACCAATCGCGTCATGCTCTCTGGGTCTTCGGAATGGTCTCGTCATTCCGGAACCTGTCCTTCCGGAATGCGATGTAAGAAAGAGATCTCTTTGCCTCAAGTCAGATGATATTCATTTTTCCAAGTAGGCAAAGGCACAAATCAGATGGTTTGTTCAAAGGAACAGCTCTCAATTCTTTAGGCATCTAGCTCAGTTAAACTGGCTGACATTTTCGCGCTCTATGAGGAATGTGACCTTGGCAAGGCAGATGGGTCACAGCACGTTGAGAAAGGGCAGAATGACGGAATCGATTGATTTCGAAAAGAAAACTAAGCAGGACGGGATGAGTATGGATGACTTTATTTTATTTGAACCTATATATAAAGTGAACGATCATCCACCATATTTTCATCCTCAGCATACATTTACCCTTCTTAAACTATTAAACTATCACTCCGCTTCTAATTTTCTTAAAACTCTCCACTTGAATATTTACCACATTATCCCCACCATTAAAGCTCCTTTAGCTTACTTCCAAAAACTCACATTCACATTTTTATATCATAATCAACAATATAAAACAATCTTCTCGAAGGCTTTCTTTGTTCTCCAATCATGACCTCACAAACTACATCATCCTACTCTGGTCTCACTTTACAAATGGTCCGAGAAACTAATGAAGATACGGGTCTCACTGGTTCCACTCCTTACGTTCATCCGTTGGATTGCACAAGAAGTACGTTCCCAATTCCTTCACACTCTGTCTCTGTCCAGTTGTCCAGTTTGCTTACTTTGTTTTTTGTAGATTGCGTATTCTGTTCGGATGATTCCCGATCAGTGATCGAAGAAATCGCGGGGGTTGATCATATCCCAAGAGGTGAGTCTATCTTTCCTGTTATGTCATCATTGATGAAATTTGACTGATTTTTCTTTTTGGCTACTCAGGTCCTTTTCTACTTGAACAAGTACATTATGTCATAGACTAGACTCCAATGAGGTATTGGAATCTCCATTCGAATGCGAACCTAGTACCTCAAGAACTACTCGAATGGCTGGTAATACCGACAACGAGGAACCAGAAGACTTTGCAGAAGAGATGATGTTAGATGCATCAATGATACCGATTTTTGATTCATGTGGATGTGAGCCTACCAAGGAGAAGACATTAAGCTCTACTGATCTTTCCGGACAAGCTTTGGAAGAATATGATGAAGATCAACCATTCGATATCTCATCACGTCCTAGCTTTGTGACCTTTGAAACTAGTCACGATGTCGATCCATTTTCAGATTCATATATATCACCTTTTTCAATTCCTCGAAGTATGATTGATTGGCAACGTGATGAATACATCGATGCATCAACTATTCCAGCTTTTGTTGAATTCACGGTCACTAATCCTGTTTACACAGACTACCAATTCAATCCTTCAATGAGGTCTCAAGGTGTAGGAGGTAGTCGACAAGAAGTTGAACCTTGTAAAGATGAAGATTCAGTCTCTGATCATGACACGGAATCCAGCGAATGGACATCAACGGCTGATTCTAACACTGACTATCCTGGATGTGAAAGCTCGGACTCAGGAAGCGGTGATGAAAAGACAATGGATATCAAGGGGAAATCAAAGGCTGTAAAGAACATGGGACGCAAATTGTTTTTGCCTCAAAAGACACGCCGAAAAGTAGTCCCGCTACCAAAGGCCACTTGGAAATCCTCGATCGATGATATAGAGACTAGCAGTATCGAAGGAGAAGAGGCGGATGTAGATGAACCTGGATCTTCATCACAAAATCAATCTGATAAGAAACGAAGAAGATTAAGCTCGATTGAAGCCTTAGTGTTAAAATTACCTAATACGACACTAAAGATTTTTCCAACCATGGTGGTCTATGATTCTCAAGTAGATAGACCAGGGATGGCAAGATCACGTCTTTCGTTGAAAAGACCTTTATCGGATGAAAGATCTGATGAGTTTGTTAAAAAGGTTAAATTGATGAAAGGTTCAAATCGAGTACAATATAGAAAATTAAATTGAGATCAATCTCTTTCATTTCATATTTGACTTCCTTATCTTCTCTTATTGGGCTTCCTTCTTGTTTCTCATGTTGTAGTCTTTAGCCTTTGGTTATGTTTTTTTTTCTCATTTCTTTTTCATCTCTTTGTTCAGTTCTCTTTATTTAAATCTTGTATAATTATACACAAAGTAACTCTCGATTGATTTTGTTCCATTAGTTTCTTCTTTATGGAATTGAATATTCCAGATGATAAGCTGTTAAATTCAAACGATCAAGATTTCTTGATCTATGCTCTATGTACACACAAAAGGCACCTTAATTACATGGGCATCTTCCGTTCAGAAAGTTTGGTCATGTCCAACTTGCAGACTGTTCTCTTCTATAGATTCATGCTGCAGTCTGAGACTATGGTCTTCACACCCAGACACGTTGAAATCGCTACGCCACCTTTTCTGTTTCTGGACCGACCAATTGCATACTTGGTTGTCCTACTGACTTCAGTCCAAATTTCAGTATCCCAAAGACGCAGGGTATTACAAATCCTATGTCGAGAAGGGTAAGCTAATCATATCACGGTAGTTTTGCCTCTAATTGCTTTTTTTATACAGTTCTGTTCTGCTCATTTGGATTTTGAATTGAATCCGATAGCAATGGAAATCATTACAATACGTTCAAAAATGTATAAAATTTGATTTATTGGCCTAGAGTTTTGACTACATTATGGTATTTTAGGAATTGAGAAATTGGTGAAGAGTACAATAAAAAATGCAGTCAAAATACCCTCAGTAAGATTTATTATTAATCATCATTGGGTTGAATATATGAAAGTGATACCCTCAGTTAAAGATTCATTTTTTGACATCATTGGGTTAAGTTTAAGAAAATTAAATAGATAGAAAGTCTAGTATAAAGATGAAAGATTTTTTTTACAGAACTTGAAAGAAGGAGAAGTCGATTGAAAGGAAATGAAAAAGAAATGAAAATTCTGAATCAAGTGACCTTTTTTTTTAAGTTTTTGTACATATATAGCCGAATGGAAATCTAAAAATGTGAAAGAGTCGATGAAAGAATGAAAAAAAATGAAACTCACAATTCAAAACTGGGAAACTTTTCGAGCAGATTCAGGAATTGGTTCAGGGATCTTGGAAAGGTCTTTGAGAATGATGATACCTCCTTTGATAGATGGGCGGTATGTATGTGTTCGAGTAGAAGTGAGAGAAGGATTGTTGAGTAAAAGTGTTGGACAAAGACGATTTAAGTTCTTGGGATGAAGCTTGATGGGTTCGAATGCCTTCTTCGGTTGTTCTTCAACTTTGACTGATGTTGTAGGAGGATCAGGGCGGCGTTCGGGAATCGGATTAAGTTGACGGAGAGGAGGAGGTCTGGGGGCGAGAACATTGGCTTGAGTTTGGTGTCGTTGTAAAGGCATGATGGTATAAGATATACGAAGTGGATGGAGGGATTTGGATGTGAGCAAGATTGTAAATGGTGAGGTTGTGTGGAAGGGTGAAGGAAAGTTAAAGCGAGTGGCCGATGTCCTCAATCGATTTATATGACAACGTTGGTGCTGATCACACCATACAATCCCATAATGCAATCCCATAATACTGAAACTGAGGATACAAACAGATGATCGGCCAATCCCATTTCTCGATCGCATTATCAAAGCATTATCGAAGCATTATCGAAGCATTATCGAAGCATTATTTTTGTGATACAAGCGCCTTGAATATTGATAACATTTACCGCACGGCAAATTAATTAATGCTGGCAATAGACTCATCATATTTGTATGTGGGTATTTTAGGATCCTCTTAAGTTTCCGTCGCAAACATTTATCGCTTCATCTCCCCGATGTCATGTTCCTCAAAATTCAACAACTGCCCGTGTTTGGTGAGAAAGACATTTTAAAAAATTAACAGCAAATGTTAGAAGCCTCATGAAAAGCGAATACAGACCACCTCATATCACAGCTTGAGGTTTGTATACATATTTTGAAATTTATCAGAGGGAGCATTTTGGCGAATCACTCCTTGAAAAAACTCCTGAATTGTGTTGTGGTTGTAAGAAGTTGAATAATTCAGAAACATTGGATATGTTTTCTTTGTAGGATCCATCACAAGTGACGTGTCTACGTAGACTATGGTTTTTTGATGAGAAAGTGAATTTGAAAGAGAAGGAAAGTGAAAAGGTTATGGGGTTCGGATTGGAGTATGGGATTACATGATGAAGTGTTACTTGAAATTTGACATTGTTCCGAAAAAATCCAAGGAAAGTTTAAGAAATCGATATCACACGAACCACTTGAAGTTCATACCAAGTTCCAAAACGAAAAGGACGAGAATGTCAAAAGCAAGATTAAAGGATGGAACTAAGACAATCTTAGCAATCAAATCAAATCAAACCAAATCATTCTCAATTTTAACTAATCAAAATCAACAACAAAACAAATGGAATCAATATCAACCACCACCACCAGCACAACAGAACTCGAATTATCAAGCACCATCGAGGTATAATCAAGCACCACCGAGGTTCAATCCAGAACAACCAAGATATCAGCAGCAGCCAAACTATCAACAGCAGCCAAACTATCAACAACAGCCAAGGTATCAGCAACATCCAAGATATCAACAGCAGTCAAATTATCAGCAGCAGCCAAATCATCAACAACATCCAAACTATCAACAAAATCATTCTTATCAAAACCAGCAGCCTCCATCTTCATATCCGAATCAGCCTTATCATCAAGGACCTCATCATCAATTCCAACCTCAGCCTCCTCATTCAGCGTATCAACAATACAATCCAAACCGAAACTTTCAATCACTAGAGACCCAACCCGCAAACCGATCACAACCCCCCTCATCCTCATCCTCCAACCAACCTATACCATCCTCATCAAAACCTATTATTCGAACCCAAGATTCACGTACGAACTCAAGAAAAAAAGATGAAGAGAAAAAATTAAGAAGAGCAGGAATTTTACCAGCATTTATAAAACCTAAACCTAAGATCGGAGTTATAACCATAAGTAAAGCAGCACAAGAAAAAAAAGCTAAAAAAGCATTAGAAGCATTAAATCAAAAAACTAAAGAAGAAAATTTGAATAATTTAAAAGGAAAGAAAAAGAATGAATTGGCTATTGGATCTGTTATGACAGTTTCTCAACTTGCTCATTTGACTCATCAAAAATTAAGTAAGATTCAATCCAATTTTTTTATGATGCTTTTCAAATTCACTTCTTATGTAGTTTTCTTACTGATCTGGGTTTCTTTTGCTTGTTCATAGGTCGATTACAATCACTTATGCAATCAGCAGGTTTAACAGATATAAGACCCGATCGAATCTTAACCTCAGATGATTCAGCTTATTTAGCATTAGAATCAGGTTACGAACCTATCATAAATGATTCGCTAGCATTCGATATTTATCCAGATCCACCATCAAAAGATCCATCTAGATTATCATTAAGACCACCTATAGTATGTATAATGGGACATGTAGATCATGGGAAAACTACTTTATTAGATTCGCTTAGGTCTTCTTCTATTGCTGATCAAGAAGCTGGTGGAATTACTCAACATATTGGTGCTTTTGAAGTTTCTGTAACAGATTTGATGGGTCTTAAAAAGGAGGATAAATCAAAGAAAGCTACTGAAGATCAAGAACAAGATGATTCGTCGCCTAAAACGATCACTTTTCTGGATACACCTGGTCATGCTGCTTTCAGTGCTATGAGAAGTAGAGGAGCATTAACAACAGATGTAGCCATCATCGTAGTAGCAGCAGACGATGGAGTCAAACCACAAACATTAGAAGTGATCGAATTAGTAAAACAAACTGATATAGGAATCATAGTAGCCATAACGAAATGTGATAAACCATCCATAGATTTACATAGAACGAAATCAATGATATATGAAGCCGGAATCGAAATTGAAGATTTAGGTGGCGAGATTCCATGTGTAGAAGTATCAGCATTAAATAAAAAAGGTTTAGATCAATTGGCAGAAACGATAATTGCAGTAGCAGAAGTAAGAGAATTGAGAATAGAAAGTGAAGGGGTTAGATTTGAAGGAAGAGTCATTGAATCTGACGTTAGTAGAGAAAGAGGAAATGTTGCAACGATTATTGGACTTCGTGGCACTTTGAAAATCGGGACTGATTTGATTGCTGGTACTTCTTATGGTCGTGCACGTCAATTGATTTCAGTTTCAGGTGAACCTATTGAATTTCTTAAACCAGGTCAACCAGCACTTGTAACGGGATGGAAACAATTACCTGAAGCTGGTAGTTTAGTATTAGGGGTCGAAACAGAAGATCAAGCAAAAAGAGCATATGAGAATCGAATCAGAAGAGAAGAATCTAGAAAATTGATTGAAGAGATTGAAGTGGTAAATGAAAAGCGAGCGAATGCTAAAGAAATTTTTGAAAACAAGAAATCTGAATTGATTGGACTTGATAGACGAGCTAGATGGGCACATTTACGTGAAAGAGAAAAATTAGAAATGGTTGCTGAAGCTAAAGCTAAAGGAGAAGAAGAAACAGAATTAGAACATGAATTAAGGATTATTACCAAAGCTGACTTTACAGGTACAGTCGAAGCCTTGAAAACTGCACTAGGTGGACTTGGAAATGAAACAGTAAGAGTCAAGATTGTGAGTAGTGGGGTAGGAAATGTAACCGAGAGTGATGTAGGAATGGCAGTAGCTTCAAAAGGCATGATCATTGGATTTAATGTGGGAGTAGATCGAGCTGCATTTGTTCCAATGGGAACTCATAAAATCGAATGTAAAACTGAAACTGTGATTTATAGATTAGTAGAACATGTGACCAATAAATTAATTGATATGTTACCTAAACGATTTGAAGAAAGAGTAGTGGGAGAAGCTACGATTGCCGAAATCTTTGAAATCACTATCAAAGGTAGGATTACTAAGAAAGTAGCTGGATGTAAAGTTATGAATGGTGAAATTAAAAAGAAAGATGGGATTAGGATTATGAGAGGGATGGAAATCATTTGGGAAGGTTCGTTTTGTTTTTAATTTTTATCACTCGATTTTAGCTTTTCAATTACATAGGTATTGATTGTTTTTCTTGATGATAATAGGAAATCTTGAACAACTTAAACATGGAAAGAAAGAAGAAAAATCGATTTCTAAAGGTAAAGAATGTGGAATTGAATTTGGAAATGGGTTTAATGAATTTATGATTGGAGATAAAGTTTTAGGAGTTGAAAAATTCGAAGTGACTAGAAGTTTGAGTGATGGATTATGATTTGTTTATACATCTTTATAGTGCCCAAGAGATTTAGAAGGGAATTTTTGTGGAAGGGTTTTGTAGATTGATTTTTGGTTGAAAGGATCAGATTAGAATGACCACTCTAAATAGATGATACCGACTGGAGGTTTCTTATTCCGCTTATGGTCAGTCTTGGGCTTTGACTTTTTTACGTGCTATAAAGAAGAAATCGATTTTGGGTTGTTGCTGAATGCAAATCCATCCCAGATTGAATTCTCTAATTAATAACAAATCAGGAGAATCAAGATCAGATGCAGTTGATCTTTGTTAAAGAAAATGTCATATACTTCAAGGAGGGTAAAGCTTAAAGAAATAGTGGTTAAGATTTGGAATGAGCATTGTGTAATACAAGTTGAAGAGACAAGTGAGATGTTAATCTAATCTAGTGATTGAGTTGGATGATGAAGGATAGATTATTCGAAAGCCTTGATTTACTTGTAAACTGATCAAACTCCCCCCCCCGCCCCAGTAGTCGAGGGAGGGACTTACGGTGGTTTTCAACTCACAACAGCAAGATTTTCGGTCATTTGTTTGCTTTTGCCCATTATGAGGGTTCAATACCTCATAAAATCTTGCTTCCAGCCGCACCTAGCTTGCTTGACATCTTATAGGTCTCCTGGTGCCGGTTTCAGATCTGCATTCTGGATGGATTTGTTGCTATTGCAATTCTTGGACATTGTGTTTTTGGATACATCTGCACATCTTAGGCCCCGTTTGGGAGCGGTGACAAAGTGTAATGTACTGCAAAAGTGTACTGCATTTTTGGCCCCAATAATGCAGTAGAGATGAAAACCCGCACTTGTAGTGTGGTACAGTTATAATCTCTGTTTTTGGTCATAATCGTTTGGCAATTCAACACCACTCGTGCTGATTTTCTCCTGACTGTGGTATGTATGTATGTATACCCACAAAACCTCTGACATCGTTCGTTCTCGATCCACACTCAAACAGACTTAACAATCTTTTATCATTAATTCACTTGCTCGGTCATCGTAACTCATCAAAAGTTGTGAACCTCATCACCAATCAACTGGAACTTTTCTCTCGTCAAGGAATCATCTTGATCATCTTTTTCATATTGTTAGCGAATTTGAAAAGATACATATCCTTTGATATTCATGAGATTGATTGAAGGAGAAACAAGGTTATCAAAGCGAGTGACAGAATTTGAGAAGCGACGAGATTGATTGAGGGAACGGTGGATTGAAGGAAGAAGTGATAAAGGTACAGTGCGATGAGGTCAATTGACAAACTAATATTGAACTCGTGGTTGTCTTCATCTTGAAGTGTGAAGGTGTTGAAGATGGGTTGATAGTGAGTTTTGTAATCGAACGGATGGAAGGAGCCGATGAATTACAAAGGGAAGGGGAAGAGATCAAATTTGACGAAGTCCCCTTTCACCGTGCGGATTTATTTTTCATAAACAGCTTTTTGTCAATTATTGCAATACCACAGTATTGTCAGATTATTGTCTAAATACTGTGGTACAATACTGCAGCAAAATAAGGTACCAAACGTGGTAAGATCATACCACTGTGGTATTGATGCGATTACGAAAATACCGCGGTAAAATAACCGCTCCCAAACGGGGCCTTAGGGGTCCTGTTTTACATCAGGTGTCCCAGCAACAACTTTTTACAACTCTTCTGAATGAGCTCAATGACACCGCGGGAATAAATTAGTTCAAAACCCGATTGAGCGGAGTTTCGGTGTCCGGGTACGAAACTTCCTCGAATCGTGAAATTCGTTCACAATTCGTTAGCAATAGGTTTGCCGATTTTCCTCGAGCTCGACTCTGCTGGCCCCGTATGTACTGCTACATATGTACATCATAAGACAACAGCAACCCCAATTTCGATCGTACGACCACCTTTCCTTTTTAATGCATCCTTAGTCTTCCATACTTTGGTGAATCCGGCCGTTTATCTTCTCGACTGACTTCCTTTCTTTTTTTAGCTGATCATGTGGGCCATGGACGAGGACAAATACTTTCGACCTTTCAACAGTGGGCCTTTGAACAAACGGTCAGTACAGTATCTTCTCTGTATCTATAACTCGCTATTTTCGTAAAAGTCCTGATCCAACTCCTCTTCAACTTCCGTGTTTCCACCACTTTAATCAAACTCTGACTACACAGGTCTCTAGTTATCTGTACCGTGTTTCAAATGGATCCTGCCGATACTAGTTTAGAAATCAAGTTTGAAAAACTTGCTGATCAAGTTCAACGCGTCTCACTGGGCCTTGCACAACAAGGCGAGCTCTTGTCTAGCATCTCGACCCCACCTCAAAAGAAGAAAGGTCGTGCTTCGATTGGTACCCCACAGGGTACTCCTAAGAAGAAGGAGCCTCATCCCCTAGAACTAGTCGAAACTGACGAGCTTGATTACCTAAAAGTAAGTTCAATCTGTCTAGCATGGTGTCTGACCTTTAATCTGATTCCATCAAATGAAGCACGCAGGCCATACTCATGTACAAGTCATCATGGGTCGAGCTAATGCATGCAGCCCTATTCCTCCACCCCCAAACAATATCGAGAAATCCAAAGTCACCACCACTGTTTCATCGGTCTCAGCCTACCCTACCAAATCCGTGTCTTCAGCTCCGATTACTCATCAGCTAGCAGATCATGGTGTAATTAGCCAAAACTTTGCAGACTATATCCGATCTTGTCTTAGCCTGGCGGGTTTATCGCGTTTCACAATCGATTGGGACGGCCGGTTTGAAGATCAATTCAATCAAGTCGCATTGCAGTTCTTCCTACAAACATTCAAACAAGCCCTCACTGCCAGCGAATATGGTGTTCCTTTACATCAATCAGTGGACGAACTTGATCTAAAGCTTACGGCATTCTTCTACGTCCACATTCAAACACTCAAGGCTCAATACAAGGCTCAGCTCAAAAACCCCAACGTCTTAGATATACGCAAGGATGTTGGCCGCATCCGCAAGGCCAAACAAGATGTAAGTACTTCCTCCTGTTTCAGACTATAACCAATTTCTCATGTCTCTGTTTTACCTTTCTGTTCGATAGCGATGTGTTGAGTACAAAACATACCTCGTGGCAATGCAGGTTGATGCGAGAGTGGTCAATTTATTCTCAGATCATAACATCATCGGCGAGGAAGTATTGATCCGTGATGGCGCTATCACGCACCGTCAATTCTTAATTCCAACTTGGTATTCGGCCCGTTTCTTAGAATTCATGGTGGAATTAGAACGTCGGGTTCAAATCAGCATCCTTGCCGAGAAAAATCGTGGTCCGACACGCACCCTCCGACAATTTGTAGCTCCGCCTAACTCCACGATCAAAACCTCGAATGTTCCAAAAGAACTTCCCATAGATTGCTACCATCAAGCCAACTTTCTCGACTGCCTTCTTCCAGTTCAATTGAAGGCTTGGAAGTTGAAGCCTCCGATCATCCCAGAAGACGTAAAGGATCTCTTTGCTCCCGCTGGCAGCATCAAAAAAAAGTCGTCACCTAATGCCCCCATTCCCACGCCGAACCCTCCTGTCTCCGCGCCAAACGCTCCTGACGTACGCCCCGCAGTTTCAAACCCGATCATTGGACCCCAAGATGAATCTGAATTCCCTGCAGGGCTGTTTAATAATTTAGATGATGAAGCTATGATTGATGGGGAAAATGACGATGAGGAGGAGCTCTGAAGGTATCTGAAGGTATACCAATTTCTCAAAAATGTTTCATCACGTGTATCCAGTTCCATCTCTCTTGGTATTTAAAGCCAACAGTTTTGTATCTAGTTACAATCTACAATGAGTTTGTTCGTTATCTCATAACAATACCTAAAAATCTTCTGAAATCAAGTCTACATATTGTTTGTCTTTGAGATTAAAAATGGCTTCTAACGCTCAAGTTCCTTGTGACTGCCCTCATACCTGCAAAAAGGATGGCAGAGAGTTTTGCTATATTGCACGACGTACTCGTATACGCCATCAAGAACTCACTGCACAACTTGGCATGCAAGCTGAAGACGAGCGGCCTGAATACACTTCTACTACATCCATCAATCAAGAGATTGTGTCTCAAGCACCTTCACCGATTGAAATCAGTAACCTGCTACTTAATTATAATACTCATCTTCTTTCAAAGCTTTCTATACATAATGAAGCAGACGATACAAAAGATTCAGACCTCATGGATCTTAAGCAAGCCTTGATGGTTTGTACTGCATTACTCCACAGTACAGCAGTAAGCCGTACAAAAATTGGCCACATCATTAAGTTTTTAAACAACATCATCAAATATACTGTAGACCTATCTGGAAGGAAGGATGATTGGAAAGAAAGATTTGTCCTACCACTAGATATTCGTTCAATCACAAACCATCTGGGTCTGGAACCAGTTCTCTTTCAAACAATCTGCTGTCCCGGTTGCTATTCTCAGTACAGCATCACCGACCCAATCAGGATATGTTTACAAAAGGAGACCCCACGAGCTAAGAGGTGTGATACAAATCTTCGAGGGGTTAAAGACAAGCCAATACAAATGTATTCGACCCAGTCTCTCATTGCATGGATCTCAAAATTATTACAACATCCAGGAATCGAGACTGCGCTGGAGTTGTGTGTTAGTCATGTCTCTCCCAACGACGGCCAATGTGATGTATGGGACAGCCCATTATGGAGATCTCTCAAGGATGAAGGAGGCAACAGCCTGCTATCGAAGCCAGGAAATCTGGCCTTTAGCCTGTTTTACAATGGCTTCAATCCATACGGGAACAAACAATCAGGTGAGATTGCACGTACCTTCTACATCAAACTCTACTGACCATATCAGTGCGTTTCTTCGAACGTTTAGGAAAACAGGTCAGCATTGGAAACATCACCATGTTCTGCCTTAGTCTACCAATAAACCTTCGATATACTACCGAATATACATTCATTGCTGGAATTGTCCCTGGACCGAGCCAGCCAACCACTGTGCAGCACGAGAGTGTTCTCAGGCCTTTACTTGCAGAACTGAGAACACTTTGGACCCACGGAATAACAGTCAATACTCCAAATTCCCCCAATGGAAGATTATTTCGATGCGCTGTGATTGCCTTGACATCAGATATTCCCGCCTCTAAGAAAGTCGCAGGCTTTGGAAGTCATTCAGCTAATTTTCCCTGTGCATACTGCTACATACCCAAGACAAGTCTACACGATGTAGACATACATAAGTACAAAAAAAGGACCAAGGAGGGACATCGAGAAGAGTCGCAAGAGTGGAAAAAAGCAGGAACAAAAAAGTTGAAAAATGAATTGTTCTCAAAGAACAGTGTAAGATGGGCTGGACTCAACGATCTTGAATACTGGGATCCAACCAAGATGATCATTCTGGACTTGATGCACAACCTCGCAGGTATCATAGAATATCACATCAGGGAATTGATGGAGCTTGAAGAGCCCTTGTTAATTAGCCGTGTTCAGAAGGCAAAGAAAGATCTTCGAGGAGATCGGGAATTACTGGAGGTTCGACAGAGGGAGAAGAAAACACAAAGGCACCAGGATAACCTCAAGGATGAACTAGATGGGCTTGGAGCGGAAGCCGAAGAATTCGATATTATCCTTGATATTGAGGCTATCGAGATGGAAGGGGAGGACATAGACATGATTTTGATAGAGAACAAAAACAATCTTGTTTCTACACTTGCCAACGAAGATATCATAATTCCTGACGCTACAATTGACGATGGTACAAGTTCTGATTTGAGTTTCCACCCGGAAGAAGAGGCTGGTACTGTCTCTAGTGACGACTCCATAGTTGATGATGATTATGAAAGTAGAAGTGAGGATAGTCTGACTATAGGATCTGACGAGCTTGAAAACGCGAAGGAGGCATTGCAACGTCTCAAAAACTTCCAAAAAGCAATGACGGAAGTTGTAGTGCCTGCATGGATTGCTAGACCACCGTACAATTTCGGAAACCCTGCGCACGGAAAGCTCAAGTTTGACACTTGGTTCAAGATCTTTCAAATCTTCCTTCCATTAGTTGCAGCGGATGTCTGGGATCCAAAAACGTCACCTGCGGAGTTCGAAAATCTTCAAGACCTAGTGGCTATGACGAGACTCCTCACCAGTAAAAAACAAAGTACAAAGCACTCTGATGCTTTACGTCACTTCATTCCTAAATATGTCAAGGGGATTCAGGACATATACCAGCACTGCGAGGTGAAACCAAATCACCATTATTCCCTTCATTATCCTGATATCATAGATTACTCCGGACCATCTGCAAGCTTGACAGCTTGGGCAGGGGAGAGAGTTAATCATCAACTGGCTAAAGTCCGTACAAATAAGCAAATGGGTAAGCTAGGTCAATTTTTATACATTTGATTACATAATGCTCACGCTATTGTTTCGAAAACACAGCCACGATGAGCACAACCATGATCAAGCAGGTGGTGCGGCACCACAATCTATGCCTTCTTCTCAAGACATCCTCTAGAATGAAGCCAGGTCTTTTGAAAAGCACATTTGAGGCGTTGTTGCCCTTTGCTTCAGATACAGATTTCATTTCGAAAGAGGTCAAAGAAGCCCCACATCGACAAAAAAAACTTGACCATGATCTTTACTTGATATTCTATGACATGTGCTGTACTTTGGATAGGTACAAGTGGCAAGATGCAGGTCAATTTCCCCTTGACCTTGCTACACCAGTCCTGAGTCCACAGGCAACTCCCCATATCAGTTTGGCATGGAATGGAAAGCGAGTTTCAACCTTCAAGCACCACGAAGGGAATAGCTTAGTTCAAATCTATAGTCCGCTGTACAAGAAAATTTTCTTTGGTTCGATTTACATCATCTTTACTCATACTCGTTCTGACAATCTACGGATCCAGACGGAGAGTTATGTCGGCATTAACATATTTCCAGAGCTTTCTGTGAGAGATTCATCATACTCACCGTATCTTTCCCATACATTTGCTAAGGCAAATATACACTTGAGATATGAGAAGTATTCTTCAAATTCTCTTATTTGTAGACTGACCGATATAAGATCTCATATTGCTATCCATAGGAAAGCTCCAGGAACTTATGGTATCTCTGAAGGCACCGTGGCAATTGTCACACTTGAGGATATCACAGCCTTGTAAACTAAATATGTATTTGTTGATATATCATAGATTATCATACATTGGTTATATTCTTCCTCATTTTTACCAATTACCAGTACAAGCGTGTATCATATCATTCTTTATATAATAAGAAAAAATGAAAATAAAATCCAAGATTCCAAGTTGAAACAATCAAGAGCACTACATATCCAATTTCGAGCATAAAGCAAGATAACTCAGGACGGAAAATAGACACAGTAACTTACACTTTCATTTCATTTAATTCAGATGAGTCGGGGGGTAAAGATGGCTTGGGGATGAAGTGAAGGTAGTGGGATCCGATTGATGAAGTTGTAGTTGAGTGTGAGCTCCCTGATTAATAGGTGATTGCTCAATCTGTAATTGTCGCTGATGTTCCTGTTGCAATGCCAGTCGTTCAGAATTTAGTTGGTCTCGTGCCGCCACAACAGCACTGTTGATCCTGTCTTTCTCAGCTAAAACCACTGCATCAATACGCTCTTTTTCAGCGGCCACAACAGCTTCTATGTAGTTTTTTTCAGCTATGATCGCAACATTCATTTGCTGCTTCACAACACTAATCCTTTCTTGTTCAGCCTTCAATTCCGCCTTCTCATTAGCAATTCGAGTCTTCTCAGCAGCTAGATGTTCTTGTTCAGCTAAAAAAGTCTTCATAGCTTCTTGTTTCTCTTTCTCCATAGCAACTCGCATCTTCTCCATCTCCGACTGATATCCTACTTTAAGTAACGCCATCTGTTGACCCATGATTGCTTGCTGAGCCTGCAAAGCGATCTGAAGCTCCTCAACCTCCGCTGTTTCGTCTAAGTTGTTGGACGAGACAGAAGCCACGTCATAGGGAACCGCGGTGGTGGTGTCAAGTTGTGAGGTTGAGTGCAGTACCAATGCGTTCGAAGGACTTGAAGGAGTTTCGGCATAGGAGACAGGATGGCTGTTGGAACTTGACGTGACTAGTTGATTGCTGACAGTACTTGGAGTTGGATTGTTGGACTGCTTACGTCTGACATACGACATTTCAATGTCAGTATCACTCTTGTCTTTGTTCTTGGTGATATTGATGTGATCGGATTGAGATGAATGTGAATGTAGTGATTCTTCATCACTCGTGGAAGCAAGAGAGTCGTCACTGTCGTAGGCTATCATATCTTCTGGCTGAGGAAAAATCGTCTTGATGTCTTGACTGTTTGAAGGAAGACATGTATCTAATTTCTCATATCGGTGTAACATAGCAGGGAGCAAGATAGATTTGAATTGATCGCTGTAAAGGTCGGATGGAAGGCCTTCAGGAACATTGTGAAAATCTTGATCAGGGGCGGGTACGTAGGAAATTGGGGTCCGTTTTGCTCCTCGGCGTTTGATGGTGAGTTGAGAGCTGAGCTGGATATTAGTTTCAAGAAACTTCATGAAATCAATCATTTTCTTAGACCACCAAAGCAGATAATAAACCCGTCTTTCTTTTTTGATCTGACGGCCAATTCTAATCTCAGCCTCTTCAACATCGCCCATAATCGCATAGTTCTTCTTTCGGAAAATCGAGGCAATTTCGCGACGAACTCCACTTTCTTTTAAAAATTCTCTATACTCTGTAAGTCGCTAATAGAATCGAATACAAAGTTTGTTGGTCAGCATTAGCAAAAGACAAATATTTAGTCTTACTTACACCATCTTTTTCCTTTCTAGCTCCAGTCAGCTCATAACGATCTTGTAAGATCATTGGATTGCTGACCTGTGCCTTGTACCCAGCTCGAAGAGATTTGAAACCTCGAAAGACAATTGCCACGAGTTGGATAGTGTTTGAATACTTTTTGTGTGGCCTGAGGCCATACTCAAGAGTATTGACAGCGAGTCCGAAGCTTTTGAGGAAGAACTGCAAGCTAATTTGATTGAACGCATCGTCAAAGTTACCGTCCCAATCGAAGGTGAAGCGTTTGAGACCCCATCGTTGCATCATCATCTACAAGGTTTGATAGAAGGTATTGCTGACTTGATTGCTGATCCGATTCAAAGGATTGTGAGGTAAAAGGAAGGGTGCAAGATGGTTGGGGTATTCAGCCTCTCGGTACTGATCCTCCAAGGCAAGCTTTTCGGAGGAAGTCGGTGGAGGTGGGATAGGGCTGGTAGCAGTAGGACGACGCATGAGTATTCGAAGATGAAGGTGTATTGGGTGCTGTATTCAAATATTTTGATTATCAGCAATGAAGTTATTGGCCTTGAATTGTATTGAAGACCGTTGAAAGAAACTTACAATCAACTCTTTTATTTCCTTTGTATCCACGGCCTCAAGGTCGTTTTGATTTGGTATGCGTTTCTCCTTTTCATCGCTGGAGTCTCGACGATGTGATCCACGTTTTCCTTTGTGGTGTGAAGAGATTCTGCGCTTTGATTGATTGTTTTTCGACGACTTCTTGGAGGATCTAAGGTCGGGTTCACTGTCAGTTGAGGGGGTTGGTGATCGACCGGGATGAGTGGATCCCTTCTTGGGCATTTTAAGATGGGAACTGAGTCTGAATAAGAGAGAAACTTGATTAATGAAGGTGAAGGTGATTACGTTGAAAGGGTTTAATGTTGTCTTATGATGTACATATGTAGCAGTACATACGGGGCCAGCAGAGTCGAGCTCGAGGAAAATCGGCAAACCTATTGCTAACGAATTGTGAACGAATTTCACGATTCGAGGAAGTTTCGTACCCGGACACCAAAACTCCGCTCAATCGGGTTTTGAACTAATTTATTCCCGCGGTGTGAATACAACAGATGCTAAAGAGTGCATGAGGACATGTACACGTCCCCACGCCTAGGATTTGTAATCATTGGGTTCGCAACAGGCCCCGGCCCCGGCGCTGCAGAACTTGAATGATTACGTAAACCACTTGGAGGGGACTGTACAATAGGGGTTCTCAAAGTTGGCCCGGTTTCAAGAAAACCCAGTTGACCCGGTTGCTTTTTGGCAGTAACCTTGTGTATCGAGTTGACATTTTTTGACAGATCACAGCCAAAAAGTCAACTGGGTCAACCGGGTTTTTACAAACCGGGTCTACTTTGAGAACCCCTAATGTGCAAATGAAGGTCCTTGCGGCTGGAAGCAAGACTCGATGAGGTTTAGAATCCTCATGATGAGTGATAAAGCAAAAATTGCCAAAAATTGTGCTGTTGTGAGTTAAAAAGGGGGACTTTAGTTGTAAGTCCCTTCCTCAACTACTTGGGCGGGGGGATTTTGATAAGGTCAATTTACTTGATTCCAACTTGACACAAGTTCAAAATTCATTGCAGGGCTTGATTAACCTGGTGAGCTTGGTGCCCTGGATAGGATTAGGGACTTGGGACTAATCACATAATTTGGGTGATGGTGCAGGAACCAAAAAACCCCGTTGAGGTATATAGCTGCCTATCTTTTGTAGTTTGAATGTGACAGATTTTCTGAGGAGACCAAAATCTTCTAAACAATCAAATGCACAACTTTAGTCATTCACCAAAGCAGTTGAATCATATAGCGGTCCTCTTGCCATGAAAGAAAATTGTGTTCTAGGTGGTTGTTTGTAAATTTTGTTTTGAAAATACAGTCACTGCTAGCAACCAAATTTCAAATTCCAGAAACCTCTTATCTTTTTTGTAGATGCTGAGAATTCTGAATAGACAGATGTGATAGGAATTGCTTCAAGTATCTCCAGTCAAAATGGTCACAGGGGTTGATTGAGCAGAAGTGATACTTTTGGGGGTGGTGAAAAAGTCTCCACACCAAACTCAAATATGAGTAGTCCTGCTCAACCACCAGGCCCAGCCAATTATTCCTAAGAGCATCTCTAACAGTCCCACAATTGTGCGGGCTCTCAACAATGTGGGGGGTCAAATTTCAAAAAACCACTCCAGCAGCCCTCACATAATCTGGGGTGAGACATTGGGAGTCTCCAGATGGTAAGAGGGCTTCACCACATCTGCAAAGTCTAGGTGGGATCTTGACATCACATGACCAATACAGAACACATGGACTCAAACCTCACTTGGAAACAGGAGTATAAGCAAATCAATTATTGACCCCCAACTTTTAGGTACACCACTGTGTGAGGTGTTTTTTTGGACCCCCTACATCCCAAAATCAGGATTGGGGGTCTGTTTCAGACCTTGCGCAATCCAGGGACCTCTGGGCATTCTCCAAGTCCCTCACAAGACATCCAAGCTTGTGAGGAAGAAGTGTCTGATTGTGGGACTTAGTTACGTTAGTACTTGAGTGTTTACAGAGATTACAAAAGCAGATACAATTAAACTTCATGATGACAGAAATACATTGATTTGTAAGCTTAAATAAGCCCCCTCTTCCAACACAGCCACATCCCCTCTCAAAGATGGGCATCAGGGCCCTGACTTTGGCCTGAGACAACACCACCGGCGCTCCGCCCGAGATAGCGGCAGCGGAGCGGTAGCACAGCGCCCGCTCCGCTCACGCTATGGTTCTGGACAGATAGCGGGTCTTTGACCCTGCTATAGCTATGGTCCTACCCCCAAGCGCCATAGCGATTTGGTCATCCGCAGTCTATAGCGGATTTCCGCAGTGCTATGTGGCGACAGAGCGCCCCCAAGCGCTTAGCGCCATGGAGCCCCATGGCGACCCATAGCGTGCAGATTCAGGATATAATTGATGTTATCAACCTTTGACCAATGGGGTTGGTAAACTTTTCTATAATCTGAATCTATCATTTAACACTATATTTATTGATCTTGGTATTCAATAGACCAGAAGAAGCCAGTTGTGCTGTTCAAAAGCAAAACAGGGTGATATCGCCCATAAAAAGAAAGCACTCAGCATTTTAGCTCCTCTCGGTTCTCAATGGAGGTTCTAAAATTTAAAGTAAGAACAAAATCTTTGATGATCAACCAAAGAAGATATGCATTCAAACAGATTCAATTGTATATAGACAAGCAATGAACATGCCTTCTTATGGGGCTTAAACATTTCGATCCAATCCTAAAATTGTAACTGTAGCTGGTTTTTACTCAATCTTTGGTTGTTCTCATAAAATCGCTTGTCTACAGCCTGCTTCTAAACAAACTTCACCACCAATCAGCAAAACACAACCAAAACCTGTAATGATTCTACAAGATCCAATGATTTAGTTTCAGCGATGATCGCAGGGATGGAGAAGAATACAGTCAAAGCAATTAAAGCTGCTCAGAAGTCTAAAAAGAAGAAAGAAGTAAACAAGAAACTAAAGAATCAAATCGATCATCAACTTGTAAAGTACCCATGGTTTAAGAGGTACGCTGAAGCTTTTATACACATCAACTTGATCGATCTTGATCCACTGTTCAATCACTACAATATCCAGGAAAAACTGTTTGATGAATTGTGAAATAATTTTCATACCCAAAACATCAATCGAAGAGCTCGTAACGGCTTTTATTGTAGCTCTTGATTTGGTCAATCTTCAACACGCTGTTGAACGATTAATGACTGATTCAAATCGAGATCAAAGTAAAAAGTACCAACCAGGGGTGAATTCTGAAGTGGAATTTATTGATAGTCGAAAACAAAAACGAGTGGATCATTAAGAATTGCGCCAATTATCAATACTGAGGCTGAGACCAGCAGGATTCTCAAGGACATTTGTTTGAAATTCTTCTTGGACGGCTCTCAACATTGTGCAACCTCACAAAAAGTTGAGAAGAGCTTCTTATAAGCCTTTTACATGCACCTGTGCCACTTTTAGCACCACTTGACTTGAGTAGGTGACAAATTTCAGCTGTTGAGTTCTTGTGAATCTGAGTCATACTCATGAGCATACAGGCCTACAAACACATTGAGCCTGTGAAAATCACTTGGTATTTGAATCAAATTTCCTCACAATTGAGGAGTGGTGAAAGGCTAACAATATAGTGTGAGGAGAAGCAAAACCAAATTTATTGCAAGGTTTGATGACATTTAGAGCCTTCAAAAAGGAATTTCAAGCATAATTGCTTGAAAATCCTGCTGGTCTCAGTCCAAAGTTTGAGTTATATCCCAAAGCCCTCTTTGATAGCAGATGTGGCTGTGTTGGAAGAGGGGCTTTTTCAAGCTTAATGGATTTGAAATTTGAGTACAGTTTGCAGTACCTCCCTCAACATTGACTCCTCATAATGTCTTCACTTGAAGTGTATCAATCTAGAGCCCAGAAAGTAGCTGGTTTCAAACATGGGCTTGTGACAAGGGACAAAGTATATTGGGATTCAGTGTAAATGGCTGAGAACACCTTATAGACCTGATGATAATGTGCTAAACGTGAGCACCTTCTCCACAACCTCAAGTGTGCAGACTTGGGTAAAACTAACCTAGAGTTTTTGGAGGAAAAGTTTAAAGATGAGAATAAAGATGAGCAAATGGCAAAGCTTCAATGTAAAGCTTGATCTAATGGAATCTACAATATTGATTGGTTAGTATAGTATGATAAAGAAAAGGTAACAAGGTACTTAGAGTCCGTTTGGTTGCCTCCAACCTCGCAGGTTGACCCAGCCAAAATCTCAGGTGTACGCTTTGAGGCAGTTTGAAGCATACACTTGAAGTTCTGCTGTTTGGTACAGAAGCCGCAGTCGACCTTTGAGGTGTCTACCTCGAGGTCGGCCAGCCAAATTTGTCGACCTGCCAGGTTTGATGTTTTGGTCGAATCTTGCAGGTTGACCTGGCTAGTCCCATAGACCTGAAACCAGGAGCGCGACATCTCACTTTGTAAAGGGAGAAAACCCATAAGTTTCAAGGTCAAGTACACTTCAAGTCGAGTGTACCAAACACACCAAACCCTGGTACACGCCTTGTGGCAGACATGGTCTACCCGCGGATCCGCAGGCAGACACCTCGCAAGTCTATGCCAGTAAGGTCAAAGGCAGCCAAATGGACTCTTACTCTCTTTCCAACAGATGGGGAAGAGAGTAAGGATGAAACAAAAGTAGATATATATAAGAGACTACTTCAGTATAACATTGGGATTGATGTGCACAAACATTGGTTGGGAAATTATAAGGAACATATCACACAACAACATTAACTAATAATAGACGAGATTTGTTAACCTGTTACATTTCTTGACACCTCATTTCACGCTCAACTAAATAACCATTGTTAGTCTTGATTGTCTCTTAACATTCAGAACAGAAGATAAGGATCAAAAACATCACTTTTTGAAAGAAAAGTCAAGACAGCCAGGTAGTGATAGTAATATCCAGGAAGTTGAGTTGGTGTTTAACCTGCAAACACAGACCAACACCAACACCCTTTGTGCTGATTGGGTTGGGGAATTGCACAATCAGTGGCTGTGATTGTTAAAAGGCAATCAAGACTATGGTACTTGGGTAGTTATGTAGTGTGTTAAGCTGGTGTTTCTTGTTACTGTAGAATCCAACCCATTTTTAGAATTACAACTTTTTTGTGAAGTTGTCCAATTTTGGATTACTGTAGCTCATTTTATAGCTCTCTTGATGCTGCTCATTTATTTTTGCCCATTTTCACCTCTTGCCACGTCTAATGTTGATTTCCTCTTCATTATAAGATCACTATATATCCACCTCATCATAATAATAACTTTAAAAATCAC